ATAGTCTGCTTTCCAGGTTAATTCTACTGCTATATATCTTCCCTATAGTTCCACTGAAAGCAGAACCTGAGGAATAGACCAGACTAAAAGTAATGTATTTGGGAATGGGTTGCCAAGAAATGGAAGGAATGAATAGGAGGGTGGCATAGAGAAGGAGGGAAAGCCAATACAAGAATGTGTTATCAAGCCATTCCTGTGAATCATTGATTATGAAAACATAGGACATGCTGAAAACTCTTATGGATACTTCTCAATATTGTCAGCCCTAGGGCTCAAAGAAGGAAGTATTTATTCATCAGCCATGTCCCTGCAATGGTCATGGGTAGGCACACAGAGATTAGGTCCTCGGCACTTTCAAGATGCAACTGTTGAGTGATAAATGGGTTTCCTTGAGGATCAGAGATGCCCAGGAGAATAGAAAGTAAGTTTTTTGCACACTATTGACCCATTCCTGTGTGAAGTTGATCAAAGCCTGAATGTAACTGATTCCAGCAACACTGGTTACAGTAAAGGATGAGGCCATGAAGATGTGGGTATGAAATGCAAAGTGCTTCAATGGAGCACACAGAAAAACAGTATCAATCATTAGAATTTGAATAAATATCATAGGTTAGAAAATGACTGCATATGGCCTAGGTATAATTAACACTACAGATTGTGATTGGAATACTGGTTTGTTTTTTTTTTTTTTTCCAGCTAGAAGATCTACTTATTTTTCTTTCATTAAAGGCCAGTAACACAATCCAAGAAGTACTATTATTGAAATCCAAAGCAGTTATCTTAGAAAACAATAAATAAAACAAAATTTCTGCTTTATCAGCATATTTTAACATTTTTTTTATGTATTTATTTGTGAGGCTGACAGAGAGAAATCCCTATCTGCATCCCAATCACAGCACTTCTTCTCTTATCTGATTTGTATATGGGGCTTTCCTGTAAGGGTTCTGAGGCTAATGTATATACAAATGGACATAAAGGGGCCCTAGTGTTGCGGTGGATTCATTCTGAGAGGAGGAGCACGGTGGGGGCCAGAGGCGTGGAGTCACCACACAGACCCCAGGAACAAAGCAGGCCAGAGGTGAGCAGCCTGCAGACTCATTTATTTCAGTTGGTACAGCAGCTTATATTGCTGAGGCAGCCAATCTGGTCAAGAAGCAGTTTATGCCCTAACCAATCACAGCCTGTTGCCAGGCCGGCTCTGTTGCCAGCGGCCATCTTGGCATAGCCTTCTCCTTCCACCACAGCCTAGGTTACAAGAAAATAGCACAGATAAGTGAGAAAGCAACCTCTAGGCTGCAAAACTGAAATCTTTTATTATCTCATACCGATAGAGAACAATGATGAAAACAACTTGATATTCATACACATATATACATTAACAAGGAAGCATCAATTCAATATCACAAGTAATCATGTATCTTTTAGAAAGGCAATAAATAAATAAATGGGATGAGTTCCAGAAATAGTACATTCAGTTGTTGCTTTAATGGCACTTTTAGCTAAAGCAGAGGCTATGATGCAAAGTCAGCCCAACAAAATGCCTTTATGAGAGCTGGAAAATTTTAAATATAGAAGATTTAAAGAACATATACTACTGTAATAATAACCAAAAACATTTTCTAAGTAATATGCTTTTAGAATGAACTATTTAAAAAAAGAATGAGCTATTATTTAATGAATTTATATAAAGATGTATAAGTTTCAGTATGATTTAAAATGAATTCTTTTCATTGCTGTATCAAATTTTACATACACATAGGCAATTACTATAGAAAGTCAAAGAATACTTTTGTGCTTTTAATTGAAGAAATACAACATAGTCTTTTTTAAAAATGGTAATATATTTGTAGAAAGGAAAAATACTATAGTGGTTATTGAGACTTCACCAAATTTACACACATTCATTTGTATATGTGATTCTATTTAATTTTATTACATGTTGCTTGCTGTAACTGCCACCACACTCAAGCTACAGAACTGTTCCATCACCACAAAGATATCCTGTACTGCCTTTTCATGTCTACACTCACCCAGTAATATGTTATTGTGGCATTAATTTGCATTTCCTTAATGGCCAAGGATGTTGTACGTCCTTACATGTACTTATTTGCCATTTTCATATTCTCGCTGAAATGTCTGTCTACATACTTTCCTTATTTTCTAGTTGTGTTGCTTGCTTTTTCACTGCTGAGTGTTGAGTGTTTTTTGTATATTCCAGACAACAGTTGCTTCTCAGATTTGACCCTTTCTGCAAATATTTCCTCCTAGTCTTTAGCTTGTCTTTTGATCCTCTTGCAGGGTCTTTCACAGAGTAATAAATTTTCTTTAAACTGATTAAGCCAAATTTATCATCTTTGTGTGTTGGTATTTTAAGTTATGTGTGAGTGTGTGTGTGTGTATACTATGTTGTTAATTATCTTATTTAAAAGCATAGTCAAATTGTTATGATTTAAAAGCACAATCCAATTGTTATCCTCAGTGGCAATCTACTGAATTGGAGAATTCTTTTAAAAACAACTTTATGACCTAAATCCCATCCATGTCCTCATGATATAATTGTAAACTGGCAACTCTGTATAGCCTAGGGAAAGAGCATCTGCCCATGTTTCCTTATAAAGATGACTGTGTAATTTCTCAATGTTCCATTATGGATAATTATTCTTATTTTCCTTTGGGAAATTTGAAACAACAGCTAAAACTTTGAACACCAGATTTCATATGTTAAACAATTAAGAAAAATTTTAAGCAATTAAAATAAAAAACAGCCAGGATATGAATAGGCAAACATAAACAATAACAAATAACAGAACTCTGTAGACCATTAAATTTAATTATCTTATGATCAGAATAACACAGTTCCTTCAGTGTCTTCCTCATCATCTGTATCAGTGAATTCCTCCATCTGAAAAAACGGGTAATGAAGCAGGATTTGGTAAATGTAACTATTGAGTAACTGGACTGATTCACTTCTCCCCTTAATTCAGTTCCACAATACCCTAGGTTTACATCTCACTCAACATGACAGGCTTGGCTGCAACTATGTTGTCAGTGTTGACTGAGTTTCTACCTGGTAGTGTTTGCTGAGACAAATACAATGAAGGCTAAAATAAATAATAAAATGTAAACAATAATATTTAAAATTTTAAAATATGTGAAAGTATTTAAAAAATTAATAATAAAAATAAAATGAAGACAATCTTGCTCCACAGAATGTCACTGGGAAGCTGGCAAAAACAAAATGCTTACCAAGGTTTATGGCATTCCAAGAAATAAAAACACAAGAAACATCTAACAATTATGAAGAACTGGATCCCACCCAAAGTGATGTAATTGATTCAATTACTGAAAGTATTCAACTTACCATGTCATTTCATTGATATTCTAGCTAGATATATATTTATAGTTAATTAGTAGTACACAGTATTTTAAATTATGGGTCATGAGGTCAATATGACAGAGTTGGGATCTTGAATCTCCCCATTCATAATTATATGAACTTCAGAAAGTTACTCTTTAAATCTTTCTTTAAAGATTTATTTATTTTAAAGGCAAAGTTAGAAAGAGAGAGAGATAGAGAGAGATAGAATGAATCTTCCATCCCTGGTTTACTCCCCAAATGGTTTCAAAGGTCAGAGCAGGGCTGGTCCAAAGCCAGGAGCCTCCTTCAGGCTCCCAGCAGGGGCCCAAGGACTTGGGCTCTCCTCTGCTGCTCTCCCAGGCACACTAGCAGGGAGCTGGATCAGAAGTGGAGCAGCCAGGACATTAACAGTCACCCAAATGGGATGCTGGCATCACAGGCAGTGGCCTCACCCACTACGCCGCAATGCCAGCCCCTACTCTTTAAATCTTAATTTTTCTAAGATGGCAATAATACTATGTACTTCAAAATGTAGTTACAAAAATTAAATAATACTGTAAAAATCATACAACGATGTCCAGCACAGAGAAAGTTCTAAATAAACTTTATCCACTCCTTTTATGACAAGTATTCTGAAAAAAGTATTAACAATTCAGTTTATTAATCAAAAATTTAGTGCTACCATAATCCAGTATGACAAACGAGTCTTGTAACCCTAAATTCTGTAGATGCATGCAAGGCACAAAACAAAAAACACTCATTAGACACGGTAACACTCATCCTCCACTCTTTAGATCAAAGTTCTAATTATACCTTCAGTAACACCAAAGGATTAAATTCTGGAGTTGAGAAGCAAATAATTCTGCATGCTTTGCTGAGTAGGGATGAGATAAGAGTGTAGAGCTAAGTGCCAAGCCCGTCCTAAACGACTTTGTAGGTGTTTGGATTTAATTACAGTGAGAAATAATTGTAAGATTTTAAGCAGGGGAATAATATGATTTATGTTCCAAACCTTTCAAATCACTAATATTGCACAGACACTGGACTAGAAGAGGATACTTTGCTGTTTGTGTATTTTCAGCTTTTTGTCCACTAGGTGGTGGCACAGAGTCCTTAACAGATTTCTAACACACTTGTGTTTCTCTGACATCTACACAGAGGCTTGGCACGTGAAAGAAACCTAATAAATTATGTTTCTTCAAAATTCAGGCATGGAAAACAGCGTTCAAATGAGAAGGCTATAGGAAGGCTGTTAAGAAGTGCGGAACTACAAAGCCTAGGGGAGAGAAACTACATTTCCCAGGAAGCCACGGGCTGTTTGCCCTTACCGCGTGTCCTAGCAGTCCAATAACCCGTTCGCTGCCATGCGCTTTTCCAAGGACCACAGAAAACGCCAGAGAGCGAATTGAGGCTGCAGCGACGGCGGCTTTTGGCTCCCAGAGGGCCCTGCCGAACCGTGGTTGTCCCAACTGGCGCTAGCAAAGGCCCTCGGAACCTAACGGCTGTCCTGCTGGGCCCATGAGCCACGTGACTAACTCGGGTCATGTGACTCCGGAGACCCTCCTCTGACGTCTGTTACCCTGGCAACTTCTGGGCTCACTCAGACCTTCCGGGAAAGCGCGGAATTCAGACAGAGGTAAGGGAGCTTGGACGCCTGCTTCCCGGTCATATCTCCCTGGCCAGCCCTGCGCTTCCGACCCGGTCTTCAGGGCTTTCGTTTTCCGGGTTACTCCCTCCTCCGTTCGGACTCCATTGCAGACGCCTCTTTGTCTTCCCGCCAACTCCGGAACCGCGCTTTCTGGAGCCTAGATGCCACCGGGCCGAGGACCTGTTGGTGGGGTCCGCCTCTTAACCGCCCTCGCCCGGACCTGACGGAAAATGCGCCTACGGGGAGGGGGTGTTTCTCTGCAGGTGGCGGAGCTGTGGTCTGCGTCTCCTTCCTCACCCCCGCCGCGGCGAAAGCCGGCTGCAGTGGTTACCTCAAAGAGTTCAAGTCAGAAACTGCGGTAGATCGGGGAGAGCTTTGCGTTGCAAATCACTGGATTCTACTCCAGGTGCCAAGTGCATCGTTTTTTGTTGACCTTGCCGAAAGAAACGTTTCCCCATTAGCTTTATTCTTGTAGTATTTGGAAATGTCTTCATAAGTTCTGTTTGTCTAGGTCTTGGTCTTGAAGCATCCCCATATTTGGAAAGAGTCCATTTTGCAAAACAGTATGCACTGGTAAAATAGCTAGCTGAAAGAGAAGGCCGCACAAACTTTGTGCTTTGCAAGAAAGAAAGGGTCTATTGGATTCGCTTTTTTTTTTTTTTTTTTTTTTTTTTTTTTTTTTTTTTAAGATTCTTGGTGAGGGAGGACCTGGTTGGTTTTGGAGAGATATTGAATAACACACACACGTACACACGCACAGATTTAGAAAATACTGTGGAGATCACCCTTTCACAAGTGGGTGTTAAGGGATGAAAATCCTGTACCTTAAGTACAAAAGAGTGGCAAAGCTGCCCTTCCAAATCAGTTTGCTTACTAAATAAGGAAGCTTTTACTAGCTTACTGTCGATAATTGTTTACATATACTGAATCATAAGATAAATGAAGTCTGGTTGTGTGATGTCATGCATTTCCTCAAAATACTTCTGTGTCTCTTGTCATTTAGTGTTTCCAGTGTTGTAAATACTGTAGAATGTTTACATTGGGAAGTGAAAATCATTGATTATGGCCCACTATTCCAAAGAAGAGCTAGATGAAGAGTTTGAACAGTTTATGAAAGAGGTAAGTTTGTATTTTAAAAATCTGTCTCATAAGTTTGTCTCAGCAGATTCATCCCTCGATTCATTTTCACCTCTAAAACAATCAGTTGATCACAAAAGTCTGTTTAATGCCACCTCCGGAATACACCTGTTACCCTTTAGCGCACTCTCTCTCTTCACTGCCACCTGCTAGTTTATTAACTTGTTTGATCTCACCTGAGCAGTACCCACCCGGCGTTCCCAGCATTCCTTTCCCCACAGCACAGCCAGAACAGTCTAGTACATAAATAAGACTCTGTTCCTCCCTAGGTAGTTCTTCCATCACATGTAGAATAAAATCCAGACTCCCTGCCATCTGTGAAATGCTTCCTGATTTCACTCAGGGCTCCTTCACTAACTTGTTACCACTCTTTCCCGTCATGTGTCTTATTTATCCTACAGGGGCCTTTGTTCTCTTCCAGACAAGTCAGTTCATTTCCTCTTAGGGGTTTTGCAGTAGCTGTTCCCTCTGCCTGTAAAGCTGTTCCCTTATGCTTACCTGGCTAGTGAGGCTTCTACCTTAAATATCACTCCCTCAGACTCAGTTTTTCCACTTATCCAGTAAAAACTACCAAGTCACTTCTTGGAGGTTTAATTTAACTAATTTAATTCTTTGTGTAGCATTAAACACCATTTGTTTCTTTTCTTGTGTGGGTCTATTTTCTGCTTCCCATAGGAAGAATTTATAGCCTATGACATGGCTGCATGTTCATTGCTTTACCTACAGTATCTAATAAATGCTTAATAAATATTTGCTGAATGAATGGATTGAAGGGTTGCAACACATTCTCTTCATAAACGGAGGGACTTTATAGGTATTTAAGGGAGTCATGTTTTAACCTATCATAACCTTCTTGTTTATAAAGGAACTTTTGAAGTTGTAGAAGGATCCTCAGTTTCATTGTTAAGAAAAATATGTGTACTTTGTAGGGCTTAAGGGTGTTAAAAAGCGCATACCAATTGCCAGATGTAATAGACTGCCAGAATGAATCTCAGTTCCCATTTGAAAACTGATTTTTTAAAATTAAATATGGATGCATTTTGAAAATTAAATTAATGGGAAATGCTTTCATTGTAAAAAAAATAAATAGCAGTGCAGGCCTTTGAAAATGTTTTTTCTTCTACCTTTTGTTTACCACCCCTGAAAACACACTCAGCATTCTCCAACTCTCTCATTCTTGCTCCCTGCCTGCTCTCTCCATTTGTCTCCTCCTTATGTCCATCCATAACTTACAAAAGCTCTTATCTCATGTGAGATTTAAGGCCTTGTTTCTTTCTAAACAATGCAATGATGATTTTAGAGTCATGTTAATTTTGGTCATTTTGATTAAATTATCACTGAAGCAGTTCGTTGAAAGATTTGATTTACAGATCTTTGTTCTTTGTTTTTTGGAAAGTGATGTGACCATCTTTTTCTTTTATAGTTTTCATAGATTCAATTTACATAATATAGAAGTTTTCCATTTAAAGGGTACATGTCAGTGATTTTAGTTATACAATCAACACAGTCAATGTGGAGCTTTTTTCTTTTTAATCACCCTAAAAAGAAACCTTGTATCTAGTTAGCAGTTACCCCCTGTCTCTCCTTTCCTCTTTCCTGAGCCTTGGGCAGCTACTGAACTACTTTCTGTCCTGAAGATTTGCCTGTTAAGGATATTTCATAGAAATGCCGTCATACAATATGTGGTCTTTGGGCCCGGCTTCTTTTACTTAGTATTGTTTATCCATAGTGTCGCATTTATTAGTACTTCATTTCGTCTTATAGCTGAATAATATTCCGTGTATAGCTATACTACATTTTGTTTACTCACTTATCAGTGGATCGGCAGTTGAATTCTACCCACTTTTTGGCAGGTATGAATCATGCTGCATTGAATAGTCAGGTGCCAGTTTTTATGTGGCTGTATGTCTTCATTTCTCAACATACATTACCTAGGAGTAAAATTGCTGGGTTTTGTCATAACTCTGCTTAACCTTTTACTCTACATTTAACTGCCAGACTGTTTTCTAGAGTGGTCATCATCTTATATTCCCTGCAACAAATCTTAGTTTACAGAGGTTCCAGTTTCTTCATATCCTTGCCAACATGTTATTTTCTCAAGATTGGCTTTCTTATGTTTTATTTTTGATGACAGTAATCTGGAAAGCAGTTGAAGTGAGAATACTTATTGTGTCTTAGTACACTAGGTGTTCTTCATTGCTTTTCTTGACCTTTGCCGCAACCCTGCAGGGTGGATGGTGTTATACTTATGTTACTAACAGGTTAACTGGAAAAATGTGGGGAGGAGACAGAAATGGAATATTTCAAGGTGATAGTGAAGTTCAGAACCTGAGTGATATAACTAGTAAATTTCAGAAATTCAAATGGGATAAAGAATATTTGTTTTTTCCCTCCTCCCCTCTTCTTACCTGGTTGTCAGGAAAGACAATGAATTTTTTTTGACTATTTCAAAACTGACAAAAAATTTTTGGGTAAGAGATTTTTGTTTGGTAGATGGAAATGTATATCCCTGGTCTTAGAAGTTTAAAATGTCATCTGGGGTTGAATCCTGCTGTGTAACTTTTACTAACAGTTGTAACTTGGTCAAGTTGCTTAATGTCTGTGGGCTTCTGTTTCCTCATCAGTAGTCTCCAGGATTGTTTAAAGTGTAAGGAAAATAACTTGAGTGTAGATGTTGACATAGAGCAGGCGTGCACCTCTTGATTTCTTCTCCAGAAAACCGGTATAAAATGAGAATGAAAAGGACAAAGAGCATAGTCCTGAAGAAGTCTCATGTTAAAGAAATGGGCAAAGGGGCCCAAAGCTGTTTAAATAGAGGGTTGGGAGTAGCCACAAAGCTGGAGATACCCTGGAGAAAGTGATGCTGCCAAAGTCAAAGGTAGAGGGTTTCAAGAAATAAGAGCTGCTCGCTAGTATCAAATCGTGTGATACAGTCAGGGAGCCTGACTGACAGCTGCCCTGTAACTGTGGCATTTGGGAGCCTTTTGTGCCTGGAGGAGAGCTGTTTTAGATGGGAACCAGATTTTAAGGGGTTGAGTAGTGAGCTTGAGAAATTGGTATACAGTAGTCCCTTCATAACCACAATTTTGCTTTCTGCAGTTTCATTTACATGTGGTCACTTATGGTCCGAAAATATTAATGGAACGTTCCAGAAACAGTTCCTAAGTTTTAAATTGCGAGACATTTTGAGAAGCATGATGAACTCCTACTCCATCCCATCCAGGGCATAACTCATCCCTTTGTGCAGTATAGCCACACTTCATATACTGCCCACCCATTAGTCAGTTAGTAGCCTTTTTGGTTATCACACTGATCCAATGTGGCAATATGATAGTATCACAGTATTTGTGTCTTGGTAACTCTTACTTTACTTAGTAGTGGCCCCTAAGTGCAAAACTAGTGATGCAAAGAGGCACCAGGGCATAGAAACAGGAGCACAAATAACTCCAGCAGTGTGTGGCAATGCTGACAAAACATGATATATGTGAGTTTCAGTCTTGTCCATGGTTTCAGGCATGCACTAGAGATCTTGAAACTTAATCCCCCATGGATAAGAGAGGACTGCTGTTTAAAGGAAAATTGGTAGGTAAATTACAAGGCAAATAGGGAACTTGTGTTTTTTGTTTTTTAACAAAGTAGAGTACGCATGAATGTTCATTCTTCCATTCCACAGTTCTACCAGGGTGTTGTGCTAGGCTTTGGAGATGCAGTGCTAAATAGGTTTATAATCTGAGGGGAGGGAGAGAAGAACAGAGAGAGGGGAGTGAAGATTTAGAAATGAGATGGGGTAACCAAGAAAAGAAGAACCTGGAGAGAAGTGACCCATGCTTGTGCAGGTTTGGTTTGGAGGGGAGGAAGCAATTATCTCTTCTGAAATAGGGAAGTGCCTAAACCGGTGAGTTTTGTGATGGAGTAAGGGGAAGGAGGGTGAAATTTGAAGATCTTTATTCAGTCATTAGAGAGGAGGCCAGGTTACTGGCTAAGAGGGAGGAGGTATTGGAGTTAGAGTCGGGGATTTAGAATTGTGAAATTTGAACCATAAGAGTAGAAAAGGACAAATAAAAATATGCTACAGCTTATTAATCATTGTGACAAAATGCTGATTTCTCTGACGAACACCTTTATCCTCTCGGCCACTGAAACTCAATTCTTGTCTTGGAGTCTCTGTTCTTCTAAGGTGATGCTATGGAATTTTGCTCAACCAACGTTTATTCTTAGGCCCTCAAGAATATCTGAAGATAGGTAGGATTATATCCTTCCTTCTTTTCCTAAACAAGTCTTGTGATCAAGTTCTCTTTTTTTCTGTGTTGTTCTAATTAAGCTGCTTAACTCTGGATATGAAAGTCGATGTTCAGAGATTTATGCTTGATTTTTAAATTATTTTGACCTCCTAGGTTTAGAAATAGGAGTTTAAACATTGTTGAGATTATTTGTCTTTATGATAGCTAAAGTGTGAGAGAACCAGTAGAAACTTTTTTTGTGATGAATCTATCAAATTTATAATGTATTCTAACATGCAGTAACTTGTATCTGATTCAGCTCTCGGATGATTCTTTTGAAAATTCAAACAAAACACCTAGACAACCTAAGAAGGAAATGAAGAAAGATACAGTGCCTTGGTGGTTAACTGAAGATGATTATGAAGACAGTGGTAAATATTGCTGATTTTTAGTTTCAAATTATTTGACCACAAGGGGTCAGGCAAGACTGTTAATTTTGAATATTGTTACTTGCACTAAAATATAAAAGAAAGTAACACTAACTGTGGATTTTTGAAGTTAGAATTATTTTTTCATATTACTTCACTTTATTTTATGCTTATTTTGTAATGGAGAATCTTTGTTTTTGTATTATTAGGTTATTTTACATTGGAAGTTTATATTTACTCAAGATGATTAATAATTCAAGTATATTTATATTTTATCATGTTTAATGATAAATTGATTTAATCTGATTTATATAAAATATTCTGGTGATGCGTTAATGATGTCACATGTAAGATTTTTTTCATATTACGATTTATTTATTTATTTGAAAGGCATAGTGACAGAAAGAGCGAGAGATGGAGGAAAATCTAAAGATCTTCCATCCTCTGGCATACTCCCCAAGGGCCCACAACATCTGGGGCTAGACCCAGTGAAAGCCACAAGCTAGGAACTCCAGTTGGATCTCGCTCTGTAGGTAGCAGGAACCCAAGTACTCGTTCCATCATGTGCCTTGCAGATGCATTAGCAGGAAGCTGGATCTGAAGCATACAGTAGTTCGACTTGAACCAGGCAATCCAGGTGGCCACTATGCCCACCCTGTGCTGGGAAGATCTTAATAACTATAAATTTTAGTATCACAAATAGTGAATTTAGTAAAAACATAATTTACTACCTTAATGACAAAGAACTCATCATTGATCCTCTCTGGCACATGTTTGTATCTTTTCTAGAACTGTTCCTAATCACATCTTTACAAATGCAAAATTACTTTCTTGGATGTTTTCTTATACTTACTATGCTGTATTTATAATATATAATAAGTATAAATATGATTTACCATATATACTTATTACTTATGTTACTGCTATATCCATGAGGCACCCAGACCACTTCTACTACCTATATGTGGGTATCTATGTTTATACTATTTGTGGATCAGTGTTATGCATAATTTTGTAAATGGGAAAGTTTCTGTATTTTTCCTAGGGGAAATATTTACCCGTGGCTTTTGTTTTTTTTCCCCCCATAAAACTGAGTCAGAACTCCTTAATGTGATAGTTAAGACGCTCTATAATCTGACTGGAACCCTCCTCTCTAGCCCTGTGCGGCAGCCACCCTCAGTTGTTCTTATCCCCTGGAAACACTCTTGGCTCCCGTGTGTCTGTTCCTAAGCTCACCCTCCTTGTCATTTTGTCTTGTCCTTTTTGTCCAGTAAAACTTGGCATCATCACTTCTTACAATCTTGCACTGATTCTTCTAGCTTCTTTGTCAGCAAATTTTCTCCTTTGTTTTGATGTCAAAACACCCTAATGCATTTGCCCATTGTGCTGATAGCTATAACCTATTTGCTACTCCCACTGAGGGTGGGAACATTTTGATAGCTTCTTTTTGTTGTATCCTCTGAAGCTCATACTTATTTTTATTACATAATAATATTTACTATTATTTGGTAATAGTGTTTAATAAACAAATATTGTTTATTATTATCTCTGTTCTTCTGACACTGTAAATAAAGAAAATGCCTTACTCAAACCATGCAACAGTGCTAATGTTTACATGTGAAGAATTATTTTGTAGAATTTTCCCCCTGGTGGTTCTTGAAAAGGCTATTATATGATGAAGTGCTATTGGAATTGTAGACAGACATTTGATACTTGATCAGCATTAAAGCCTTCTTTCTAGAAAATAATGAATTAGAGCAGAAATATACAAACTGACCCTGGAGGGAAAGAATAGACCGGAAACACTTGTATGTAAACTGAATAATTGTGTTAATAATTTTAGAAGAGTATATAAGTCAGAAATAGATTTGATTGAGCAAAGAAGCAAAGATCTATAGCCAAGAAATAAACTTTGATGATGTCTACTTAAATAAGAGTGTTCCCAGCCCCGTGCTATAGTATGGCCCTGGTTCAATCACAAACATTTATTGAGTTCATGTTATGTTCTGAATACTAGGCACAAGTGTGAAAAAGCAAGATGTGCTTCCTGCCATCAAGAGTGTAGAAGCTTCTAAGGGAGAATTGAACACCCCTCTTAAGAGATGAATGCATTATCAGTGTTGGATACAACTTAATATTGACATGAGCAACTTCTGTGTTATCGTTTGCTTTCTTTTTCAGTTGCCATAAGCACAAAATATTCTGATGAAACAATTCTCTTGCTATTTATACTCTTCATTATAAACAGCTAAATTGGATTTTGGTTTCTGTTAGCCCTCTGAGCATGGTTGGTGTGAGTCACATCCCTGAGTCCAGCTTCAGAGCCAGGGTGAGACTTTGGGCGGTTGCCCCAAGAGCTCCTCAACCTTGGCACGCACTTTTTCATTCCTGCAGCTGTGTGGAAGTTATTATTTGGTCCGATAAAACGATTATTCATGTGAAGCCATGAAATGGATTTTAAACCCTTTCCAAGAAGACACTAATTAGGAAATTGAAGCCAGAATTTCTTAATATGAACTCCTAACACAAAATTATATTTTTTCTCATCTTAATGTCTATATCACATAATTATTTCCCTTTTCCATTTCTCAGTTCTTTACTAGTATATACTGTTAGAGAAAAACAATTCTTTTTTTCCAGTCTTTCTAGTGCTGTTGAAATAAAGTGCAAAACTCTGCCCCTGGGCTGTGAGGAGAGCTAGTCTGACTCACCTGCTTTAGGCTTATCTCCTCCCAGAGTCACCCTAACTCATTTTACAGCCTCATGGCCTTTTGCATCCTCAACTTCCCCATTCTTCCCATTGTACTTGTTCCCCTTGCCTATAAATGTCTCCTTTTCCAGTTCACCTCATTATTTCCTTAGCAGAAATGTTACTTCCTTGCAGAACATTCTTGAATTTTTCAGTCTTGGCAAGAATCTAGCCCCTCCCCCCATTAATATCTCACCTCAAACAACTTAGAGTTGTGATTCACATTTAATTCTCCTATCTGCTTCTCCAGTAACCTCCTTCAGTGGCCACTGTTGCCCTTACCACATCTGTTGTGTTTGACCTGGGAAAGCTGTAGATTTCTCTTCATGCCACTTCTAGACCTTTCTCCTGCACTCTCCTGTGAACCATGTTGTCAGAACACCTGTTGTCTTTGCGTGTTACAGTTACCTGTTAACTTCCAGGTTATTCCTTTTCCTTCCTCAAAGATCAACACTATCGTTCTCCAGTTCTGCCTCTTACTTCATTAATGTGAAGTCCAATAACCTGACACCTGAGTTCTTTGAACTTCTTTATATCCAAAATTTTGTTATCTACTACATCAAGCCACCTACTCCCTCTAATATCTTCTCATGTCACTCATCATAAAAGCTAATGCCCCATAAGCTGCCACTCTCCCTCCCAGCCCTGCATCCTGACTTCCTGGCCTCTCAACTGCTACTGTCTTTCACTAGCCCCTGCCACTAGAACTACACTGGCCTCCTTGCTCTTCATACCTACCTAGCATTTGTGTGCTTAGAGGCTTTACACGGGTGTACTCTTCCTTCACATACTCACTTGGATTTCTCCCTTACTTCTAGCACATCTTTTCCTAAATGTCAACTTCTCAGCGAAGGCATTCCTGACCACTCTATTTGAAGTTGCATTTATTTATTTTAATTAATAATCTCTCTATATCCACATGAATGTAAGCTTCACAAGGACAGGGGTTTTTATCATTTTTACTCAGTGATAAATCCCCAGCATTTAATATAATTCCTGGTACATAGCAGGCAGCAATACATATTCATTGTTGATTATCCTTAGTCCTTTTGTGATGGTAAACGCTTTCATTGTGGGGCCAGCACTAACACCTTTGTAGGCATGGAGTTTGCTAAAAAACATGCATGGAACATAAACATTCTATATAAACATAAGCTTTTATGACCAGAAGTCATATAACATTAAACATTTTTTTAATATAAAAGATTTCAAACATGGAGAAAGAAGTAGCATATGTCCCATGTGCCCATTGCTAGCTACAACAGTTTTTTTTTTTTTTTTTTAATTTATTTGACAGGTAGAGTTATAGATAGACAGAGAGAAAGGTCTTCCTTCCGTTGGTTCACTCCCCAAATGGCTGCTGTGGCCGGCGCTGCGCTGATCTGAAGCCAGGAGCCAGGTGCTTCTTCCTGGTCTCCCACATGGGTGCAGGCGCCCAAACACTTGGGCCATCCTCCACTGCCTGCCTGGGCCACAGCAGAGAGCTGGACTGGAAGAGGAGCAACCAGTACTAGAACCCAGTGCTCATATGGGGTGCCTGTGCTGCAGGCGGAGGATTAACCAAGTGAGCCACAGTGCTGGCCCCAGCTACAACAGTTATTAACACATGGCCAATAACATTTCACCTGTCGCCCTTGTCATTCTCCACCCCTTCATACACTGGGCTATGCTGAACTAAATCCCCACCAGCGTATCACTTCTATCCACTTTCTGCAAAACATCTCTTGAAATAAGGACTATTTTTAAAAAGTAATTTGAGAGGAAGAGGCAGATGGACAGACAGAGCTCCCTTCTGCTGGTTCATTCCTGAGATGCCTTCAAGAACTAAGGCTGGCTGAAGCCTAGAGCTGGTAACTCAATCCAGGTCTCCCACATGAGTGGTAGGGACCCAGCCCAGCTATTTGAACTAACCCTGGGGTCTGTGTTAGCAGGAACCTGGAATACAGAGCTGGGAGTTGAACCGAGGTACTCCAGTATGAGATACAGGTGACTTAACTGCCAACCCTAAAGAATCTCTTTTTAAAATAAAAATATTATAATATCTAAGACATAAATGAAAAAGAAATATTGATAGTAATTCCTTAATATCACCTAATAGCTAAAAAAATCATAAAATACTTTTAATATGTTTAATATATATTAGCCTTAGAAAAAGTTTCACATTCCAAAATGCTATCCTCTGAGCATGGTTGGTGTGGGTCACATCTCTGAGTCCAGCTTCAGAGCCAGGGTGAGACCTTGGGTAGTTGCCCCAAGGGCACCCAAACCTTGGCATGTAGTTTTTCATTCCTGCAGCCATGCGGAAGTTATTATTTGGGAGCCTCCCTTCCTTAACAATATACACAGATCCCAGTGAGAGAAACTGTCCTACAGTGAGCCAGTTTCCAGTATTTTTGAAATAATGACTCTTTTCTTCAAGTGATATGTATACTAACAAAGGGTCTTGTCTAGCTTTTATTATTGTCCTTTAGTGTACCTGTTTTTCAATCTTGTATTTTTGTTTGTTTTTAAAGATTTATTTATTTGAAAGGCAGAGTTACAGAGAGGCAGACGCAGAGAGAGAGAGAGGAGTCTTCCATCCACTAGTTCACTTCACAAACGGCTGCAACGGCTGGAGCCACACCTATCCAAAGCCAGGAGCCTGGAACTTCATCCAGGTCTCCCACACAGGTGCAGGGCCAAGGACTTAGGCCATCTTCCACTGCTTTCCCAGGCCATAGCAGAGAGCTGGATCGGAAGTGGAGCCAGACAGGTCTTGAACCGGCGCCAGTAGGGGATGCTGGCACTGCAGGTGGCAACTTTACCTGCTGTGCCACAGTGCCAGCCCCATGTCTTATATTTTGTTAACCTAGGCCACCCACAGTCTACTTACAGTAGTATTACAAAGCAAGCAACAAAAACACACTGAATAATAATGAACAGAGGAAATGAGGCAGAGATTTTTTTTTTAAAGACAGAGTTACAGAGGGAGGTAGAGACAGAGACAGAGAGGTCTTCCATCTGCTGGTTCACTCCCCAGATGGCTGCAATGGCCGGAGCTGCGCAGATCCGAAGCCAGAAGCCAGGGGCTTTTTTTGGGTCTTCCACATGGATGCAGGGGCCCAAGGACTTGGGCCATCTACTGCTTTCCCAGGCCATAGCAGAGAGCTGGATCAGAAGAGGAGCAACCAGGTCTAGAACTGGTGCCCATATGGGATGCCAGGGCTTTAACCTGCTGCACCACAGCACCAGCCCTGGCAGCAATATTTTTTATAGAGCATTGTAGACTGTATTAAGTACTTGTGCGTCAATATAATTCTTAAAAATCTTTTACTCAAATTTTTGAAACATTTAATAAGATATGCTAAACCAAATAGAATTATGATTTTCTTTGAATTTCAGGTCTGATGGATTTTTATTTTACAGAACAGATTATATAATGACTGTGCACAAAATTAGTACAGCAGGTATTGTGGTGGCATAGAGATCAAAACAGTTCTCCGAACAAAAATATTCAGCTGTAATAAATCTGCTCCTAGGACTGCTTGAAACAAATGTGAGCTATTTGAAAACAAAGAAGATGTCTCAGCCTGTTCTGGAGACAGATGAGGAATCTGCTGAAAAGATTCAGTTTCTTAAGAGCAGTGGAACCTCTGTCTTAAGTGCTGACAGCTTAGAAGCAAATGGTAAGAAATGTGAGGTGTATCAGTCAATAATTTTTTGGTCACTAAGTTGATGTTCAGAATTTCTACAGAAATTAACTCATAAGCATCTTGGAACCTCAATTACTGAAGCAAGTAAACAGATTTAATATCTTCCAAGAGGTTTAGAATCACAACTCTGGAGAAACCTTAAAACTAATATATTCGTATGAATATGAGTCTCTTTTTGGTGGGTAAGCAATTACATAAAGTATTTGTAAAAACTGTTTTCAATTTACTGTGTAATATCCATGAATGCATCATGTAAATGAGTTTTATCAGAATTCTATTAATAAAATACGTTTGTGCTTTCCATTTAGAACTAGTAGTTTCTGAACTCAATCATAGTATTCTTGGATTGGGATTGGACACATTAGAGGAACAGGAAGAAAAAGAGCAGTTTTTTGCCAGGCTTGAGAAAGGCTTGACGTCTTCCATTGATTATTCAAGATTAAATAAAGAACTGGATTCTAATGACTCTACACGTTTAAAAGTTTTACACAGGTAAAGTAAACACAACATAAGCAGTTCATTGCTTCCACTTTTCTTTTTTTTAGTGTCTGGTATATGGATGGGCTTAAATAGATAAACATTACAAGAGGCAAAAATCTTTTTCTTAACTCCATTTTCTGTTCCTTATTATAGTCAGGCTTTTCTTACATATAAACAGAATGTGTTGGTTTGCTTTTGAGAGCTGACTCTGTCTCCAGGTACCAGAAATTTCATACCTAAGATGATATCACCACTAATAATGATTTCTAACAAGTCGTTAATAGGAAAATAATTAGATAATTTTCCAAAACTAAGAGTCCAGGTTATTATTATGAACTTATGAAAAAAGGAGTAGAAAGAGAAGTGGAAACCAAGGAGCAAATGGAAGTTTGGTCTGAGTGTTCACCTCTACATGTGGTTGACCCTGATGATCAGGAAACCTCATTTATCCTGGAAATCCTGACTGAGCTGGTTCCCCTCCTGAGTACAGTAGACCATTGGTGTTCTCCATCTCTCTGTGAAACCTGAGATCTTTAATTTCCTCATTTTAGTTATCTATGTAATTTTTTAAAATTATAAGTGGAAAACAGGTTAGAATTTTATTTAGGAGTGTAACAACATAAAAGTACAAATAAGGGTAAAGAAATCCATAACCTCTGGTTATTGGTGTGCCTGGTCTCCTTGAGATGATTAGTTACTGACTGTAGAGAAAAGAGTACATTTCCTGTCATGAAGTGTACAGGGCATGAGATTTTTTTTTTTTTTTTATCATACTTGAAAGCAACAAGGTAGCCTACCAACTTTATAGATGTTGACAATGGACAGAAGATTCCTGGGTGAGAAATAGGATCTTGTCTCACAACAAAGCAGTACTCTGGTGTTATCCTCGTTTACATTTGGTTCCTGTGACCCATGGCCCCACAGGGGCAAGGCAAAGAATCTGTGATGGACGTCTGTGCATCACTTTATGGATGAGGAACACTGAGCTTGGAGAATCTGTTGCTGTTTTTATTATAAGTGGAAACAAGCCTGGGTGGCTGGCTTTTTTTTTTAACCGAGTGGAATCTACTTCTTTTTGCAAGATTACTCACTGCAAACAGAACCCTGAGAAATGGCTTGGTAAAGAATAGTCAGAGTGTTGGGACCATCACTGTGTCATAGCCAATAAAGCCGCCACCAGCAATGCTGGCATCTCATATGGGTGCTGGTTCATGTTCTGGCTGCTCCACTGCTAATCCAGTTACCTGCTAATGACCTAGTAAAAACAGCAGAAGAAGGTTTGGGCCCCTGCCACCCATGTGAGAGATCAGGTAAAGCTTCTGGCTTCGGCCTGTCTCAGCCCTGACCATTGCAGCTATCTGGGAAGTGAACCAGAAGATGGAAGATCTGTGTATGTCTCCATCTCTCTGTAACTCTGACTTTCAAATATATAAATAAATCTTAAAAAAAAAAAAAAAAAGAATGGTCAAAGCCTTGCATTCCTGGCATACCCAGAAAGAACACAGCAGGGCCCTGAGGGCCCCTGGAGATTACCTCTGCCAACAGAGACAACACAGAGTAAGCATACACAGGTTTGTTGGCCACATTTTTTCCCCTTTTGCAATATTTCTTTCTTTTTAATGTTTATTATTGCATTTTTATTTGAAAAGCAGAATGAGAGGGAGACAGAGAGTTTCAATCCATTGGCCATTGGTTCACTCCCAAAATCTCTGCACAACAACTGGGGCTAGGAAAGATTGGAACCAGGAGCGCAGAACTCCATCCGGATCCTCCACATAGGTGGCAGGGGCCCATGCACTTGAACTGTGATCTGCCTCCCAGGCATATCAGCAGGACGTTAGCTGGGCACTCCGATAGGAGATGCAGGCATCCCAAGTGGCAGCTTAACCCACCATGCTTCAGTGCCTGCCTATGAAATATTTCTTATTTTTTTATGTCTTCTTTTTTTAAAGATGTATTTATTTGAAAGACAGACTGTGTGAGAGAGAGAGAGAGAGAGAGATCAGTTGATCTTCTGTCTGCTGGTTCACTCCCCAAGTGACTGCAACAGCCAGGGCTTGGCCAGGCTGAAGCCAGGAGCCATAACAGCCAGGGCTGGGCCAGGCCAAAGCTAGGAGCCACAACAGCCAGGGCTGGGCCAGGCCAAAGCCAGGAGCTTCACCTGGATCTCCCATGTGGGTGCAGAAGCTTAAGCACTTGGGCCATCTTCTACTGCTCTCCCAGGCACATTAGCAGGGAATCAGAAGTGGAGCAGCTGAGACTCATACTGGCACTCATATGGGATGCTGGCATCTCAGGCCACCACTTTACCTGATATGCTACAACCATCCCCCCAGCATGCACCTTTTTAAGGATATAGTGCATCATTTCAACATATACACACAGAATAAACCAGCCATATCAACCTTTCCATTTCCTTGTTTTGTCTTTGTGTTTGGAGCCTACTAGGTATTCTACTAGGTATTACGCATATTCATGAGCCGTAGTCACCCCCCTGTGCTGTAAAACACCAGAACCTATTGCATTAGCCCTACTATGTTTTAGTACCCATTATGTAAACTCCCCCATCCGCCTTGCTCTACCCTGCCCAGCTTATAGTATTAGTATTTTAATTAGAAGCAAATATATATAGATACATTATTTTAATAACTTCTTTGTGTGAAAGAGAACATATAGTATTTATCTTTCTGTGTTTGGATTATTTCACTTAATATAATTGCCTCTAGTTCTAGCAATTTTGCTACAGATGCCAAGATTTCAATTTTTTTAGCACAATAGTACTTAATTGTGTATGTGTGTGCACAGATACATTTTATTTATCCATTCATCATTGAACACTTAGATTGATTTCAAATCTTATCTGTCGTAAATACTGCTACAATAAACCTATCAATACAGATGTCTTCAACAGATCAATTTCATTTCCTTTGGATACATACTCAGTAGTGAGAGGGTTGGATCATATGACAGTTCTGTTTCTAGTTTTTGAGGAACCTCCATGCTGTTTTCCATGATGGCTGTACTAGTTTACATTCCCACCAATAGTTACAGAGGTTTCTTTCATCTACATCCTGGTCAGCATTTTTTGTTGTTTTGTTTTTATTTGTCTTATTGATAAAAGCCATTTTAACTGGAGTGAGGTAACTCATTGTGGTTTTGATTTGCAGTTTGCTGATGGCTAGTTATATTGAAAATTTTTTCATATGTTGGTTGGCCATTTGTATATCTTCTTTTGAGAAATATTTATTCAGATCCTTTACCCAGTTCTTAACTGGGCAATTTGTTTTTCTGTTGTTGAGTTTTTCAAGTTCCTTATATGTTGTGAATTTGAATCTGTGGTCAGATGAATAGTTTGCACATATTTTCTGCCATTCTGATAGTAGTATCTTCACTGTTTCATTTGCTGTCCATAAGCTTCTTAGTTTTATATTATTGTTTGTTTCTGCTTTTGTTGCCTATGTTTTTGTGGTGTTATCTAAAAAGGGGGATTCTTTATAAGCCATTGTTTATAGCTTGAATATTTTTAACTTTTGATAGAGCAGGAGTACTTAAAAGCATTACAGTGGGTTTTCAGAAAGTTCAGGGAAGATACGTATTATGAAAAAGCTATACATGGATTTCAATACTTCTCACATCAAAATGAGCATCTTTAAATTCTGTCTTCCGAAAACTTTTGTACACGCATAAAAATACTTTCATGCATAACTTTAGAGATTTTTTAAAGTTTAGATGAATGATTGCATGAAAATATACTATTGAGATTAATACTAAATTAAATGTTTCTTTCCAGTAATCAAGCCAATGTAGAACTAACTGAAGACGAACATGAGAATGAATCAAAATGTGAAGAACTGGCAGGTAATTTCATCAGTTTAAAAATTTATCGTGTTTGAAAACATAGAGAACTTGTGATAAAGACACTGACTAGAGAAAAATAATCACAAAGAAAATCATATGGTCTTGGAAACAGGTAATATTACAATTTGAACTACTAAGAAATTGTTCTAAGTGAGAGTAGGCCATGGATCTATTGTGAATGCAGAAGAAAAGATGTTTATGCCAGGATTATTGGACTCTGAAATCACAACAGATAACTCCAAAGCAAGGAGCTGGAGAAGTACAAGATAGACCTTTCTCCATATTTTTGACTTTTAATGTGACTGTGTTTGTATTTCAAACAATTTTCATGTGGACTGCATATAGCTGCATTTTTCTTTTTTATCTAATCTGACCATCTCTGACTTTTAATTGGAGTGTTCCTACTCTTTACAAAAATATTTACTGATATGACTGTTTACTATTTTGCCATTTGCTTTTGGACTTTTTGTCACCCTTAGTGTCTGCTATTGCTGCTGCTTTTGTTCTGCATTCTCTTGATGGAATACTTATAGTTTTTGTAAAAGTTTTATTTAATAAATACAAATTTTATAGGTACAGCTTTAGGAATATAACAGTTTTTCCCCCCATACCCACCCTGCCACCCTAACTCCTGTCCCACCTCCTGCTCCCTCTCCCATCCCATTCTTCATTAAGATTGATTAAGTATCTTTATATACAGAAGACCAACTGTGTACTAGTAGTAAAGATTTCAACAGTTTGCAACCACACAGGCACACAAAGTATAAAGTACTGTTTGAAGACAAGTTTTACCGTTAATACTCGTTGTACAACTCATTAAGGACAGAGGTCCTACATGTGAAACAACTGCAAAGTGACTCCTGTTGTTTAATTTAACAATTGATATTCTTATTTATGGTGTCAGTGATCACCCAAGACTCTTCATGAGCTACCTTGGCTATGGAAGACTTTTGAGCCCACAAACTCTGACATTACTTAGAGCCATAATCAAAGTGGAAGTTCTTTCCTCCCTTCAGAGAAAGGTTATCTCCATCTTTGGCAGTCCCTTCTTTCCACTAGGATCTCACAGAGATCTTTCATATAGGCTATTTTTTGCCACAGTGTCCTAGCTTTCCATGCCTTAAATGCTTTCATGGGCTTTTTAGCCAGATCCAAATGCCTTAAGGGCTGATTCTGAGGCCAGAATGCTGTTTGTCATTCTATGAGTTCGCTATGTGGCCTGCTTCCCGTGTCGGATCATTCTCTCCTTTTTAATACTATGTATTGTTATTAGCAGACACTTGGTCTTTTTTTTCTTTTCTTTTTTTTTTTTTTTAAGTTTTTTATTTTGACAGGCAGAGTGGACAGTGAGAGAGAGAGACAGAGAGAAAGGTCTTCCTTTGCCGTTGGTTCACCCTCCAATGGCCACCGCGGCTGGCGCACTGCGGCCGGCGCACCGCGCTCATCCGATGGCAGGAGCCAGGAGCCAGGTGCTTTTCCTGGTCTCCCATGGGGTGCAGGGCCCATGCACCTGGGCCATCCTCCACTGCACTCCCTGGTCACAGCAGAGGGCTGGCCTGGAAGAGGGGCAACCGGGACAGAATCTGGCGCCCCGACCGGGACTAGAACCCGGTGTGCCGGCGCCGCTAGGCGGAGGATTAGCCTAGTGAGCCACGGCGCCGGCCGACACTTGGTCTTATTTATGTGATCCCTTTGACACTTATTCCTATCTATATGATCAGTTATACACTTAAAATGATCACTTTAACTAGTAAGATGGTATTAGTACCACCCAGCTTAAAGAGATTTGAAGTCCCATGGCAAGTTTTTAGCTTTACCCTTAGGGGTAAGTCTGAGCAAATGTGTGCCAAACTGTACATCTCCTCCCTATCTTATTCCCACTCTTATTTTTTTTACTGGAATCAATTTTCAATTGGATTTAAACACCTATGAATAATTCTGTGTTAAGTAGAGTTCAGTCAATGGTATTAAGTAGTAAAAAGAGTAAAATAATAAGCTGTTCCTTGACAGGACAAGAGCTGATGAAGTCACTGTTTCTCATAGTGTCAATTTCACTTCTACAGGTTACCTTTTAGGTGCTCAGTTAGTTGTCACCAGTCAGGGAGTACATATATTTGTCCCTTTGGGACTGGCTTATTTCACTAAGTTTGATGTTTTCCAGATTCATCCATTTTGTTGTAAAAGACCGGATTTCATTTTTTTTTTTTTACTGCTGTGTAGTATTCCACAGAGTACGTATCCCATAATTTCTTTATCCAGGCTTCTGTTGATGTTTAGGTTGACGTTTAAGCATTTAGGTTGATTCCATGTCTTACCTATTGTGAGTTGAGCTGCAATAAACATGGAGGTACAGATAGCTCTTTCATTTGCAGATTTAATTTCCTTTGGATAAATTCTGAGGAGTGGTAGGACTATATTCAGATTTCTGAGGTATCTCCAAACTGCCTTCCATAGTGGCTTTACCAGTTTGCATTCCCACCAGCAGTGGATTAGGGTACCTTTTTCCCCATGTCCTTGCCAGCATTTGTTATTTGTTGATTTCTGTAAGAGAGCCATTCTAACTGGGGTGAAACCTCATTGTGGTTTTGATTTGCATTTCCCTGACAGCTAGAGATCCTGAATATTTTTTCATGTGTCTGTTGGCCATTTGGATTTCCTCTTTTGAAAAATGTCTGGAGCCGGCGCGGTGGCGCACCGGGTTCTAGTCCCGGTTGCTCCTCTTCCAGTTCAGCTCTCTGCTGTGGCGCGGGAAGGCAGTGGAGGATGGCCCAAGTTCTTGGGCCCCTGCACCCACGAGGGAGACCAGAAAGAAGCTCCTGGCTCCTGGCTTCAGATCAGCGTAACTCCGGCCATTGCGGCATCCTGGAGATTGAACCAACGGAAGGAAGGCTTTTCTGCCTGTCTGTCTCTCTCGCTGTTTGTAACTCTGTCAAATAAATAAGTGAAAACCTTTAAAAAAAGAAAAATGTCTAAGTCCTTGGCCCATATCTTAAGTGGATTATCAAGAAACTGTGGAGTTCCTTGATCTCCTTCTAGATTCTGTTTATTAATCCTTTATCAATTCCATAGTTTGCAAATAATTTCTCCCATTCTGTCTGTTGCCTCTTCACTTTCCTATTTCTTTTGCTGTAAAGAAACTTCTCAATTTGATGTAATCCCAGTTGTTAATTTTGGCTTTGGCTGCCTGTGCCTCTGGGGTCTTTTCCAAGAAGTCTTTGCCTGTGCCAGAATCCTGCAGGGTTTCTATGATGTTCTCTAATAATTTGATGATATTGGCTTGTAGATTTAGATATTTAATCCCTGTTGAGTTGATTTTTGTGTAAGGTGTAAGGTAGGGGTCTTGCTTCATACTTCTGCATGTGGAAATCCAGTTTTCTCAGCACCATTTCTTGAATAGACTGTCCTTGCTCCAGGAATTGGTTTTAGCTCCTTGATCAAATATAAGTTTGTTGTAGATGTTTAGATTGCTTTCTAGTGTTTCTATTCTGTTCCATTGGTCTATACATCTGTTTTTGTACCAGTACCAGGCTTTTTTTGAATATAATTGCCTTACTATGTTTTGAAGCCTGGTATTGTGAAGTCTCCGGCTTTGTTTTTATTGTGTTAAGATTGCTTTAGCTATTCAAGTTCTACTGTGCCTCCATATAAATTTGAGCATCATTTTTTCTAGATCTGAGAAGAATGTCTTTGGTATTTTGATTGGTGTCACATTGAATCTATAAATTGCATTTGGAAGAATAGATATTTTTTGTTTGTTTTTATTTAGTAAAAATAAATTTCCAAAGTACAGCTTACAGATTACAATCCCCCCCCCACCATAATTTCCCTCCCACTCGCACCCCTCCCATCTCCCGCTCCCTCTCCCATTCCATTCACATCAAGATTCATTTTCAATTATCTTTATATACAGAAGATTGATTTAGTATATATTAAGTAAACATATCCTCAGTTTGCACCCACACAGAAACACAAAGTGTAAAATACTGTTTCAGTACTAGTTATGGCATTACTTCACATTGGACAACACACTAAGGACAGATCCCACATGAGATGTAAGTACACAGTGACTCCTGTTGTTGACTTAACAATTTGACACTCTTGTTTATGGCATCAGTAATCTCCCTAGGCTCTAGTCATGAGTTGCCAAGGCTATGGAAGCCTGTTGAATTCGCCGACTTCGATCTTATTCCGACAGGGTCATAGTCAAAGTGGAAGTTCTCTCCTCATTCATAGAAAGGTACCTCCTTCATTGATGGCCCCGTTCTTTCCACTGGGATCTCACTCGCAAAGATCTTTTATTTAGGTCTTTTTTTTTTCCCAGAGTGTCTTGGCTTTCCATGCCTAAAATACTCTCATGAGCTCTTCAGCCAGATCCGAATGCCTTAAGGGCTGATTCTGAGGCTAGAGTGCTGTTTAAAACATCTGCCATTCTGTGAGTCTGCTGTGTATCCCGCTTCCCATGTTGGATCGTTCTCTCCCTTTTTGATTCTATCAGTTAGTATTCGCAGACACTGGTCTTGTTTGTGTGATTCCTTTGACTCTTAGACCTACCAGTGTGATCAATTGTGAACAGAAATTGATCACTGGGACTAGTGAGATGGCATTGGTACATGCCACCTTGATGGGATTGTATTGGAATCCCCTTGTGCATTTCTAACTCCACCATTTGGGGCAAGTCCAATTGATCATGTCCCAAATTGTAATTTCCTCCCTCTCTTATTCCCACTCTTATATTTAACAGGGATCACTTTTCAGTTAAATTTAAATACCTAAGAATAATTGTGTGTTAATTACAGAGTTCAACCAATAGTACTAGAACAAAAAAGAATACTAAAAGGGATAAAGTATTACATTGTACATCAACAGTCAGGACAAGAGCTGATCAAGTCACTGTTTCTCATAGTGTCCATTTCACTTCAATAAGTTTCCCCTTTGCTGCTCAGTTAGTTGTCACTGATGAGGGAGAACATGTGATATTTGTCCCTTTGGGACTGGCTTAATTCACTCAGCATATGTTTTCCAGATTCCTCCATCTTGTTGCAAATGACCAGATTTCATTGTTTTTGACTGCTGTATAGTATTCTGTAGAGTACATGTCCCATAATTCCTTTATCCAGTCTACTGTTGGTGGGCATTTGGGTTGGTTCCAGGTCTTAGCTATTGTGAATTGAGCTGCAATAAACATTAATGTGCAGACAGCTTGTTTCTTTGCCAATTTAATTTCCTTTGGGTAAATTCCAAGGAGTGGGATGGCTGGGTCGAACGGTAGGGTTATATTCAGGTTTCTGAGGAATCTCCAGACTGACTTCCGTAGTGTCTTAACCAGTTTGCATTCCCACCAACAGTGGGTTAGTGTCCCTTTTCCCCCACATCCTCGCCAGCATCTATTGTTGGTAGATTTCTGAATGTGAGCCATTCTAACCGGGGTGAGGTGAAACCTCATTGTGATTTTTATTTGCATTTCCCTGATTGCTAGTGATCTTGAACATTTTTTCATTTGTCTGTTGGCCATTTGGATTTCCTCTTTTGAAAAATGTCTATTGAGGTCCTTGGCCCATCTCTTAAGTGGGTTGTTTGTTTTGTTGTTGTGGAGTTTCTTGATTTCTTTGTAGACTCTGGTTATCAGCCCTTTATCAGTTGCATAGTTTGCAAATATTTTTTCCCATTCTGTAGGTTGCCTCTTCACTTTCCTGACTGTTTCTTTTGCAGTACAGAAACTTCTCAATTTGATGCAATCCCAAATGTTAGTTCTGGCTTTGACTGCCTGTGCCTCTGGGGTCTTTTCTAGGAAGTCTTTCCTGGTACCTATATCTTGCAGGGTTTCTCCAATGCTCTCTAATAAATTGATGGTGTCAGGTTGTAGATTTAAGTCTTTAGTCCATGTTGAGTGGATGTTTGTGTAAGGTGAAAGGTAGGGGTCTTGCTTCCTGCTTTTGCATGTGGAAATCCAGTTTTCCCAGCACCATTTATTGAATAGACTGCCCTTACTCCAGGGATTGGTTTTGGATCCTTGATCAAATATAAGTTGGCTGTAGATGTTTGGATTGATTTCTGGTGTTTCTATTCTGTTCCATTGGTCTATCCATCTGTTTCTGTACCAGTACCATGCTGTTTTGATTACAACTGCCCTGTAGTATGTCCTGAAGTCTGGTATTGTGATGCCTCCGGCTTTGTTTTTGTTGTACAAGATTGCTTTAGCTCTTCGAGGTCTCTTGTGTCTCCATATAAATTTCAGCACCATTTTTTCCAGATCTGAGAAGATGTCTTCGGTATTTTGATTGGTATTGCAGTGAATCTGTAAATTGCTTTTGGGAGAATGGACATTTTGATGATACTGATTCTTCCAATCCATGAGCATGGAAGATTTTTCCATTTCTTGGTATCCTCTTCTATTCCTTTCTTTAAGGTTATGTAATTTTCATCGTAGAGATCTTTAACGTCCTTGGTTAAGTTTATTCCAAGGTATTTGATTGATTTTGTAGCTATTGTGAATGGGATTGATCTTAGCAGTTCTTTCTCAGCCATGGCATTGCCTGTGTATACAAAGGCTGTTGATTTTTGTGCATTGACTTTATATCCTGCTACTTTGTCAAAAATCTATGAGTTCCAATAGTCTCTTAGTAGAGTTCTTTGGATCCCCTAAATAAAAAAATCATATCATCTGCAAAGAGGGATAGTTTGAGTTCTTCCTTCCCAACTTGTATCCCTTTAATTTCTTTTTCTTGCCTAATAGCTCTGGCTAAATCTTCCTGAACTATATTGAATAGAAGTGGTATTAATGGGCGTCCCTGTCTGGTATCAGATTTCAGTGGAAATGCTTCCAACTTTTCCCCCATTCAATAGGATGTTGGCCGTGGGTTTTTCATAAATTGCTTTGATTATATTGAGGAATGTTCCTTCCATACCCAGTGTTCTTAGCGTTTTCATCATGAACGGGTGTTGTATTTTATCAAATGCTTTCTCTGCGTCTATTGAGATAATCATATGGTTTTTCTTCTGCAGTCTGTTAATGTGGTGTATCATGTTGATTGTTTTGCGAACATTGAACCAACCCTACATACCAGGGATCAATCCCACTTGGTCTGCGTGGATGATCTTTCTGATGTGTTGTTGCATTCTATTGGCGAGAATTTTATTGAGGATTTTTGCATCTATGTTCATCAGGGATATTGGTCTGTAATTTTCTTTCAATGCTGCATCTTTTTCCACCTTAGGAATTAGGTGATGCTGGCTTCATAGAAAGAATTTAGGAGGATTCCCTCTGTTTAAATTGTTTTTGAGTAACTTGAGAAGAATTGGAGTTCTTCTTTAAATGTCTGGAGGAATTCAGCAGTGAATCCATCTAGTCCTGGGCTTTTCTTTGTTGGGAGGGCCTTTATTACTGTTTCAATTTCTGTCTCAGTTATGGGTCTGTTTAGGTTTTCTATGTCTTCCTGGTTCAATTTATGTAGGTTGTATGTGTCCAGGAATCTGGACTGTTGTTCAGTTTTCATGTGTTTGCATATGCTCTAGAGATTCCTGAGTTGTTGATTTCCAGCTTCATTCAATAGTTGTTTGAGAAGATGCTTGGTATGATTTCTGTCTTTTTGAATTTGCTGAGACTGGTTTACCCACTGTGTCACAGTGCCAGCCCCAGATTTTTGTTTTAACAGAAATACTGAAATTTCATTTTAAATTTCATATAAAATATTTTGGACAGTTCTAGAAATGTTTAGTTGATCATAATAAAGACTAAAAATATAAAACGCTTAGAACTATTTGAAACTACAGACAATGAAATAAAAATAAGATTGCATACTAACATTAAATCTCAAGAAAAATTCTCTGAAGTTATTTTTATGTTAATATTTCAATAAATTATTCTTCTGCAGACTCCTTCCTTTGAAACTCAGTCTTTCCTTGAAATTTGACTTATGTGACAGTGTGATTCTTGTACTTTTAAAAATTATTTTGGAGTGAAATAGATATTTTGAGATTCAGTGATTGTTTACAGCCCTTGTCTCTTCTGTTAAGAGACAGTGTTTTTGTTTTTGTTTTCCTTCATACTATTTGTTGAACTCCTTTACTTAGAATAGGGTTAATTTTACCTTCATTAAGTAAACTGAAAGTAAATCTTTGTAAAAATTAAGAATGGGAATGGGAGAGAGAAGAGGAAGAAGGGTAGGAACATGGGTAGGAGGGAGGGTGGAGGGGGGAGTGTCACTATTTTCCTAAATCTGTATATATGAAATGCATGGAACTTGTAAAACTTACATAAAACATTTAAATTGTATTTTATGATTAATATATGAAAATGTATGGTACATTCTACCTGACTTCTCATAATTGCATTTTCACATTATTTCAGAATCAGTAATTTACAAAATTGATTGTTATATATTCATGTAAATTTCAGACAAATTTGATATGTATTTTAGTTATTTTCAGAAAAAAATGCATTTCCTCTGATAAAAAATTATTTTATTCAGAAAATTACAGTGATGATTTTGATGATGCTGAGGATATTGATGCAGCTTTGACTACCAAAGATGAAGAGATTCATTCTGAAGAAAATCCCAAATCAGAAAAAATATATGTACCCAAACAGGTACATTATCAATTATGTATGTTTTTAAGATTGTATTTATTTATTTGAGAGTTCATTTGAGAAAGAGTTACAGAGAGAAGGAGTGACAAAGAGGTCTTCCATCCTCTGGTTCAGTCCTCAAATGGCCACAACCACCAGAGTAGGGCACGAAATGATGTCCATTTGGGATGACGGCGTCTCAGGTAGAGGCTTAGCCTCCTAGGCCACAGCACCGGCCCCCAATTATGTGTTTAACAGTTTGACAACTTCTTCCATCAACCTGGCTAACTTGCCATTTGAGGAGCTCAGAATACAAAGTTCTTCATAGTCTTGCTCTTTGCTGTCAACTTAGGAGTCTACACACTCAGGTGTGCATTTTCTTAACTGAGATGTCAGCTGAAACTCTGACAATTGATTCTGTAAGGGATTGCGTTTGGCAAAGGATTTCTCTTAGTTAAGCTTCAGGAATTGAAAATTAAATTTCCAAAACTACATTTTAATAGGTATATTACAGGTTTCTGTGACAGGAATTTTCATTGTAAAGTACAATAAATTTCCCTTAGTAGGGTTTAAGACTTAGTTGGCTGGGAGCCGGTGCCATGGCTCACTTGGTTAATCCTTCGCCTGTGGTGCTATAATCCCATATGGGTGCCGGGTTCTAGTCCCGGCTGCTCCTCTTCCAGTCCAGCTCTCTGCTGTGGCCCAGGTCCTTGGGCCCTGCACCCACATGAGAGACCAGGAGGAAGCACCTGGCTCCTGGCTTTGGATCGGCGCAGCGCTGGCCGTTGCAGCCATTTGAGGGGGTGAACCAACGGAAAAAGGAAGACCTTTTTCTCTGTCTGTCTCTCTTTCTCTCTCTGTCTATAACTCTACCTGTCAAGAAAAATTAAAAAATTAAAACTTAGTTGGCTAAGATTAGGAATTATATTATTCCTTTCACATTCAGCAGTGCTCTGCTCTAATTCTCTCATTTGCCAGTTGTTACCAAGGCTTGTTCAGAGCTATAGGACTATGTAGTATATAACCTATCATACAGAACTTATCTGTGAAGCTTTCTAATAGTAGTTATAAGACGATTTCTGTTGTTATTTTGGTCTTGTTGTGTACACAGTCTCTTGGGATTGCATATTAGGACTAGATGTTTTGAATATGTGTAAAACTCATAGCCTCTAAATAAAGAGTGAAATATTTTTCAGGTATATGTAAATACTCTTTAATTTTAAACTTGATACTTTGTTTTGGGTTGCTGTCTCTCTGTGTCATGTGATTTATACATGAAATATGGCAATTACAATATTCTTTGAGAAAATTAATAATGCATGATGGTACAGTATATTAAGAAAATGTCCCCTGTACTAAAATATTTCAGCCCAAATGTAGAAGCCTCACAAAGAAAAGTCTGGGTAAGACTCGAAACAGGAAAGACTTACAGCTTTGTCATTTTTTAAGATTTATTGATTTTACTTGAAAGGCAGAGTTACAGAAAGAGAAAGTACTTCATCTGCTGGTTCACTCCCCAAATGGCCATGATGGCTGGAGTTGGGCCAGTTTGAAGCCAAGAGCCAGGAGCTTCTTCCAGCTCTTCCACGTGGATGCAGGAGCCGAAGGACTTGGGCCATTTTGCACTGCTTTGCCAGGCACATTAGCAGGGAGCTGGATCAGAAGTGGAGCAAGCTGGGATTTGAACTGGCACTCACATGGAATGCTGACACTGCAGGTGGCGGTTTAACCTGCTACACCACAACACAGGCTCCTATAGCTTTGTTATTATGGGAGGACCCTGCACACTTCATAGGCTTGTGAGGAATGTGGAGACACTAATTAGAAGTTATTCTAAGGCAGAGGTGGGGAACGTTTTCTCTGCCATTGACCATTTAGGTATTTATAACATCATTTGTGGGCCATATGAAATTATCAGCTTAAAAATTAGCCTGCTGTATGTTTATTGAATTTTGAGCCCTGCCTGTGGTAGCGTTGGCAGGATTTCACACTCCTTAGACAGTCTGCAGGCTAGACATTCCCTACCCCTGTTCTAAGGGCACCTGCAGTATTGAAGAGCTTCACCCGTCTTGCTGTTTGATGGCTTGCCCTCCTAAAATCTGTCTTGAAATGTGGATGGAACAATAAGTATAAGGTATATTTGGTTATTTTTAACAAGGAAAAACTGATGATGAAATAATTACAGGACTCATGTGAAGAAGCTCTGTTATGTTGAAGTTAAAAACAGAAAGTTTGAGCAAGGTCAGTGAGCAGATGGTAGGTACCTAAACAATTTAAGAGAGGCTTTTAAAAGCCTAAATTAGTTTTGGTAATTGCCAAAGTTTGGAAGAGACTTTTAAAAGTTTTCTCAGAACTATAGTTTTGACATACTGTTAATAAATGAAAATGGTGACGAAAACCTAGAAAGCATAACTTCTTGATCTCTTCACAACAGAATTTGCCTTGTGGTCATTTGATGTGATTTTGGTCTTAAAACATGAAATAATTTTCTTTTACCTTAGGAAGAAGAGAAAACCGGTATGCTGGCTAATGGTAAATATTATGTATATTTATATATTTTTGGTAGCAAAAATTAGTCTATTCAGAAAATTTTATCTCAATAACTCTGAATAAATTACTTTGTTTTTAACTATCTCTAAGGAATTAAACTTTATTGCTTTTCTCAATAATGTATTCCTTCTGCCTATCAAGAATCCTGTTACACTTGAGAATTTTTTTTGTTGTTCTTATTAGACTGTTTGAAAGCACAGGTAGGTGTGTTCATGTTAACTTACTCTCTTGTACATAACAAGAAAATCACACTTTTTATATTTGAGAGGGCTTCAGAAAGCTTGTGGACAAATGGAATTAAAATATAATGAGGATTTTGAAGACCACTTATATACCTAAATCATGCTTGTTTTAATATATACATATACATACACAAGATTAAATACTGATTGTATGTAGACATTGTATGTGAGAAAGAAACTACACAAATTACTTACAGTCCTTATATTTTTTTTCTTATATATTCTTTCAGTTGTACTTCTTGATTCATTAGACTCTGTTGAAGACGTCAACCTGGATGAACAGGATAAAGCAGCAGCTAAGTCAAAAACCCTACAGGGAATGATTGATAAAGAAATGACAGAAACGGGTAAACATATTTGAAAAATTGCTGTTCTTTAGAATACTTTGTAATCCATTGACTTCATTTCTAGTGAGGTATATAAAGTAACTGCACTGACCGTAAAACTTTATATTTCACATTTTCTACCATCTTTAACAATTTAAATAACCAGAACTCACTAATGGTGGCACTTAATGCTAATAGGTCAAGTCAAGTGATGTTAAAATACACACATATTAATAAATGAGTAAATGCTATTGATGCGAAAGTATAGCACTGTAGGTAAATATTAACAATTTACCTATGTAATACTGTGCCTCTCCACAGAATTCAGTTAATTTTGCCTTTTAGAAGAAATGAGACTTTGGCCTTATGTTCTTTTCCATAAGACCGAAGAGAGCTTTCCTTCTCTTTAGGAAGACATTAGATTAGCTGCCACAGTTCTGAAACACCAAAGACTAGTGAGGCTATGCCAGAGCTTATAAAGGTCTTTGATAAACTACTTTGTTAAAACAGTGGAAACTTTATCCAATTAAAATCTTATATAGAACATTATATAGAAGTAAACATGCTATTTTTATCAGTATAAATTTGTAAGCTCTCAGTTGTGACATCTATCTATAAAATTAATGAGGGCAGACATTTTGCACAGTGGTTAATTTATTGCCTGGGCTGCTTACATCCTATATGGAACTGCCTGGCTCTTCCTGTTCAGATGCAGCTTGCTGCTGGTGCGCACCCTGGGAGGCAGGAGATGACAACTCAAGTACTTGTGTCCCTGCCAGATATCAAGAGAAGAATTCTGGGCTCTTGGCTCCAGCCTGGCCCTGCCCTTGTTATTTCAGGCATTTGGGGAGTGAACCAGGGGAATGCAAGATCCCTGTCTGTCTCTTTCTCTTTCTCTCTCTCTCTCTCTCTCTCTCTCTCTTTCTCTCTCTGCCTTTCAAGGAGAATTAAAATAAATAAAAATATTGTTAATGTGGAAATGATACTAAAAAGTTATGTGGTTAAAGAATAAAATATAAATGTTTTAAAAATTAATGAAAATAGAGGTTTTTTTGAAAATTTTGAAATTAGGATCTATAGACATATGTTAACATTCTTTTATCACCATCAGCCTTCCACTCTGTATTTTGTTTTGTTGTATAGCAATAATCTTACCACATTAACAATTGCAAATTAAAATGTTTTAATCAGCTTACTTTTGCATCTCATGATACTGGTCAACTATACCAATTCAGACACTTGGAAATAAAGATGAAATCACTAACCAACTATAAACATTAGCTTGCATTTTATTTTTTTATTCTTACTTTTTATCAAAATATAGCTATAGAAAAGTGCAGCTTAATAAGTTTTCAGTTATTAAATACACACATATAATTCAGTTATTAAATACACAGATAAACAACCAGATCAAAAAATAAGAGTCAAACAGCAAATTTCTTTCAGATCTTTTGTTTCTAGTTACTTTCCTTCTGAGAGTTACCTCTGTTTCATCCCCTTCCATTTTAAAACATAAGTACACAAGTCAAAAAGTTAAAGCTATGTATAAGAATTTTCCCACAAGACATATTAATTGCTTATTTGCTGTCACCCAGAAGGATTGCTCTGCCTTGATGAAAGCATATCCAGAGCCCATGTCCCTCAGCTAGCTGTACCACTGTTTAAGTAACCATGTCATGTCATAAAGGTGCTGTGATCGTCCTCCACTTCTAGTTTTCAGTATTCAGACATGAGTTGTTTCAAAAGACCATTGTTGAGCTACAACTTTTCTAGTTATCAGTATGCTATGGGAAGTTCCATGTATGCAGAATGGCCAGAGAAATTTTATTCTGACATGCATGGAAACAAGTTAAATAGAAGGCAAAAGTTATAAAAATACTGTAATTACATAATATCTTCAAAATATTAGAGTTACATAAATGGCATATTCTAGTGCGCAGACTAGGTTCTATTATACTGTTTTAAAGCATAATTTAAAATGGGATTCCAATCAAATATTTGTGGAACCCATTATTTTCTTTGAAAAATTGCTACTTTATTGATCACAGTATGAAAACTAACGCTGTAGACTATAAGAAAGACTCACAGGACAGGTGTTTGTGCCTCTTGTATTAGAGTGCCTGGGTTTGATTTCTGGCTCTGAATTGCATTTCAAATTCCTACCAAGGCAGAGTTTGGGAAACAGCAGGTGGTTGCTCAAGTATTTTGACCTCTGGCACCCACATGGGAGATCTGGATTGAGTTTGACTCTCAGCTCTGGCATCAGGGCCCAGCCCTGGCCATGGCAGCCACTTAGGAAAAAAATAAGCAAATGGGAGTTCTCTATTTCTGTCTCCCCCACTGTCTCTGTGTATCAGTCTTTGTCCCTGCCTCTCAAATTTTTTAAAAATTCAAGTAAAAATATATTGCTAAAAGTAAAAATTGTAAGAAGATAATCATATTAAGATGATCCAAACAGTTATGAAGTTAGTTTGCTGTCCTTTTTTCTTAAATGTTCTTAACTCTGAAATAGCTTGATTAGTTGACGACTGGAAGGTAGTAGAGCATGAAGTTACTGCCATGTAGACTTGTATTCATATTCGCAGCCCTGCCGCCATGTGCCTCTAAGCCTGTTTCCTCTTTAAAAATAAAACTTCTGATGATCAACTGAGATAATGTGTATTTCCTGGTACATTATGAAAACTCATTAAGCAGTAGCTACTCTATGGTTGTTGTCATCATTATTTATATAAGCCAAGCTGTAGAAAAGAATCTGAAGGCATACAGAATAAACAATGTTTGTAGGTTATTTCATTTACCTAGGATTTCAAAAATACACTTGCAGATTTCAAATGATGATTTGAACTTGGTTTAAGAACTGAAATATTCAGTGACTTGTTTTGTTTTACTGTGTCTAAGCAGGCTCAGAGATTGCCTTTAGTTAATCATATGATTTAGGAATTTTTTGTATTTTGTTAAACTGTTAGTAAATATAAAAATAAGGTTTTTCCCAGCACCAGGCCAGATCTAACTTTTCACTACTTTCATTTGTCTCATGGCCACGTGTCATTTTGTATCCTGGATGCATGACTGGAGTAGTTATAGGATGGTAGTATTGCTCTATGAAAGCAGGAAGATGAGGCAATACATATTTTACTATTTTCTTTTTAGCATGCATTAATTAATCATGAGTCTCAATAATAAATTTGTCATTGTATTTCCCTTCTTGGCTTCCACTTTGCTACAAATAATTTTTAATTTTTAAAAAATCCACCATTAGTGATAGAAGATACAATTTGATTAAGAGATTATTTACAAAAATTTGAGCTCTTTATTGTCATTAGTTCTGTCATTCTTTTTTGGTAGAATTGGTCATCTGGTGAGAAGAGAAGGTTAATAGGGAAGGAAGAGTGAATGATGACGTCACAGTTCCTGTTTTGGGTGATGGAGTAAATAGTGATACCACTAGATAAAATATGGAATACTGATGATAGAATAAGTTTTTGTGGGAATATGTTTTACATCCCCAAATTCAGTTGGGGATATTTTAGATGTGATTTTCATAGAGGACAATCCTAATATATGTTAGTGAGATTGTGTTAAGAAAAGAGATACAAAAGAGAAAGGTTTGGGAGCCACAAGCAAAAGTGAAGTTAAAGCCAAGCTTTTTTATTTTTCTTTTTATCCATTTTTTTAATCCAGAAACTTTTTCTTTAAGATATACAAACTTTATGCATTTCATAAATACAAATTTAGCTTCCCACACTACCCTCCCTCCAACATGCATTCCTACACTTCTTCCTCCTCCCTCTCCTAGTCTCATTCTTATTTTTTTACTAAGGTCTATTTTCAATTAACTTTATACACATAAGATTAACCCTATACCAAGTAAAGAGTTTAACAAATAGTATGGAAAAAAAAAAAGACAAAACCCTAAACTATTCTTCAACAGTCAAGGCAAGGGCTGTTAAAAGTCATCGCTTCTCAAGTGTCAGCTTCACTTCTGTACATTACCTTTTAGGTACTCGGTTAGTTACCACAGATCAGAGAGAACATATGGTATTTGTCTTTTAGGGACTGGCTTATTTCAATAAGTATAATGTTTTCCAGTGCACTCATTTTGTTGCAAATGACAGGGTCTGGTTTTTTTTTTATATACTGCTGTTTAGTATTCCATGGTGTACATATCCTGCAATTTCTTTTTTTTTAACATATTTTCTTTGTATTTATTCCAAGTTAAAATACTATGAATATTTTGTTATACCTATTTAAAATATATGTGACAATGACAATATTTTACATGCATATTTTAGATTAGCACAATTGCCAAATAAATATTTAAAGACTTGAATTCAAATTATTATAAAACACTGTAATATTTTGCTCAAAATTCCAATGTACAGACTTAAAAAGTCCTTGAAGACCATTGCTGTGCAATCAACTGAAAGCATCCTGTAGAGTGTCAATAAGGGTACACACTAGGGAACAGTTCACGGGTTTTCTCAGCACCATTGTTGCCAAGACAACATCTTCTCATCTATCTAAATACAGTTTTTAATAATTTCACAATTCGTGTTCCCTCTCTGTCAAGTAAATACAGGGAATGAGCCTTCATGAAGTTAGCTAGGGATGGGTGCACATTATGGATCAGTGAGTTAAGCCACCACTTGCAATTTCCGTGTACAACATCAGAGTGTCTGGTTCAAACCCTGGTTACTCTACTTCTGATCCAACTTCTTGCTTATGAACATCCTGGGAGAAAACCGGTAATGGCTTAAGTACTAGTCCCTGCCACTCAGAGACTAGAATGTCATTCCAGAATTCCAGGCTTTGTCCTAACACAGCTCCAGCTGCATTTGATAAGTAAACAGTCAGATGTAAGATTGAAATACCTCTCTCACTTTCTCTCTCTCTCTCAATTTAATTAGATGAAAATATTTTTTTCCGATTGTAAGTACAATTCTTTGTACACTTTATGGAGATAGATATGTCAACAAAATAGTGAAGAAGAAATTGAGATACACAGTATTTTTGAGTAAGTTAGCCATTATTCTTCTTTTGGACAGTCACAGGGTCATGCCTTCTTAGAGGAATTTTAGAACTCTGACTCACTCACTGCTGCTGTTTCTTCCATTTCTTTTATTTATTTTTTTTAACTTTTATTTAATGAATATAAATTTCCAAAGTACAGCTTATGGATTACAATGGCTTCCCCCCCATAACGTCCCTCCCACCCGCAACCCTCCCCTTTCCCATTCCCTCTCCCCTTCCATTCACATCAAGATTCATTTTCGTTTCTCTTTATATACAGAAGATCAGTTTAGCATACATTAAGTAAAGATTTCAACAGTTTGCACCCACATAGAAACATAAAGTGAAAAATACTGTTTGAGTACTAGTTATAGCATTAAATCTCAATGTACAGCACACTAAGGACAAAGATGCTACATGAGGAGTAAGTGCACAGTGACTCCTGTTGTTGACTTAACAAATTGACACTCTTGTTTATGGCATCAGTAATCACCCTAGGCTCTTGTCATCAGCTGCCAAGGCTATGGAAGCCCCCTGAGTTCACTGAGTCTGATCATATTTAGACAAGGCCATGGTCAAAGTGGAAGTTCTCTCCTCCCTTCAGAGAAAGGTACCTCCTTCTTTGATGACCCGTTCTTTCCACTGGGATCTCACTTGCGGAGATCTTTCATTTAGGTTGTTTTTTTTTTTTTTCCCCAGAGTGTCTTGGCTTTCCATGCCTGAATGCCTGAAATACTCTCATGGGCTTTTCAGCCGGATCTGCATGCCTTAAGGGCTCATATCCTGCAATTTCTTTATGCAGTCTTCAGTTGATGGACATTTGGGTTGATTCCATATCTTAGCTATTGTGAGTTGAGCTGCAATAAACATGGGGGTACAATAACTCTTTCATATGTGAATTTCATTTGCTTTAGATAAATTCTCAGGAGTGGAATGGCTGGGTCATATGCTAGGACTATATTCAGATTTCTGAGGTATCTCCATACTGTCTTCCACAGTGGCTGTACCAGTTTACAGTCTCAGCAACAGTGGCCCAGAGTACCTTTTTCCCCACGTCCTCTCCAGCACTTGTTGTTTATTGATTTCTGTGTGAAAACCATTCTAACTGAAGTGAGGTAAAACCTCATTGTGGTTTTGCTTTGCACTTCCCTGATAGCTAGTGATCCTGAACATTTTTTCATATGCCTGTTGGCCATTTGGATTTCCTCTTTGGAAAAATGTCTGTTTAAGTCCTTTGCCCATTTCTTAACTGGATTATTTGTTTTGTTGTTGTTGAGTTTCTTCACTCTTTGTATATTCTGGATATTAATGCATTATCAATTGCATAGTTTACTAATAATTTCTTCTGCTATGTCAATTGTTTCTTCACTCTGCTGAGTGTTTCCTTTGCAGTGCAGAAGTTTCTCACTTTGATATAATCCCATTTGTGAATTTGAGCTTTGATTACCTGTGCTTCTGGGGTCTTTTCCAGGAAATCTTTGCCTATGTCAATGACTTGCAGAGGATTTCCCCAATGTTCTCTAATAATTTGATGGTATCTGATCATAGATTTAGGTCTTTGATTCATTTTGAGTGGATTTTTGTGAAGGTGTAAGGTAGGGGTGTTGCTTCATACTTCTGCTTGTGGAGATCCAGTTTTCCCAGCGCCATTTGTTAGAGACTTTCCTTTCTGTAGGAATTGATTTTAGCTCCTTAACCCAAGATAAGTTGGTTGTGTTCCTTTGAGGGTGTCATGTGTTCCACTTTTTTTTTATTTGAGAGGTAGGGTTACAGACAGTGAAAGGAAGAGACAGAGAGAAAGGTCTTCCTTCCGTTGGTTCACTTCCCAAATAGCCACAACAACTGGAGCTGCTCTGATCCAAAGCCAGGAGCCAGGAGCTAGGAGCTTCCTCCTGGTCTCCCACATGGGTGCAGGGGCCCAAGCACCTGGGCTGTCTTATACTGCTTTCCCAGGCCATAGCAGAGAGCTGGATGGGAAGAGGAGCAGCCAGGAGCAGAACCGGTGCCCACATTTGATGCTGGCACCGCAGGCTGAGGATTAACCTGCTGCACCATGGTGCCAGCCCCAAGGTGTGCACTTCTGATCAAGCCAAGTTCTTGATGAAATTAGCCATCCTCACCACCACCCCTCCACCCCATGCCAAAACTAAGTATAAGGATTAAGAAAGAAGCCTAAAACTAGAGCCCTGAAATGAGCTGTTGACCATAAGAGATGAAAAAGTAGTCTCAGAGTGGTGGGAATAAGAAGAAAAAGCAGGGATAACAGAAGCGATAGATGACTCAAAATGTTGAAGAGGTGATGGATTTGGCCATTAGGAAATTGCGTTTGATTATAGTGGCTTTAGTAGAATATTGGAAAACTTAACCAGTTACAAAGTTGGGAGGAATGAATTACAGTTGAAGAAAATATGCAGATTACAAGATGCTTGGTGGTACAGGGAAGCAGAGAGAGTAAGAGAATGATAGTGATAAGGGAGGGGTAGAATCCTTCAAAGGAATTTGTCAGTTTGGGAAATTTAGGACTACTTTTAAACAATGAGAGGGGTTGATTAAAAATAGTAGGAAGAGAGGACAATAATTAGTGAAGTCAGATTTTATGCTAGAAAGGTTATTGAATCTGCTGTGATTTAATGCGAATAGACTATAGGTAGGTACAAATTACCTACGTCTGTAGTTAACTCTACTTTTATTAACCTTCCTTCAGCCCTGTTTACCATTCCCAACATACTGATGATGTTAGTGTTTTGTATTTGTGATGTGATTATAACTGGGGATGCCATTTATTTCAGCAGGTATTTCTTACGGACAAAGCAATAGTGACATTGAAGCCTTGCGTCAGGCTTACTCTCACATAGCCCATTCATTGGGGGATGCAGATGAGCAAAAAACTGGATGTAACACAGTGGGAAATATCAAGGGCTCAGTGAAAGATCATTCTCAAGAAAATGAAGAGTCTTCAAAAAACATTTCTACTACTGAATCTGGTAAAAGTTGATAGATCAATTTTTTTAAGTATTTGAGACCCTAACTGAATAGTTTCTAGTTTCTAGTATAATATAAAGACAGTTTGTGAGCATAAAGAGTTTGTGCATGTGAAACTCAGGAATCATTTGTTTAAATATAAAATTTGACCCAAACAGAATAAAATTTCCTTTTCTAGTATCCCTGCACAAAATTAAGAAATCACTTAAGTTGATATTTTTTACTCTTTTTCATGTACATATATTAAAGTTGTTATTTTAATAGAGAGCAGTATGGGGGGGGGGTCAGCTAAATACATGCTTAGCAAATATGTGCATGTGTTTATGTAGATATATATTTGACACTGATATTTCATAAATATCAAAGGAGATTTTCTTAGTACAAGGAAATTTGTAGTGGGAAGCAGGTTATTACATGTACTATTTTGTTAACTGTGTCAATTAGAGAAAATGTAATTTGGTGGTATGAGACATGCAGAAGTAAGCAATTTATATAACATTGTGGCTTTAAATTTCACTTTTTCCTTCTTTAGATCTGCCCACAGTAGAGGAGCTAATGAAACCTATCAGAATAGATTCTTTTGGGGTCAGTGGTTTTGATTTACAACCAATCAGGTATGAGTTTTTTTGGACTGTATTGTGTAGGATGATTTGTTGAGTTTTGGGATTTTTTTTTTGTTTGTTCTGTCATTGGAAACGTTTATGACTTTTTGTTGTATGTCATTTCTAGTGTAAGATTTATGGCTAACATTAGCGTATATGAATTTCCCTTTAAGTCACTATTCACTTCTTTTCATGTTCTTACTCAGTTAATTCATAAAAATTCTTCTAGTACTAAAAAAGAAATTGATGCTATTAAATAAAAACTGCTATTAATTGGTATTAAAACTTTTCACTGAAAAATATGATCTCTCTTCAGCTCTGCATAATGAGGGACTGTTGTTTCATAATCAGAGAAAAAATGAGTTTTATTTTTTAGATGAGTCATTGATATGTTCTTTATAAACCTGCTAGTTTTGACTTAATCACAGACTGGCCCTTGGTCTCACAGGTGAGTTCTGTGCTCACATATGAATCAGGTTTCGTGAATATCTCTCAAGTCCTGTACAGTTTGGTGGAAGGATACGTGACCCACTGTCATTCTGCAAACAAACTAGTACAGCACAGTAACATGTCTTTTTTTTTTTAAGATTTATTTATTTATTTGAAAGTCAGAGTTATAGAGAGAGAAGGAGAGGCAGAGAGAGAGAGAGAGAGAAAGGTCTTCCATCTACTGGTTCACTTCCCAATTGGCTGCAGCTGCCGGAGCTGCGCCTATCTGAAGCCAGGAGCCAGGAGTCTCCTCTGGGTCTTCCCATGCAGGTGCAGGGGCCCAAGGACTTGGCCATCTTCCACTGCTTTCCCAGGCCATAGCAGAGAGCTGTATCAGAAGTGGAGCAGTCAGGTCTCGAACTGGTGCCCATATGGGATGCTGACACTGCAGGTGGCAGCTTTACCCGCTATGCCACAGCGCCAGCCCCCAATAGTAATGTCTTAAGACAGTTTTGCATTTCTGTATTATTCATTGTCACATACAGTATCTCACATAATCCATTTAATAAGTAGACAAGGTATCTTTATTCCCAATTATTCAAGTAATGAAGTTGAAATAAATCTAATTTAGTGATGGAACTCTCACCAATACCAGATAATGATTATACCGGTCTCTGCCTCTGAAATAAATAAATAAATTTCAATCTTGTTTGACTTGGCTTTCTTTAAAGTAGATCTGAGTTATTTGTGTAATTCTTTATATTTTCCAGTTTTAAAATTATCTGAAATTAAAATAGATTACTTAGTACTATATGAATATGCCATGATAACCCAAATTGTTAATAATGTATTTAACATTAGTAACTTTAATTTGAATATTTACAACTCTTACAGTGTGTGTGTGTGTGTAACTGGTATTTGAAGAGTCATATTACATAGGATTCACTCTCTGTGTCCAATTTCATTTTATAGCTCTAAGAAAATGGCTGATGATAAGGAAACTGAATGTATTAGCCATTTACCCCTACAGATGAACTCAAATGTGATGTCTGAAGACTTATACCATGTGAACCAATCTTTGGACAAAAATGATGAGAATGTGATTTTACAAAGGACAGCAAGTGAGGGTATGGAATGTAGCTATCCACCAGTAACTGCTTCAGAGGAACATATTGATAAAATGTACCTTGATATTTTGAGGAAAAAATTATCAGTTAATGAATTATTATTACCTCAAGATGACAAAATTAATAAAGTAAGTATGTATAACCCAAATTGCTTTGATAAATTTAGCAATGAAGTTATGTCAGATTTATAAAGTACTGTTGATAAATGTGTTCTGCCACTGGGATTGATTACACACTGACCTCCACAGTAGATGCTCAAGATTTGTGGACTTGTGGGTGATATTTATTACAGTGCCCTCTAGTCCCCAAATTAAAAAATACCACCGTGACATTTGCTTTCTTTTAGAAGCTGTTCTTCACAGTGTTTCTTTTATTTCTTCCTCTTCTTTTTTTCCAAGCATAGCCCAGAATTTGAATAGTAAAATAAAATAAACTGTATTTATCATTATAGTGTTTGTTGTTCAGTCTTTCCAATAGTTAACGTTGTAGTAAGTGGCACTTTGCAGGAATGCTGCTAACAACCGTTGGGAAATTTATACTTCACTATCCCTTTTTTTCCTCTGTTCTTGATCTCTTCTGCTTTGTAGTTTCCCTGGTCTCAATATTCTCTTTGTATTTTATAATATTGAATTGTGTATTTACTGTAAATCATCTCCAGTTCTTTGTGGAGTAAGTCAGAATTTCAGTGAAATTTTTAAAGCATCTTGAAAAGTTGAGAGGAAAGAAAGATTTCAAATGTAATTTCGAAATATATTCTTTCCTTGATCTCTTCCATGTTCATTCTAGTAATTACACATCTGGCTTTCTGGAAACCTTATTTTGCTTTGTTATTTGCTTTGTTTTAATGCTAACTTTGAAACTATATTACAAAGTGCCAAGATTATAACTAGAAAACTTTATCATAGTTGTTTACCTTTTACAAACTGTATTATTTGGTCATGATGAGTATCTTGCTATATATTAACTTTTCCTTCACAACAACAGTTGAAGTTCATTTAGGTTCTGAAGAATTTACATTTTTTTGTATGCAGACTTTTCGATCTCAGCTGAGTTCTGGAGAAGAAGGGGCTGTAATTGGTAAACAAGTACTGTACAAAAAGGCTAGAAGTGCACCTCCTTTGCTTAAAAAAAAACCTCAGAGTGGATTATATGCATCAGTTAGGAGCTCAGGCTATGGCAAACCCAGTTCCCCACTCAAGATGTTTTCTACTCTTGAAAAGAAATCTTCAAAGGACATTGTGAAAACCAAAAACTTGAGACCCATTCCTGCCTCAAATCAAGCTAGGAAAAAAGGTAATCCAATACTTTTTTCATAATACATTTTGTACATATAGTTTATTTCCTTCCTTGTTTTCAGGGAGATAAATTAATCTGAAGATACTATATTCTTCTGAAACAATTTATAGAAGGTCACACATGGGGCTTGCCCCAGGATGGTGGCAGTGGATGGGGATAAAAAGTGGTTGGATAAGGATACATTTCGAGACAGAACCAAAAATCTGAACAGCTGGTTTCAGGCTACTAAATTTTTTGTCTGGAAAATTGAATTACTATCAGGTGGATGGAAAAGAATAGATTTGCATGTGGACTGAAGTGTTTAGTTTTGAGATGTCAATTTTGAGTTGTCTATTTGACATGCAAGTGAAGTTGACAAGGAGGCAATTAGATTTAAATCTGGAGTTCAAGAGGCAGGTATGAACTGTAGATATCTTTTGGCAAGTGTTTTTAAAAACAGAAAGATGGTTTGTTATGAGACCAAGAGTACCAAGAAAGAAAGCACTACTAGAAGGAAAAAAAGGAGACCAGGACCTGGGGTCCAGACATGCCAATCTTTTTTTTTTTTTTTTAATTTATTTGACTAGTAGGTTTATAGACAGAGAGAAAGGTCTTCCTTCTGTTGGTTCACTCCCCAAATGGCCTCTATGGCCAGCGCTGCACCAATCCGAAGCCAGGAACCAGGTGCTTCTTCCTGGTCTCCCATGCGGGTACAGGGGCCCAAGCACTTGGTCCATCCTCCACTGCCCTCCCGGGCCACAGCAGAGAGCTGGAATGGAAGAGGAGCAACCAGGACTAGAACCTGGTGCCTATATGAGATGCCAGCACCGTAGGTGGAGGATTAACCAAGTAAGCCACAGCACTGGCCCCCCAGACATGCCATCTTAAGAGCTCAAGCAAAGGGGCCCACATGGTGCAGTGGGTGAAGCCACTGCTTCTGAAGTTGACATCCTATAACAAATCCCAGCTGTTCTCCTCTAGCTTGCTGCTAATGCACCTGGGAAGGCACCTACCACCCACTTGGGAATTCCTGCCAGGCTTTGACCTGGCCAGGGCCTGGCTAGGACCTGGCTGTTGCAGGCATCTGGGGAGTGAACTGATGAATGGAGGAGCTCTCTCTCTCTCTGGCTTCGCCTCTCTACCTTTTAAATAAATAAATCTTTAAAAACTTCCAAAGAAGGATTAAAATCAAGCAGAGGAGAAAGAAGTTACAAGTGAAGACAGGGTGAGATTGGAGGAAACCTTGGAATCAGGTAGAATCCTAAAGACCAAATGAACAAAGTGTTTTTAAGAAGAATCTGATCAGTCATTTGCCGCTAAGAAGCAAAGAAAGATACGGATTGAGAAATCACTTTTTTTTTTTTACTTTTATTTAGTAACTTCATCTTCATTCATTTTTAGGACTTCTTAAATTTTCCTTTTGATTCCTTCTGTGATCTGCTGTTTATTCAGGAGCATGTCCTTTAGTCTCCATGTGTTTGTTCATTTTCTAGTTTCTTAAGTTGTTCATTTCCAATTTCATTCCACTGTGGTCATAAAAGATATGTGAAATGATTTCATATTTTTTAGCTTATTAAGGCTTTTTAAAAAAGATTTATTTTTTTAACTTTTATTTAACGAATATAAATTTCCAAAGTACAGCTTATGGATTACAATGGCTTCCCCCCATAACTTCCCTCCCACCCGCAACCCTCTCTTTTCCCTCTCCCTCTCCCCTTCCATTCACATCAAGATTCATTTTCAATTATCTTTATATACAGAAGCTTGATTTAGTATATATTAAGTAAAGATTTCATCAGTTTGCACCCACACAGAAACACAAAATGTAAAAATACTGTTTCAGTACTAGTTATGGCATTACTTCACATTGGACAACACATTAAGGACAGATCCCACATGAGGAGTAAGTACACAGTGACTCCTGTTGTTGACTTAACAATTTGACACTCTTGTTTATGGCATCAGTAATCTCCCTAGGCTCTCATCATGAGTTGCCAAGGCTATGGAAGCCTTTTGAGTTCGCCGACTTCGATCTTATTCCGACAGGGTCATAGTCAAAGTGGAAGTTCTCTCCTCCCTTCAGAGAAAGGTACCTCCTCCTTTGATGGCCCCGTTCTTTCCACTGGGATCTCACTCGCAGAGATCTTTCATTTAGTGGGTTTTTTTTTTTTTTTTTTTTTGGCCAGAGTGTCTTGGCTTTCCATGCCTGAAATACTCTCATGGGCTCTTGAGCCAGATCTGACTGCCTTAAGCGCTGATTCTGAGGCTAGAGTGCTATTTAGGACATCTGCCATTCTGTGAGTCTGCTGTGTATCCTGCTTCGCATGATGGATCGTTCTCTCCCTTTTTGATTCTATCAGTTAGTATTCGCAGACACTAGTCTTGTTTGTGTGATCCCTTTGATTCTTAGACCTACCAGTGTGATCAATTGTGAACAGAAATTGATCACTTGGACTAGTGAGATGGCATTGGTACATGCCACTTTGATGGGATTGTATTGGAATCCCCTGGCACGATTCTAACTCCACCATTTGGGGCAAGTCCGACTGAGCATGTCACAAATTGTACATCTCCTCCCTCTCTTATTCCCACTCTTATATTTAACAGGGATCACTTTTCAGTTAAATTTAAACACCTAAAAATAATTTTGTGTTAATTACAGAGTTCAACCAATAGTACTAGAACAAAAAAGAATACTAGAAAGGATAAAGTATTACATTGTACATCAACAGTCAGGACAAGGGCTGATCAATTCACTGTTTCTCATAGTGTCCATTTCACTTCAACAAGTTTCCCCTTTGGTGCTCAGTTAGTTGTCACTGATGAGGGAGAACATACAATATTTGTCCCTTTGGGACTGGGTTAATTCACTCAGCATGATGTTTTCCAGATTCCTCCATTTTGTTGCAAATGACTGGGTTTCATTGTTTTTGACTGCTGTATAGTATTCTGTAGAGTACATGTCCCATAATTCCTTTATCCAGTCTACTGTTGATGGGCATTTGGGTTGGTTCCATGTCTTAGCTATTGTGAATTGAGCTGCAATAAACATTAATGTGCAGATAGCTTGTTTGTTTGCCAGTTTAATTTCCTTTGGATAAATTCCGAGGAGTGGGATGGCTGGGTTGTATGGTAGGGTTATATTCAGGTTTCTGAGGAATCTTCAGACTGACTTCCATAGTGGCTTAACCAGTTTGCACTCCCACCAACAGTGGGTTAGTGTCCCTTTTTCCCCACATCCTCTCCAGCATCTATTGTTGGTAGATTTCTGAATGTGAGCCATTCTAACCAGGGTGAGGTGAAACCTCATTGTGGTTTTGATTTGCATTTCCCTGATTGCTAGTGATCTTGAACATTTTTTCATGTGTCTGTTGGCCATTTGGATTTCCTCTTTTGAAAAATGTCTATTGAGGTCCTTGGCCCATCTCTTAAGTGGGTTGTTTGTTTTGTTGTTGTGGAGTTTCTTGATTTCCTTGTAGACTCTGGTTATCAGCCCTTTATCTGTTGCATAGTTTGCAAATATTTTTTCCCATTCTGTTGGTTGCGTCTTCACTCTCCTGACTGTTTTATTTGCAGTACAGAAACTTCTCAATTTGATGCAATCCCAAATGTTAGTTTTGGCTTTGACTGCCTGTGCCTCCGGGGTCTTTTCTAGGAAGTCTTTCCTGGTACCTATATCTTGCAGGGTTTCTCCAATGCTCTCTAATAAATTGATGGTGTCAGGTCGTAGATTTAAGTCTTTAGTCCATGTTGAGTGGATGTTTGTGTAAGGTGAAAGGTAGGGGTCTTGCTTCCTGCTTCTGCAAGTGGAAATCCAATTTTCCAAGCACCATTTATTGAATAGACTGCCCTTACTCCAGGGATTGGTTTTGGATCCTTGATCAAATATAAGTTGGCTGTAGATGTTTGGATTGATTTCTGATGTTTCCATTCTGTTCCATTGGTCTATCCATCTGTTTCTGTACCAGTACCATGCTGTTTTGATTACAACTGCCCTGTAGTATGTCCTGAAATCTGGTATTGTGATGCCTCCGGCTTTGTTTTTTTTGTACAGGATTGCTTTAGCTCTTCGAGGTCTCTTGTGTTTCCATATGAATTTCAGCATCATTTTTTCCAGATCTGAGAAGATGTCTTTGGTATTTTCATTGGTATTGCATTGAATCTGTAAATTGCTTTTGGGAGAATGGACATTTTGATGATACTGATTCTTCCAATCCATGAGAATGGAAGATTTTTCCATTTTCTGGTATCCTCTTCTATTTCTTTCTTTAAGGTTTTGTAATTTTCATCGTAGAGATCTTTAACGTCCTTGGTTAAGTTTATTCCAAGGTATTTGATTGTTTTTGTAGCTATTGTGAATGGGATTGATCTTAGCAGTTCTTTCTCAGCCGTGGCATTGCCTGTGTATACAAAAGCTGTTGATTTTTGTGCATTGATTTTATATCCTGCTTCTTTGCCAAACTCTTCTATGAGTTCCAATAGTCTCTTAGTAAAGTTCTTTGGGTCCCCTAAATAAAGAATCATATCATCTGCAAAGAGGGATAGTTTGAGTTCTTCCTTCCCAATTTGTATCGCTTTAATTTCTTTTTCTTGCCTAATAGCTCTGGCTAAAACTTCCCGAACTATATTGAATATTGGGATGGTTCAGTGTTCTCAAAATAATCAATGTAATTCACCACATTAACAGACTGCAGAAGAAAAACCATATGATCATCTCAATAGACGCAGAGAAAGCATTTGATAAAATACAACACCCTTTCATGATGAAAACTCTAAGCAAACTGAGTATGGAAGGAACATTCCTCAATATAATCAAAGCAATTTATGAAAAACCCACAGCCAGCATCCTATTGAATGGGAAAAGTTGGAAGCATTTCCACTGAGATCTGGAACCAGACAGGGATGCCCACTCTCAGTACTGCTATTCAGTATAGTTCTGGAGAACTCACTTTTTTTAAAAAGGTTCGTTTTATTTATTTGAAAGGCAGAGTTACGGAGAGTAGAGACAGAGATCTTCTATTCATTGGTTCACTCCCCAGATGGCCACAACACACTGGGCCAGACTGAAGATAGGAGACTAAATGCATCCAGCTCTCCAACGTAGGTGGCAGGAGCCCAAGTACCTGGGCCATTTTCCACTGCTTTTCCAGGAGCAGTAACAGGAACTGGATCAGAAGTGTAGCAGCTGGGACTCCAACCAGCACTCACATGGGATCCTGGCATCACAGATGGCAACTTAACTCCTGTACCACAATGCCAACCTCTGAGAACTCACCTTGGATTTTGCAAGGATAGGTTAAATCAGTCAACTGGACAAGGAGGTGTCTTGGAAAGACAAATTGGATGGGTGTAAGAAGAGTAGAATTGGTGCCTCAGATTATAATCCATTACAGAAGAAAGTTGCTATAAAAGGCAGACACACGCACACCTACAAACACCCCTATCCCCTATCCTCTGATTCACTTCCTAAATATCCATAACAGCCATGGCTGAGCCAAACTAAAGCCAGGAACCTATCATTTCATCCTGGTTTCCTGTGTGAGTGGTGGAGACCCAACTACTTGAGCTATCTCGTGCTCCCCACCAAAGTGTGAATTAGCAGGAAGCAGTATCAAAAGGAAAGCCAAGACTCAAACTCAGGAACTCCCATATAAGATGCAGGCATCCCAAGCAGTGGCCTAGCAGCTGGGCCACAAAGCCTGCACCTCCTTTTCAATAAAACATTAGCTTTAGATTTACTTTATAAGAAGAAAAAGAAACTTGTCCTATGAAGTTACAGTTCCCAAAAGGTTTAAGAAAAACATACATGATTTAATAACACAAAAAGGTTGCCATGGCTGTAGTGTTGTTTCTTAACTGCTTTTTTCAATTCTAAACATTATTGGTTGATTCCTCCTCTTGATTGAAATATAAAATAACGTATTTCCCAAATCACATGGCTTCTACATGTTTTGTTGGTTTTTATTTCATTTGTTCAAGGTAGTGATATGTTTATCATACTCTCCTCTATAATTATCGTTCCCTTTCGCTTTTCAATTGTCATTCTTAGTTCTGATTAATAAAGAAGTTGAATAGTTTTCACCAGTCTCTCAGCCATAATTCCTCAATTCTGGAATTATTTTGATTGGTTCCCTTTTTGACAGAATTTTCTTAATGTGTTATTTTCAAGAAGGGATCACAGGTTCCAAATTCTGTGATGTCTTTTAGTTTACCTTTCACGTTTAAGCAAATTTTCTTTCACATAGAAAGGGAGGGAGAAGATAATGCCCATGTACCATTACTGAAAGTTATTACTTAAGATACTTTATTCCACTAAGACCAAAATCAAAAATAAGAATTCAAGAAGAGAATTCTCCAAAAGAACTAGCAAAACTAGAGCTGTGAACAAGAATGACTCTTTGCATGCTTCCTTGTTCTAAGAAGAATCTTAGGCTAACGGATCACACCTCATTCTTTGGTCACAGTAATGAACCTCCAGTGATTTGGGGGGATTAAATGCCTGCTTTTTTAAACAGTTGTTTTGCCAGCACTTTAAGAAAGTTCTCTAAAGACCTACAACAGAGATTCTAATTAAATGTAATCATGATTTTTTTTTTTAAGAAAAACTTTTGCATACCTGGAGAAAGACTGAAATGAAGTCTTTCAGTAAGAGATTGTTGGTAACATTTCTTTTGACTTTAATAATCATGTGTAACACTTTCGATGAAAAAGTTAACCCTGCATTTAAAAAGTTAGCATCTTGAAAAAATTATTTTAAAAATATAGATATTGAATTTTTTCATTTACCTTTAAGGCACTCAAATAATGTTTGTTGAGTGTCCAGACTTGTAGAATTTGAATATGGGCTTTAAGACCCCTTCTAGGTATTTCCCCTAAATGTTGCTTATTACTAACTGAATAATATATTGGCCTTAGAATCATATCTGCTGTTTGGAAATTTTACAGGTTCTCTTCAAAGCTGATATTGGAACAGAATATACATTTTATTTGTAATATATATTACCAAGACATTATAAAAATACTATTAATCTTTTAAAGTCAAATTTAGATTAACCAGGTCCAGCACTGTGGTGCAGTAGATTAATCCTCCATCTGCAGCACTGGCATCCCATGTGGGCACTGGTTCTAGTCTCGGTTGCTCCACTTCCTATCCAGCTCTCTGCTATGGCCTGAGAAAGCAGTGGAAGATGGCCCAAGCGCTTGGGCCCCTGCACCCATGTGGGAGACCCAGAAGAAGCTCCTGGCTCCTGGCTTCAGGTCAGCTCAGCTCTGACTATTGCGTCCATTTGGTGAGTGAGCAGATGGAAGACCTTTCTCTCTTGTCTCTCCTTCTCACTGTCTGTAATTCTACCTCTCAAATAAATTCTAAAAATTAAAAAAAATTAGATTAATTGTTATAAAGTCTTCCATTAAATTCTTTTTAAAGACTTATTTATTTTATTTGAGAGGCTGAGGCAGAGAGAGGAGAGGTCTCCATTTGCTGGGTCACTCACAGAATGGCCGCAATGGTAGGAGCTGGACAGATCCAAAGCTAGGAGCCTGGAGCCTCCCCCAAGTCTCCCACATGGGTGCAAACATCCAAGGACTTGGGCCATCCTCCACTGCTTTCCCAGGCACATCAGCAGGGAGCTGGATTGGAAGTGGAACATCCAGAACTCGAACTGGCACCCATATGGCATGCGGCATTGCAGTTGGCGGCTTTATCCGTTATACCACAGCGCAGGCCCCTTTCGTGAATTTTTTATAATTCTGTTAACCCTGTAATATCTTGATATATATTGTTTTTAAAAAGTATGCTTTGAAAGCCCACTGAATCTGAACCAAGATGCTTCTATATCATTATCAGCTGCTCTTTGATTTGTCATTTAGAAATTGTTGTTACCATGAACACTTAAAAGACTAATTTGTTTAAAAATAATAAAGCCTAAATGTATCTAATCCTACATTCTTCTCACATTTGTTTAGCTCCATTTGTCATTAGGCTTTTCTTGGATCAATTAGCCATCTGTGTCAAGTCGAGTAAAATGTTGATTATGGGGTGCAGTTCATCTGAGTGCAGTCAGTTGTCCTAATAAAACAGCTGTGTTAGAGTGGTGTGTATTGCCTGTGCTGAGATCCTCACTTTATCTAAGTGTTCCCACTGTATTTGTACTTGCTGTTAAGTAATTGCTGAATACACATTCAACTTGGCATTTCTGGTGCTTTTATCTATTGTTTACACTGTTTAGAAATCTTAACTGGAACAAGAGTTATCAAGCCTGCTGCTGTGGGTAAACCAGCTCCCAGAACTGAAAGTTGCCTGGCTGCCCCTGAGAAGTGTGAAGAGCCTACAGAAACAGAATTGTGTGCTCAGACTGTAGGTATTAGATTTCAAATTATTCATATAATCCATATATTCTAAAAGATTTTTAAAACTAAATTAATATTATAAATGCTAAAACTAAAGTTATAAATGCTATAAAACTAAACTAAATTATAAATGCATGAAATTCCATTTTTTAAGAGTGATATTCTCATCATTGTTATTGAATGTATATTCATGCTCTTATATAGTGGAACATTGCCATTTTTATCCTTTGTGTGCTTTGCTTTGTTTTTTCCTAACCACCTCTCTTCCTACTGTCTTTGTAAGTCCACTGTAATAAAGTAATGCTTTTCCTTAAAAGCATTCTTTAGGACATGGTGGTGGAAACAAGGAGAAGGAATTACTTATGTTTAAAAGAGTTCAGGAAGCAGAGGACAAATGGAGGGGTGCACAAGCCATAATTGAACAAATTAAAATCACATTCTCAGAAAAAGAGAAAGAGCTAGAAAATAAACTGGAAGAACTAAAGAGACAACAGGAAAAAGAACTCTTCAAATTAAATCAAGACAATTACATTCTTCAAGCTAAGGTACCAGACACATTGTTCTATTTTTCCTTTTTATTTTAAGTGATTCCCTGTACTTTCTTCTAAATGCATTGCTCCTTGGTACATGAAGCTATTTGACTTGATGTATTTGCTGTATAAATTATGGACTTGGTTCTAGGGAGTGCCTCCTTACTGGAGAGCTTGAATTGAACTTGTGGGGGAAATCTAAATTTAAACCAGTTCATTTTGATGGTTTTCTTCTGTTCACAGCGCTTTGTAAAACAAATCGGTTCATTGTGACCTACAAAGAAATACAGAATTCCACAAAAACTGCTGTAGAAGGTCCGGATTCATAGACTATTACTATGTAGTATTTCTGAGTTATTTCACTCACCACAGCCATCGGCACACAATACCACCGTGCTGATTTAACTATAGTGTTACATTCCAGTGTGATCAGTATTATAAGATGTTTTTTGGGTGTAATCACTTTCTAACTCACTTCTGACTTTATCATGTTATTATCCAAATAAAAAAATTTCTGCATTTTCTCAAAGTTAAGTAGCTTTGAAGAAACAAGCAAAAAACAAAGGTGGTTACATTTTGGAGAACCAACAGATCCTGTCACTGGAGAAAAACTGAAGCAAATCCAAAAAGAAATACAAGAACAAGAGACACTTCTTCAAGGATACCAACAGGTGTGGCAGTTCTTCAACACATGATGAGTTTGTTGTTGATCCCTAATTACAAAAAAAAAAAAAAAACATATTAAAGCATTTCAGTGGTTAACAGTTAATAGAAATTCTGACAAATATGTAGAAGTAATAATTCGACCAGCCTGCACGTTTCTCATGGGCAGAATTAAATTGGCTAAGTGCGTGGGTTCTGGATTCAAAGAATCTGGATTTGAGAATCAGTTCTACCAACGCTGTGTAGCTTTGGAAAATCACTTTACCTCTCTAGTTCAGTTTAATTCATCTGTGAAATGGAGGTAATGATAGCTGTAGCTCGCTTGTACAGTGATTATGAAATTAAAAATAAACCAGTACCAGCTAACTTCTTAGTAAGTATATTCTTACTTAGCCTGGCATACAGTACCAATCAGTAAATGTTGCCTGTTGTTTTTTGCCTGTTATTTTTAATAGCATGTTCCTTAGACACTGTCCTGTTTCTCTTTAGTTTTCTGCCTTGGTTTTCAGTATAAGACACTGGCTAGTTTTGCTAAATTTTTAAATTTTATTTTGAGAGGATCTGTGTGTCCCATAGAGACAGAGATTTACAATGTGTGGTGCTGCTGGCCTAACAGCCAAGACAGGTTTATTGATTTCCAGCATAAGTCTTCATCTTTGTGTCCTGCTTCCCCAGGCCTCTTTTTATATTCCTCCCTCTTTCTCCTTTTGGCAACTATAACCCGAGTGCTGAGCCTGCTAGTAAAGTACATTGTCCCACAGGGACATCCAGAGAAAGCCTTGCCACGTCAATGATTACAGTATTTTCTCGAAAAGAAATAGACTAATTTTTGCAGGGCAGGCTGCCCTCGAGTTAGTCAGAACTGTTGAAACCCTTTGCCTGCCAGTCTTTTCTTGCCATACATTACACACAGTTTTAAGATTTCATATAAACATAATTATGCACACCATCCCACCACAAGGATGATACAGAATTTAGGCATCTAAATATTTCAGGAGATTCATTAACTTTGCATGTATGGAAGCCACAGACCATCTGCCAGGCACCAGTCCAGTCACCCTGGGCCAGGCTGCTGTTCTCATCAGATCTTCAGGAGCCTTTGGCTTTCATCAGATTGTTCAGTTTAAAGAGGTTAATAAGCCAGAGCATCTAAGTGCAGACTGGTGCCTTCTCTCTGTGTACTCAGGTGGTGTGAGTCTCTGTCTAGCTCAAGCCCTGTGGTGAGCTGCATCTATGCTCTGCTCTGCCTGTCTAATAACTTTTAGCAATACCCAGTCTTTAATTTACTTCTTAACAGCCAGTTTCACTCACAGGCATGAATGCCCATTTTATTGATCACCTCACTCCTGGATACCAAGCTTCCAAAATCCCTGTCCAGCGGGGAGTTTTATTCTTTTCTCAGGCCAAAAACAGAAGAATATATAAAGAGCACTGTTGGGCCTTCCGACCCCTGGTCTGTGCACTTGGGAATCAGTGATGCCTTCAGCTCACCCCGTTACGTTGCTGTGAAGTGCGGTGGGTTATGCTAACAATAGGCTCTTTAGTTTTGGGAATTCTGGCAATTTTATTTTTTTTAAACATCTTAAACATTTTGAGAAGAACTGTTTTTAGATACAAAGTTTTCTAATGATAAAATATAAAAAGTTTGAAAAAGATTTGTAAAGTCCTTAAAGATATTTAAAGGATTTCTCTTATAAGCATCTGTATTATATTAGTATTATTAACTAATTAAAATGGAATTTTGTATTTTTAAAGGAAAATGAAAGATTATATAATCAAGTGAAAGATCTCCAAGAACAAAATAAGAAAAATGAAGAGCGAATGTTTAAGGAAAACCAGAGTTTACTCAGTGAGTTAGCATCCCTAAAGTAAGTCCTTTTGAAATTCTAAAATCAAATATATGGGCAGGTGCTCTGGTGTGCCAGGTAAAGCCACCACCTGCAGTGCCAGCATCCCATATGGGCGCTAATTTGAGTCTCAGCTGTTCCACTTCCTATCCAGCTCTCTGCTGTGGCCTGAGAAAGCAGTAGAAGAAGGCTCAAGTCCATGGGTCCCTGCACTCGCATGGGAGACCCAGAAGAAGCTCCTGGCTCCTGGCTTCAGATCGGCACAGCTGCGGCCATTGCGGCCATTTGGGGAGTGAGCCAGCAGATGGAAAAACCTCTCTCTCTCTCTCTCTCTGCCTCTGCCTCTCTGTAACTCTGCCTTTCAAATAAATAAATCTTTAAAAAAAATCAAATATATTTAAACTCTAAGCATTTTATTGTGATACTAATAAATTTATTTTTATTGAGAAGTAGTAAAAGTTACTTATTTTTATACTTATTTTCTTTAAAGATTTATTTATTCATTTGAAAGGCAGAGTTAGAGACAGGTCTTCCATCTGGTAATTCACTCCCCAAATCATCACAATGGCTAGAGCTGGGCTGATCTGAAGGCAGGAGACAGGAGCATCTTCCAGGTCTCCCATGAGGGTACAGGATCCCAAGCACCTGAGCCATCTTCCACTGCTTTCCCAGACCTTAGCAGAGAGCTATATTAGAAGTGAAGCAGCTGGCACTAGAATCAGTGCCCATATGGGATGCCAGCACTGCAGGCAGTGGCTTTACCCATTATGCCACAGTGCTGGCCCCTTTATACTTATTTTCATTTGTACATTGATTTTCAATTTAGTAATATATTTACTATTCAGTGGATATTCATAGTGCAAGATAACTAGAGCATACCTCAGTATTTGAATCTGATACTGGTCTCAGGAAATTGAATATACAATATTTCTCATAATCAGTCATTAAGCCTGAGATACCTAAACATTTCCTAAGTTACCATGTGATTAATAATACTAAAAACAAGGATGCAGCATTACTTTCTGTCTTGGGTAAGATTGCATGGAAACTAAGCCTAAGGTAGGATCCTTGTGGAAGTGACATGCTAAAGAATTACTGTCAGGGGCTGGTGCTGTGGCATAGTAAGTCAAGCCTCCACCTGCGGCGCTGGCATCCCATATGGGCGCTGGTTCATGTCCAGCCTTCTTTTTTTTTTTTTTTTTTTTGACAGGCAGAGTTAGTGAGAGAGAGAGACAGAAAGATCTTCCCTCCGTTGGTTCACCCTTCAAATGGCTGCCACGGCCAATCCGAAGCCAGGAGCCAGGTGTTTCCTCCTGGTCTCCCATGCAGGTGCAGGGCGCAAACACTTGGGCCATCCTCCACTGCCTTCCCGGGCCAAAGCAGAGAGCTGGACTAGAAGAGGAGCAACCGGGACAGAACCAGCGCCCCAACCGGGACTAGAACCCGGAGTGCCAGCACCGCAGGTGGAGGATTAGCCTAGTGAGCCATAGCACTGGCCCATTTCCAGCCTTCTGATCCAGCTCTCTGCAACGGCCTAGGAAAGCAGAGGAAGATGGCCCAGGTCCTTGGGCCCCTGCACTCACGTAGGAGACCTGGAGGAAGCTCCTGGCTCCTGGCTTTGGATCAGCCCAGCTCCGGCCATTGTAGCCATTTGGGGAGTGCACCATCAGATGAAAGATCTCTCTGTCTCTGTCTCTCTCTCTCTCTCTCTCTCTCTGTCTCTCCGTCTCTCCTCCTCTCTTTCTGTAACTCTGTCTCTCAAATAAATAATTAACTCTTAAAAAAAAATAATTACTGTCAGGAGAAAAGGAGCAAGAGAAGCAAGATGGAGAAGTGTGTAGTGGGACAGTAAGGATGGGATCTCAACTGGACACTATGTTCATTCTGCTCCCACTCAAGTTCTGGAGAACAGATGGTAACCAATATTGGTCCTCACTTGAGGCAAGGTGGCAGTGTCAGTCACTGGCTGGGATGCCCCCTGGACAGGGCAGGGGCTGCTGTTTGGCTGAAGGTATTTTTACAGACAGGAAGACACCTATGAGTTGTTGCAGGGCAGTGGGGCATCAGCACCTACTTAGGAATCATTCCAGAATCAGGCCTGCTACTTCCAGCTTAAACATATTAACTGAAAAAGCCAAACCTGCAAGCATGCACAAGCTAGCAAGCTGGGGTAAGACATTTTTTTTTAATTACTGTGCATCATTTTTTTGTGTGCATCATTTCATATAAAATTCTAATCCCTTAGATAAGATTGCTATCAGAAAAAGTTTTTTTAAACATGAATGTTGTGAATGTTGCTTCTTTCACTTTGTTGTAGTTATCAAATAACCTAGGGCATTAAGACACAGAAAACTGAAAGTTCATACTGATGTTTTTTGTTTCAAAAGACACAGTAGCAAAGGTAGCAGCTACATGGTTGGCAAGCAGAGGACACCTTTGTGTAAATTTAAACATTGCTAGACACAGCAGCTAAAATGTCTCTTGAACACCCACATCTCATACCAGAATGCCTGTGTTCAAGCTTCGCTTCCAGTTCTAGCTTCCTGCTAATGTGCACCCTGGGGGCCAGCACACAATGGCGCAAATAATGATGTACTTCCTACCCACATAAGAGACCTGGATTGAGTTTCAGGCTTCTGGCTTTAGCCTGGCCCAGCCTCAACTGTTGCAGGCATTTGAGGACTAAAACGTCTCTTTCTTTCTCTCCATGTCTCTGTGCTTTTCAAATTAAAAAAAAATAATAATTTTTTAAATTTTTTTTTATTTGACAGGTAGACAAATTAGACAGTAAGAGAAAGAGGTAGAGAGAAAGGTCTTCCTTCCGTTGGTTTACACCCCAAATGGCTGCTACAGTTGGGGCTGCGCCCATCCGAAGCCAGGAGCCAGGTGCTTCTTCCTGGTCTCCCATGCGGGTGCAGGGGCCCAAGTACTTGGGCCATCCTCCACTGCTTCCCCAAGTGCATCAGTAGAGAGCTGGATTGGAACTGGAGCAGCTGGGACTGGAAGCAGCACCCATATGGGATTCTGGCACTGCATACAGAGGCTTAGCCTACACCACAGTGCTGGCGCCCACAGTTCTGATGCATGAAAATATTTACATCTGCTTACTTTCCAGATGCTTCAATAAAGTACTTCAAAATAATTATATCTGAAATGCATGTCATCACTGAGAATACCTATTTCAAGATCCAAATGGAAGCCCTCAGTTAACTTTCATGATGAAATAAATGTATTTTTTTGTTTTTATTTATTTATTTATTTATTTTAGTACATTAGGGTTAGATGATCTTTTTTGGCTTCCAAAACTGTGTACAATATCCCTGGAAAATTGAATCTAAAGTGCATAGTACATAGAATGTGGATTTGTTAGTTTATTATTTTTTTTTTTAGGATTTTAAAATGTTCTTAAAATTCTTTTTTTTAAAACTTTTATTTAGTAAATATAATTTTCCAAAGTACAGTTTATGGATTACAATGGCTGTTTCCCCTCCATAACTTCCCTCCCATCTCCCGCTCCCTCTCCCATTCCATTAACATCAAGATAACAGTGAGAGAGAGAGACAGAGAAAGGTTTTCCTTTTGCTGTTGGTTCACCCTCCAATGGCCGCCGCGGCCGGCGCACCACGCTGATGCGATGGCAGGAGCCAGGTGCTTCTCCTGGTCTCCCATGGGGTGCAGGCCCAAGCACTTGGGCCATCCTCCACTGCACTGCCGGGCCATAGCAGAGAACTGGCCTGGAAGAAGGGCAACCGGGACAGAATCCGGCGCCCCGACAGGGACTAGAACCCAGTGTGCAAGGCGGAGGATTAGCCTAGTGAGCCGTGGCGCCGGCCCAAGATTCGTTTTCAATTATCTTTATATACAGAAGATCGATTCAGTATATATTAAGTAAAGATTTCATCAGTTTGCACCCACACAGAACATAAAGTGTAAAATACTGTTTCAGTACTAGTTATAGCATTAATTCACACTGGACAACACATTAAGGACAGAGATCCCACATGAGGAGTAAGGACACAGTGACTCCTGTTGTTGACTTAACAATTTGACACCCTTGTTTATGGAATCAGAAATCTCCCTAGGCTCTAGTCATGCATTTCCAAGGCTATGGAAGCCTCTTGAGTTCGCTGACTTTGATCTTATTTAGACAAGCTCATAGTCAAAGTGGAAGTTCTCTCCTCCCTTCAGAGAAAGGTACCTCCTCCTTTGATGGCCCCGTTCTTTCCACTGGGATCTCACTCGCAAAGATCTTTCATTTAGGGCCTTCTATTATCCTTCTTTTTTTTTTTTTCCCAGAGTGTCTTGGCTTTCCATGCCTGAAATACTCTCATGGGCTCTTGAGCCAGATCTGACTGCCTTAAGGGCTAATTCTGAGGCCAGAGTGCTGTTTAGGACATCTGCCATTCTATGAGTCTGCTGTGTATCCCGCTTCCCATGTTGGATTGTTCTCTCCCTTTTTGATTCTATCAGTTAGTATTCGCAGACACTAGTCTTGTTTGTGTGATCCCTTTGACTCTTAGACCTATCAGTATGATCAATTGTGAACTGAAATTGATCACTGGGACTAGTGAGATGGCATTGGTACATGCCACCTTGAAGGGATTGTATTGGAATCCCCTGGCACGATTCTAACTCCACCATTTGGGGCAAGTCCAATTGAGCGTGTCCCAAACAGAAACAGTGACTTGATCAGCCCTTGTTCTGACTGTTGATGTATAATTTAATACTTTATCCCTTTTAGTATTTTTTTGTTCTAGTTAATACTATTGGTTGAACTCTGTAATTAACACACATTTATTCTTAGGTGTTGAAATTTAACTGAAAAGTGATCCCTGTTAAATATAAGAGTGGGAATAAGAGAGGGAGGAGATGTACAATTTGGGATTTGTTAGTTTCTGAATGAATATAAGGTTGGTATTTTGTTCTCAGGAAGGAGTCTAGAATTACATAATAAGGAGTATATTAACACCACAGGAGAAATGCAGCACATCTTTGTTGGCCATTTTTTATCTTAGAATTAAAAAAAAATTTCTATATTATAAATAAACCAATAATCTTAGGGTTTCAATTTCTTAAATGTGGCATTTTGCTTACAGTATACTTCTCTTTTAGTATGTTAGTATTTTAATCTGTATTAAAATTTTTTAAATGTTGAACTCATATTGTTCATCATTTGTTTTCAAATTTTAAAGATCAAATATTAAAATAAGCCTTTTTGTTTTCAAAATACATTAGAGAACAGATGCACAAAAGTCGTTTCCTATCTCAAGTAGTTGAAGACTCAGAGCCCACAAGAAATCAGAACTTTACAGATCTGTTAGGAGAACTACGGATGACACAGGTAAGTTGCATATGAAACTTTTTTTTTATTATTCTATGAGAGGCAGAGAGATAGAGTTCCCTCTCACTGGCTCACCCTCCTGAATGCCCATGACCGCCAAACTCAGGAGCCAGGAATGCCATCCAGGACCAGGGGGATGGCAGGAACCTCTCTACCTGAGAGCAGAGACTATATTTCACAAACATTTGTATCCCAGATACCTAACAGAAAGATGAAATGCAGGCCAGCGCCGCAGCTCACTAGGCTAATCCTCCGCCTTGCGGCGCCGGCACACCAGGTTCTAGTCCCTGTCGGGGCGCCGGATTCTGTCCTGGTTGCCCCTCTTCCAGGCCAGGGAGGATGGCCCAAGTCCTTGGGCCCTGCACCCCATGGGAGACCAGGAGAAGCACCTGGCTCCTGCCATCGGATCAGCGCGGTGCGCCGGCCGCAGCGCACCAGCCACGGCGGCCATTGGAGGGTGAACCAACAGCAAAAAGGAAGGCGTTTCTCTCTGTCTGTCTCTCTCACTGTCCACTCTGCCTGTCAAAAAAAAAAAAAAAGATAAAATGCAGTGCTGTTCAATAACAGTTATTTTTATTAAAAGTTGTGTTATATAGAATATGGCCTAGACTTTTCTAAAGCAGTAATTATCAGTAAAGATGTTCTGGAATTTTAAGCAAGTTAATTCTGTTTTAAGCACAGGTATTCTTGCCTGACTTTTTTCATCTTTATCCTCAGGGGTTGTAGTACCCATACATCATTATTACAATCAAAGCCACTCTGCCACATTTCCAAACATTCCCTGTTTAGGACAGTTACTTCGTTCCACCACCTCCCATTAAAAACCGTAGCACTAAACTAAAAAGCCCTTCCAATGTATTGGGATTATATAATATAGAAAATGTAGCAGCATATGTGAATGCATTAGACAACTTTCTTTAGATACAAAATGATTGGATACTTAGGTTGACAGATAAGTGAAAAGAATTAAAAAATGATTGGAAACCCCCAACTTACCAATGGACCCCAGAAATAAGCAAATTAAAACAAAATAATTTTGCCATATTTTATGAAAGTTTGAAGGGAACATGTTAAGATTTTAAACAGAGCATTTACCTCACTCAAGTCTGTTGTTAAGTTTGACCTTTTAAAATTTTTGTTTTGAACATGGTTTCAAACAGAAAATTTGACAGTGTCTACTAAAAAATACCAGAAATTAGGCTGAAATATGATCATCTTGTAAATGGATAAATGAGCCCTCAAGAAAGTAAAGGAAATATCTAGGGATCAAAAGTAAAGAGAGGTTAAAACCTAGCAGTAGGCATCTGCCTCTCAGGCCACAGTTTGGTAACCGAGAGGCCTGAGCTTTAACAGTCAAGTATAGGCAGGAGACTCAGAGGATCACATCTTTCAGTAAAATTGGGGGGGAAAAAAAAAAAACCTACCCATCATAAGAGACTCAGATGGAGTTGTGTGTTGGTCTGTGGATAGCAAGGAGAAAACGTCTCTACTCGGTGTGTGCACCATACTCATTGCAACGTGGAGGTCACCTCTTCTGTCTTGGTTTGTGTTTTCGTGTTTGAACTGACACTATTGGTATTGCACAATGCTCAAATTGAAAAAGCAGTGTAAACAGTTGTCCTGAGTCATTGATAACCTCTGATGTGTTTAAAAGGAACAAATGCAGAACAACTCGTACAGGAATTTGCTCTTAATGCAGTTCACACTGTATTCCTGCAGATAAAATCTGCTGATACTGTGCTAACAATGTGAAATTATAAAGCCTAGAGAAAGACTCCATCAGCAGGCATGAGATAGTTTGCAGCAGGAATAGAACCCCAATAGAATTACTGAATAGAGACTACAAAATAAATAAACTTTTAAAAAGATTAAATTTACAAATCAAATTGAAAAGTTAGAAAAGAACAAAAAAGACTAAGCAAGTTCAGAGAAAAATGAGCTCTAGAAATATGCTAGAATTTAAAAACTAGGTAGAAGAATTATATAGATGATCATAAGTAGTGAAGAAAATATAAACTGAATATCTAGGAACTTAGAATAAAACACAGAAAATTTATGAATTGGAAACATTAAGAAATGAGATGCTTTAAAATGTCTTTAATTTTGAGAGACAGAGAGAAGCAGAGACACACAGGAAATCTATCTGCTGATTCACTCCCCAAATGCCCCAACAGCCCACACTGCGCCAGGCCAAAGGTGGGAGCCAGAAACTTATTCCAGGTTTCCCACATGGATGGCATGGACCCAACTACCTGAACCATCACTGTTACCTCCCAGGGTGCACTTAAGCAGGAAGTTGGCGCCAGGAGCAGAGCCAAAACCAGGCACTCCTATATGGAATGTGGGTGTCCCAAGTGGTATCTTGACTGCAAGGCTAAATCACTGTCCCCTATATTGAAATCTTTGTAATAGATAATGGCTGATAATTTCTAATAAGTGATTAAAAATGATGAATTCTCAAATTAAGAAGTACAGTGAGACTTGTTGAGAATTTAAGTAAGTGAAAATCTACATCTATGTCCATCTTGATGAAGCTGCCAAAGGCAGATTTCCCTAAAGGAAATTTTTTAAAAAGGAAAAGTGTTAATAAAAAGAGATTTTTATTTTGTGTGCAGATACTGAAAAATGTAATATAAATAATATAAGTATACCCTTATTTTCATTTATTTTGGTTTTTTAAATTTAAATTATTTGTAATAAAACTTGTACTAACTACCCTAGCAGCTTAAACCACCATTTGGGACACCTGAATCCCATATAAGAGTCTTAAGTCTCAACACAGCAACCCCAGCCATTGTGGGTACTTGGAAAACAATCCAGTTGAATGGGAGATGTCTCTCTCTGCCTCTCAAATGAACAAATAATTGTTTGAATATTGGATTAGGGTGAATATGTAATAATAATCACATCAAGTATATTTGTGTAATTTATGCCTTAAAAATTAGTACCAGTCTATTCTTAAAATGTCAGTTCATTCTTTATAAAGTATGGGTGGAAACATAATAAAAGCTAGGGTGCTGGGCCCTTTTTTAGTATCCCAGGGTCAATAGGAGAATGGGGCTGACAACAATGCGTTCATTCATTTAGACAGCTTCTGTCAAACATCTGCCATATGTCAGGCACTCATCTAAGTATTGAAATACAGGAAGGAAGCAAGGCAGATCTCACTTATTCAGAGCATATATAATCCAGTGAGGAAGACAGACAATGTGTAAACAAATAATTGCAGATGGAAATAAGCTCCTCAAAGAAAATAAAAACATATTACTAGAAGGCAAAGTAGAGGTAAGGCAGCATTTAATACTGTGGATAAGAAAAGCTCTCTCTGATAAAGGGATGTTTGAGTTGAAGACTAAAGAGAAGCAGTAGGGACTAGTGCTTTGGCATAGCTCATTAAGCCACTATCAGCAGTACTGGCATCCCGTTTGTGCACAAGTTCGCATCCTAGCTGCTCAGCTTTTGATCCAGTTACCTGCAAATGGCCTGGAAAAGCAGCAGAAGATGACCCAAGTCCTCGGGACCCTGCACCCATGTGGGAGAACCGGAAGAAGCTCCTGTCTTCAGCTTGGCCCACTGTGGCCATTTGGGGAGTGAACCAGTGGATAGAAGGTGTCTTTCTTTCTCTTTCTCTGTCTCTCTCTCTGTGTCTCTCTCTCTGTAACTCTGACTTTCAAATAAATATTTAAAAGAGAGAAAAGTAGCAGCCAACTGTGTGAAGACTGAGTCTTCCAGCCAGGAGGAAGAGCACATGCAAAAGCTCTGAGTCAGATATGTGTTTGTTACCTTCTAGAAGACTCAGTCTGAAGTGAGTAAGGACGAGAGTGGAGGAAGATAAGGTCAGAGAGGCAGACAGAGTCCTCTCTGAAAGGCTGCACAATAACTCATAAAATAAAGGAGGGAAAGCACCTGCTAACCAAAAGCCCTGTGGTCCACAGAACTGATGAAAGACACACTGAGTTTCTTGGAAGTAGACAGTCTTTGTCCCTGGACAAATGTTGCAAGCATGGAGTAGACACGCACTTAAGCTTGATAGAACTCAAGATGTTTAAAGTTCCTTTCTAAAGTTCTGTAATTTCATGAAGGAGGCACGCATGAAGGAGAATATGAAAAGACCTAATTAAACAGAAGCTATTTGCAGAAAGATACCTGAATGTTCAAAAATTTGAAGATCAGCACTTTCTTGAAGCCATCTTCAGGTCACACAGAAGATTAAACAATGCAAGACAGCTGAATCTGTGGGGCATTTAGAATGCAAGACTAAACCATGCTCTATGTATGCATTTATTTTATTTACTAAATTTTAACTTTAAGATATTGTAATATAAATGGGATTTGTAAAAAATTATTATTTTGAAACTCAACTCTTCCAAGTATACTGCCAGTGAGTCCAAGATTTTCTTCAGCAGTTAGGAGTTGAGTTCAGTGTGCATTTATTAGTACCTGCATGTGCTCAGTTCCATAAATAGATAGTAATAAATCATTCTTGGTCTCCTTAGGACTTGCTGTGTAATAAAAGAAGAGGCATGTACACAAGTCAATGCCATATGAAACAAAGTATTAAAGGCAATACTAGAGGAATAAATGTTTGTAGGAGTGCCGAAGTTACTGAGTAGCTGAGCTTAATTTGAACTAAACTTTGATGAAGAAGTATGATTTTTATTAAGTAGAAGAATGGTGCACAGCACTTCAGGCTGTTGAGAGTAGCATGAATATGGGGCATATAGAGAATTCACTTAACCTTTTTCTATGTCCTAAGCAATTTTTATGGTACAGGACTATGTTACAAGCAATTTAAAGTACAGCTTTCAAGTTAATAGATAACATAAAGGATCTTCAAAAATTTCATGGAAATGTGTATTATGAAATAAAAAAGCTAGGCATAGATTTCAAGATTTTTTGCACCAAGATTTGCCTTTAAATTCAATTTTCCATGAACTTTCTGAAATCCCCTCATATGTCAGGAAGTGGTAAGTACTGTGTGCCTGGGCCTAGGATGGGGCTGAATGTTTTAGATCTGGTGGTCAGAGCAGGCCTTCTCCTGGGGCTTCCTTTGCACAGAAATCCTGGTGAGGTGAAGAAGTGAGCTACCTGGCAGCATGGGACAGAGCCCTGCCCCCAGTGGAGACACTGTGGAAATCCCTTGAGGAAGGAGTGTACAGGCAGTGTTCAAAGAAAAGCAAGGATGTCTCTGGATGAATGGAATGGGTAGAAAGATTGCTTGTAGATGCAGTCATGATTGGCAGGGCTGGGTTATAGAAGTAGAAGGTCGTGGTAAGGATCTGAGCATAACCCTGAGAGGAACTCCCAGAGTTTCAGACAGAAATTAACTGACTCCTTACAACAATCCCTCTAGCTACTGTGAGAATAAACTGTAGAGGCTTACGGTAGAAGAAGCAGACTAGTAAGGTTATTGTGGCATTCCAGCAAAAGAATTAGTGAGTCATTAACAAGATTAGTAGATAGAAGAAATTAGAACAATCTATTGGAAAGTTTTTAATGCTATGCTAAGATTATTAGAACTGATTCTGATAAGCTAGGGTGGGGTGGATAGTAGTAATAAAATCAGAGCTAAAATTTAGGAAAAATATTTCACAGCAGTACTTATGGTTTGGTTAAAAGAGATTACCCAATTTATTGTGACTGGAAATAACTTGTTTCTGTATTTCTTTGAATGTCAAGAAAGAAAAAAACAGTTTACTTGAGGACATCAAAAGATTGAAGCAAGACAAACAAGCTCTTGAAGTAGACTTGGAAAAAATGAAGAAAGAAAGGGACCAAGCCAAAGATCAGATTGCTTATGCCACCGGTAAAACACCAAGCTTCAACTGTCTACCTGTGCATAATTGTTCTAATCTTGAATTTTAAGTAACATAAATAGAATGGCATAATCCAAATGCTGTTCCTTGAAGTGTATTGCAGTCATAGAATCATTTTTATGTTAGTTATTTAAAAAGATGTATGCATTTGATTCCTTTCAGTACTAATAATTGCAATCAAAGAAAATCAAGAATTGTATTGAATTCATAGCATTTTGTGTTGTTTACAAGCTGTCATCTCAGCTAGACTGTGAACCTCCTGAGGGCAAAGTTTCTTTTTTTTTTTTCCCCTGAATTTGAAATGTGGGCTCTTAAGTGTTTTCCATATGAACAAATAACACTGCATTGTATTTTTTAGAGAATGCAAAGATAAAATTGAATGATCCCAACCAGGAACACAAAAGAGAATAAGATAATAATGCAGAAAACCTTAAGAACAAATTACAAATAAACGTATGACTAAATGGGCTAAATAGCAGTTTCAAGGGAGATTGGTTTTTGAGCTGGGCTTTGATAGGAAGATTTGGAAGTGGAGGAGTGGAGGGAAGTGCTCAGCTGTGTCTCATGAGCACAGTGTCCAGTGTACTTAGAGACCGGAACTTAAAACTGTAGAACACAGGGCTAGAAAGGTAAGTAAGAGGAGCCCTTGTTAACCAAGGTAATAGTCTTCCCTCCACAGTATTAGTAGGATCTCTACCAAGAAACTCATTCTTGCCTGTTCATAAGAAATGGCATTTTCTTTCCTCGTCTGTAAAAAACAATGATAATAATAGTAACACCCATCATGTAAATTTGTTGTGGTAATTCAAAAAATACATTGTTAGCACTCATGAGAGTTTGCCATTGTTACCTTTTAATATAATTGTAGACATTCTTTGTTGTGGTTTTTGTCTCCTGAGCCCAACATCACTTATTTTTCTCAATGAAACAGTTTTACTTTTATAAGGGAAGTCAGTAAGAAAATAGCCAATTTATGTAAAGCTTCTGCATAGCTAACTTTGCATCCAATTTAAGATTTGGATTAAGAGCACTATGTCTTGTTTCCCTTTACTAGTAAATTATATTTGATAGTGTGTTGATACATCACTTGTTTTATGCCTCTTATTTTTTTATACCTTTTATTTTTATAATGCTTTAATTAGATAGTCATTAATTTTCATTTATAATTTTTTTGAAAAAGTACAATCAGGTTATTGAGCTATTTATTTTATAGGTGAAAAATTATATGAAATAAAAATTTTAGAAGAAACACATAAACAAGAAATTAGTCGCCTGCAAAAAAGATTACAGTGGTATGCTGAAAATCAGGAACTTCTGGACAGAGATGCAGTTCGGCTTAAAGAAGCAAATGAAGAAATTGAGAAGCTCAAACTTGAGGTGATAGATCATTTCATAATGCATTTCTGTAGATGAACCCTATTGTCCTCAAAATCATTTCTCCATAACCTTGTGCCATTGCATCCTTACTCTAAGCACTGTTAATGAAAATAACTGGTTGTGGTTTGCATTTAGATATATAAGCTATTTTAGATTAGACTTAGACTAAATGTAGGCTCCTTATGTTCCATGAGGTCCTCATGTGGTCTGATCCTGGTCACCTCTTTAGCCCCATCTAATGCCACACAACCCCGAGTCACTCTTCCAGCCACCGCAGAGCTCCTGGTGATTCTTTTTTTTTCCCCCAAGATTTTATTTATTTATTTGAGAGGTACAGTTACAGACAGAAAAGTCTTCCATCCACTGGTTCACTCCCCAAATGGCTGCAAGGGCTGAAGCTGGGCCGATCTTTAGCCACGAACCGGGAACCAGGAGCTTCCTCCTGGTCTCCACGTGAGTGCAGGGGCCCAAACACAGGGGCCATCCTCTACTGCTCGTCCAGGCCATGGCAGAGAGCTGGGTCAGAAGTGGAGCAGCTGGGCAGACACAAACCAGCACCCATATGGGATACCAACGCTACAGGCAGAGGCTTAGCCCTCTGTGACACAGTGCTGTCGCCTCTCCTTTTTTATTTATTTATTTGAAAGATTTATTTATTTGAAAGTCAGAGTTAGAGAGATAAAGAGGGAGAGAGAGAGAGAGTGAGATCTTCTACCCACTGTTCTCTTCCCCAAAGGGCCACAATGACCAGGGCTGGGCCAGGCTGAAGCCAGGAGCTTTAACTGTCACCCCACAATGCTGGCCCCCAGATGATTCTTAAATTTGCCAGGTTTATTCCACTTATTCTCACAACTTCAGGTACTTTGGCCTCAGCTCTTTCCTGTCTCACTCCTTCTCATTCAAGACGAAGCTCAGATTTCTACTTTTCCTGACTCCCGTATCTAACATTACTGCCATTCCTACTCCTTCTGACTGTGTCTATTCCTTCAGTTTGTCTTGATTTCTTCCTCTCACTTGTCACTCTTATTTATGAGCTCATCACCTGTCTACCTTCACTAGAGCATAAGCAGCATGGAGCAGGACCTCATTTGGGCTGCCCCCATATCTCCAGCCCCAGGCCCTGCCTGAGAAGTGCCTGGGATTTCAGAGAAGTATGGTTGATGCTTACAGAGGAATGAATGAATTAATGAATAAACGAACTGATATTATGTTCCCTGCCACTGCCTCACCTGCAGTGTTTTCTTGTATGTGTATTTTTTTTTAATTGTTTGAAAGGCAGAGAGAGAGAGAATCTTCCATCTGCTAATTCACTCTCCAAAGGTACACCAGCTAGGCTGGAGGCAGGAGCCTAAAACTCATTCTAGATCTCCCACAAGGATGGCAGGGACACAAGTACTTGAGCTATCATCTGCTGCCTCCCAGGGTGAGCATTAGCAGGAAACTGGATCAGAAGTGGAGCTGGGATTCAAACCTAGGAACTAGAGTATGCGATGTGGGCCTCCCAAGTGGGCATCTTAACCACTATACCAAATATCTGTCCTTTGTCTTGTGTTTTAAATGTGCTTCTTAAATCTTTCGCTACTGACAGATTGAGAAACTGAAAGCTGAATCTGGGAATCCATCTATCCAGCAGAAGATGCGCTTAAAAGATAGAGCAGTTGATGCCAAAAAAATTCAGGATTTGGAGAGACAAGTATGTGTCAAGGGTAAAGTTTCATTGAGGTTTTTTTTATATATATGTGGTATATTTTTGTTTTTCTGTTTCAGAAATTCTCATAAGATGTCAACCTAAAAATTTTTATCTCAAAGGAACATTAATAAAAGTAATAAACTATCATTTTGTATAATCTGTAGGGTTATTTATAACATGGTTTACTTATTGGTGAAAAGTCATTTTGCATCCCAGCTCTATTTAGACATGTAGGAAGAAGGAAGCAAAATTTTGAAGCCTTGAGTAGAGTTATAATTCTTAACCAAAGATAGGAGACAGGAATACAGATAGGAGATCATTGCATTGGGAACATGTTGGTGATGTTTGGAAAATGTTATAAAACAGTGTTGCCCTGTAAACTGAATATTCAACCTCCCAAAGAGCTAGCCATAATCTTGAGCTCTTGCTCACTGTTTAGGCTTAGAAATACTCATTTTATGGTGAGTTTAGCTAGGAAACCTTTATTAAAATGATGGATTTTGAGCCAGTGTTGTGGCATAGTGGGTTAAGCCACCGCCTATGACACTGGCATCCCACATGGGCACCAGTTTGTGTCCCAGATGCTTCATTTCCCATCCAGCTCCTTGCTGATGAGCTGGGAAAGCAGCAAAAGATGGCCCCTAGTCCCTGGGCCCTTTCACCCACGTGAGGGACACGGAGGAAGCTCCTGGCTACTGGCTTCAGCCTGGCCTAGCCCTCAATGTTTTGGCCATTTGGGGAGTAAACTAGTGAATGGAAGATATTTCTCTCTCTGTGTCTCCCTCTCTGTAACTCTGCCTTTCAAAATAATAAATAAAAAAATTTCTAAGAAGTAAATTAATCAAGTAATTGAATTAAGTCATAGAGTGAGGCGTTTTAGAATAAAGAATGTTTTTGATTGAAGTAGTTGTTTGGAAGTTGGAACTGTAATTAATTTCTGTTTTTAAAACTTTGTTATGTATCATTTGTATTCATAACTAAATGGTAAATCAGAATAAGAACTCCAGCCTGTTCATAAGGGAACGTGGTTCTATCGTCAAGACATGATATTTCAACATGTAGCTATTATTCCATCACAAATACAAAACTATGAGATCATCAGTAGACTGAATATTATACTAGTTTTATGAGAAGGAGGAAAATTAGACAAAAAATTTGTTGCTTTTACAGGAACCGTCCTTACATTAAAAGGTATGACTTGGTAGTTTGGGTCCGGGACCAAGGAAGGAGCAAGCAAAGTCTTTTGAACAGTTAAAAATACCCTCAAAATGGGTGTAATCCAGTACTGCTTGGATTTTTCTTATTGTTTTAAGATTTACGTGAGCCAATGTAGAAGAAGCCATTTAGAACTGTGAGAGAGGAAAGGCCAAGGGAACTACTCCTCTTCTACTGCTTCTTCAGTTCCTGTATTACTAAATGTATGAGGGTAAAAATAAAGAGCAAAATTGTGACTTTAAATGGTGAACCCAATTGCCCAGAAATAAAATTATTTTATCAAAATAACCTATGTCTTATTAACTTTCCTTAAACATTTGTTGGTTTATACCTTAGATTATATCTTTCTATAAAATGTCATTGAAGAAGATATTGTATCGTTGATTTGCTGCATGTATGTTTCATATCTTATTCTGTTTCCAAAAGCATTTTTTCTAAGGATTTTTTTAAACTTTTATTTAATGAATATAAATTTCCAAAGTACAGCTTATGGATTACAATGGCTTCCCCCCCATAACGTCCCTCCAACCCGCAACCCTCCCCTTTCCCACTCCCTCTCCCCTTCCATTCACATCAAGATTCATTTTCGTTTCTCTTTATATACAGAAGATCAGTTTAGCATATATTAAGTAAAGATTTCAACAGTTTGCTCCCACACAGAAACATAAAGTGAAAAATACTGTTTGAGTACTAGTTATAGCATTAAATCTCAATGTACAGCACACTAAGGACAGAGATCCTACATGAGGAGTAAGTACACAGTGACTCCTATTGTTGACTTAACAAATTGACACTCTTGTTTATGGCATCAGTAATCACCCTAGGCTCTTGTGATGAGCTGCCAAGGCTATGGAAGCCCCCTGAGTTCACCGACTCTGATCATATTTAGACAAGGCCATGGTCAAAGTGGAAGTTCTCTCCTCCCTTCAGAGAAAGGTACCTCCTTCTTTGATAACCCATTCTTTCCACTGGGATCTCACTCACTCGCAGAGATCTTTCATTTAGGTTTTGTTTTTGTTTTTGTTTTTTTTTCCCCAGAGTGTCTTGGCTTTCCATGCCTGAAATACTCTCATGGGCTTTTCAGCCGGATCCGCATGCCTTAAGGGCTGGTTCTGAGGCCAGAGTGCTGTTTAGGACATCTGCCATTCTATGGGTCTGCTGTGTATCTTACTTCCCATGTTGGATCATTCTCTCCCTTTTTTATTCTATCAGCTAGTATTTGCAGACACTAGTCTTGTTTATGTGATCCCTTTGGTTCTTAGTCCTATCATTATGATCAATTGTGAACAGAAATTGATCACTGGGACTAGTGAGATGGCATTGGTACATGCCACCTTGATGGGATTGAATTGGAATCCCCTGGTATGTTTCTAACTCTACCGTTTGAGGTAAGTCAGCTTGAGTATGTCCCGAATTGCACCTCTCTTCCCTCTCTTATTCCCACTCTTATATTTAACAGTGATCACTTTTCAGTTAAGTTTCAGCACTTAAGAAGAATTGTGTATTGATTACAGTATTCAACCAAAAGTATTAAGTAGAACTAACAAAAAAAAATACTAAGAGGGATAACATATCAAGTTGCTCATCAACAGTCAGGGTGAGGGCTGATCAAGTCAACATTTCTCCTAGTGTTCATTTCACTTTAACAGGTTTCCTTTTTGGTGCTCAGTTAGTTGTCACCTATCAAGGAGAACATATGGTATTTGTCCCTTTGGGATTGGCTTATTTCACTCAGCATAATGTTTTCCAAATTCCTAACAGGGATCACTTTTTCAGTTAAAATTTAAACACCTAAGAATAATTGTGTGTTAATTACAGAGTTCAACCAGTGGTACTAGAACAAAAAAAAAAATACTAAAATGGATAAAGTATTACATTGTACATCAACCGTCAGGACAAGAGCTGATCAAGTCACTGTTTCTTTTAGTGTCCATTTCATTTCAAGAAGTTTCCCCTTTGGTGCTCAGTTAGTTGTCGCCGATCAGGGAGAACATATGGTATTTGTCCCTTTGGGACTGGCTTAATTCACTCAGCATGTTCTTTTCCAAATTCGTCCATCTTGTTGCAAATGACCGGGTTTTGTTGTTTTTGACTGCTGTATAGTATTCGATAGAGTACATGTCCCATAATTTCTTTATCCAGTCTACTGTTGATGGGCATTTGGGTTGGTTCGAGGTCTTAGCTATTGTGAATTGGGCTGCAATAAACATTAATGTGCAGACAGCTTTTTTGTTTGCCAATTTAATTTCCATTGGGTAAATTCCAAGGAGTGGGATGGCTGGGTTGCATGGTAGGGTTATATTCAGGTTTCTGATGAATCTCCAAACTAACTTCCATAGTGGCTTAACCAGTTTGCATTCCCACCAACAGTGGGTTAGTGTCCCTTTTTCCCCACATCCTCTCCAGCATCTATTGTTGGTAGATTTCTGCATGTGAGCCATTCCAACTGGGGTGAGGTGAATCCAGGAGTCAGGACCTTCATCCCAGCCTCCCTCATGAGTGCAGGGGCCCAACCACTTGGACCATCCTCCACTGCTTTCTCAGGCACATTAGCTGGGAGCTGGAATGGAAGTAAAGCATCCAGGACTTGAACTGGCACACATGGGAATGCCAGCATTGCAGATGGTGGCTTAACCTGCTATTCCACAACACCAGCCTTGTGAACGTGCTCTTAACCAATGCACTAGACTGCCTCTCAGGTGCTGTTTTGTTACTTGCTCAAGCTAGAAGAAAACTGTTTAACAAAGAAGGTAATGTGTTTAATGTTTGTTCTTCAAAGATATCTTAAGCATAAAACCTTTTAAAAAGCACTGTATACACATGAAAACCTATACTCGTATACTGTCAGTACCACATAATACTCCTTGTTTCTCAAATGAAAGAAGTCATCATTAAAGTAAATTTCATTTGGAGGGAACTTCTAAGGGCACTGCGAGGAGTGGAGATTGTTCCAGGCAGGGCAGGTGCTTGGGAACCTGCATGTTTATACAAAAAGTTTGCATATTCATGTGCATATATGTAATTTTTCAATCGATAGTCTGTGGGAAAAAAGAGAAGAGCTTTGTAAAGAAGTTGGGTACTAACAGAAAGTCTGAATATGTGTTTCAAATAAAAAAAAGTGTTCTTAATCATTTGTTAATTGGGCACTTTATTTTTAGAGTTTTTATTTAGATAATCTAGGGATATAAAATTCAAAATTAATTTATGTATCCGTGCATTTGATTGAGTCTAGAGATGGGCTGTAAAATCTATGAATCTTGACATGAGTACTGTAGCATAATCTGTTTATACATGAAACTACTTCATTGTGTATGTATTGTGACCTTACATATGTTTAAAAATATTTTAATAGGTAAAGGAAATGGAAGGAATTCTAAAGAGAAGATACCCCAATTCTTTACCTGCTTTAATACTGGCTGCATCAGCAGCTGGTGATACAGGGGATAAAAATACAGTGGAATTCATGGAAAAAAGGATTAAAAAGCTGGAAGCTGATCTAGAGGGCAAAGATGAAGAAGCAAAGAAAAGCCTTCGTACCATGGAACAGCAGTTTCAGAAAATGAAGGTAAGTGCCAGGTAGCCATGGAACGTAGAGTTGGTGACATTAAGAACATTAGGGCCGGCACTGCGGCTCAATAGGCTAATCCTCCGCCTGCAGCACTGGCACACCAGGTTCTAGTCCCTGTCAGGGCACCGGATTCTGTCCCGGTTGCCCCTCTTCCAGTCCAGCTCTCTGCTGTGGCCCGGGAAGGCAGTGGAGGATGGCCCAAGTGCTTGGGCCCTGCACCCCATGGGAGACCAGGAGAAGCACCTGGCTCCTGGCTTCAGATCAGCGCGATGCGCTGGCAGCAGTGTGCCGGCCGCGGCGGCCATTGGAGGGTGAACCAACGGCAAAGGAAGACCTTTCTCTCCGTCTCTGTCTCTCACTGTCCACTCAGCCTGTCAAAAAAAAAAAAAAAGAATGAATATATGTTAAATGCCGGAAGGAAGGACTGGTATAGGACTCAGTATCCAGTAATCAGTGAAATGTTCAGCAGGGGTTTGATAGTACATGAATTCTATTCCTCAGATTCAGTATGAACAGAGACTCGAGGAGCAGGAGCAGCTACTTGCCCGCAAATTGAAGGAAGCGCCCCAGAATCAACGTGACAACCTCTCCAGGGTGAAAGCATTAGAGAAGGAGCTTGATGACATTAAGGAAGCCCATCAAATTACTGTTAGAAACCTGGAAGCTGAAATAGTGGTTCTGAAGCAACGCAGTGCTGAACTAGAACTCAAGAAAAATGGTAAGGATGATATAGAATTCCAGGTGGAGCAGGCTCATGCCAAAGCAAAACTGGTGAGACTCAATGAAGAATTAGCTGCAAAGGGGAGAGAAATACAAGACCTTTCAAAAACTGTGGAGAGACTTCAGAAGGAGAGAAGAACGATGCTGTCTAATCAGAACTCTAAGGGCAGAGAGGAGATGTCTGCTAAAAGGATGAAGAAAGATGTTTCACACCCAAGTAAAGGAAATGTGCACTCCCTCCCTGGCGCCCTGGACAGCAAACTTTACCTACCACACACTTTTACTGATTCCCGCGTCTCAGAGGTTTTGCAAGAAAACTGCAGATTGAAAACTGAGCTAGAGGGATTGATTTTAGAACGAAATGAGCTGAAGATGAAGTCTGAAGCAGCAGTGAACGAATTTGAAAATTCTATGAAAAGGTAAAATGTTAAATTGCTTATAAAAACGTAAGTATTTTGAATTATGACATGTTTTATTTCCTCTGGATAATTAGTTTCACTCTGAGCCAAATTCGTAATTGAGTTTTAAGAAGTTGTATTATGTTGCTGAGCATAGATCGGCCCAGATTCTGTTGCACCTGAACCTCCTTGTCAGCCCAAGCCACAGCCTGACCAGTCTTGGCTTTCCACATGTACCTGAACGGTGTTAACAGGCCTTTGTGACCCACTGGGCCCTTCTTGCAAAGGAATTACCATCATTTATGATTACTGTAGGCAGAGTGCATTCAGAAAAGACCAATTGTTAAAACTAGTTGAAAGTCTAAGAGGAAAAGTTCTTCTTTTGAAAAATGACTCTTCAGACTGACCCTGCAGTCACCTCCAAGCATGCCCTGAGGAGCTGTAGGACACCTCCCTTTCTAGAATCTCCAGCTCTGTGCACTCTTTTCTCTGAGCCTTGTTTTCACATGATCACAGTCCTTCTAGTCTTATTTCAGTGCCAGTTTTCTTAAGTAACCTCTCCGTTTATTTCCACTTCCTTGCCTCTTAAAGTTGCCTCTTATCGTCACCACTCCTTTAATCTGATCTCTCAGTAATGACCTTTCGTGTTCCAGGGGCATGTTCTCCATCATTTTCCTTGACAACATTGGCTTCCTGGTCTTTCCTGAGTAGTGTCCTCCCTTAACCTCCATGACTAAAATTCCTTTTCTATTTAACTTCTCACTCTTCTTACTTCTCCCTCCCCAAAACACTGGCTTCTTATCAGACTTGGGTATTGACTTTCTGTTTATAGTCTATTATTTGCGCATTGCTAAACTCATCCATTATTATGGCCTCTGGGAATCCTGACTCTGGCACACACTTGTAAAGGTGTGGTCTCCTCCTTGAGTGCAGATATTAAATCTGTAATTACTTATTGGATTGCTTCTTTTGGAATCAACAATGCTTAGTTTATGTCTTTTTTACCCATAGACTCATTCCCCCTCCCAAGTTCCCCATTGCTGTATATAACCACATTGCAACTGCCCAACCGAGTTTTACCTCCCTTATTCCTCGGTTCATAGTCTATAAGGTGTTGCTTTATAAATGTTTTCATTTTTTTTCTTCTTTACCATGGTAAACCAGTGTAGCCCACATGGTTTACGATAGTTTTCCTATCCTGATATCCCTGACTTCTGTTTCTGTCTCCCTCAATCATCTTGCTTTATGAGTATTCTTTGAACACTTCTGTGTCTGAGTCACTATGCCCTCTAATTACTCCTCTTTTTTTTTATTTTTATTTATTTATTTTTTTTTTGACAGGCAGAGAAGACAGAGAGAGAGAGACAGAGAGAAAGGTCTTCCTTTGCCGTTGGTTCACCCTCCAATGGCCGCCGCAGCCGGCACACTGCTGCCAGCGCACCGCGCTGATCCGAAGCCAGGAGCCAGGTGCTTCTCCTGGTCTCCCATGCGGGTGCAGGATCCAAGTTCTTGGGCCATCCTCCACTGCCTTCCCGGGCCACAGCAGAGAGCTGGACTGGAAGAGGGGCAACCGGGACAGAATCTGGTGCCCTGACCGGGACTAGAACCCGGTGTGCCGGCGCCACAGGCGGAAGATTAGCCTATTGAGCCGCGGCGCCGGCCTCTAATTACTCGTAACTCCTGAAATATCAACCCTAAGTTTAAATTTGGCTGGCATCTCAAGTCCCATCACCATTCTAATGTACACGCCTACTGTGCATGCCTACCTAACCTACCACATTTCTTCATGCCTTTGGCTCATTTGTGCTTCAGGCCCTACCTGCTACACAAGCATCTCCTGGAGCTTCTCAGGAAAATATATGCCGTCCACCCTGCCCCGACTTTGACAGTTTCAATATATGCCAAGAAGGTGTTAACTATACACAGCCTGTGACTCCTTAGACTGTTGTAAGATTTTGCTTTTTTTGTGTCCCCAAGCAAGCTGGTGTAGAAGCAGAGTGTGCTTATTGATTAATTAGCAGCCATGTCAGTGCTTGAGTCATTATGACAACCATATTGCATTCAAACTGAGACCTTGTTTTCTCAGTCCTGAATATAACAGTAGTGTGAAATTATTTGGGAAGAATTAGATTCTTCCTTGGAAATAATCTAAAATTCAGGTATTTACTATAAATTTTATTATATGTAATTTAAAAATTTTCTAGTATTGTTGATCTGTTTCTCAGATAGCTCTGTGTCTGGGAAATGAGGAATAAACTTGCCTAGTCCCAGATTTAGGCGTTTTTTTTTTACTGTGACTCACTTACGTCATGAGCACTTTAGATTTTACTTTTGAAGCACTTGGGCTGTCTTCTTTTTTTTTTTTTTTTATGAATTATTTGAGAGGTAGAGTTACAGACAGAGGGGGAGAGACAGAGACAAAGGTCTTCCACCCATTAGTTCACTCCCCAAATGACCACAATCGCCAGAGCCAGACTGATCCAAAGCCAGGAGCTTCTTTCAGGTCTCCCATGCAGGTACAGGGGCCAAAGCACTTGAGACATCTTCTACTGGTTTTGCAGGCCTTAGCAGAGAGCTGGATTGGAAGAGGAGCTGCCAGGAATTGAATAGGTGCCCATATGGGATGCCAGTGTTACAGGCATAGACTTAGCCCGCTATGCCACAGCACCGGCCTCTGAACACTTTAAATTTTTATGCTTCACCTAGGACCCTAATGACAGTAGTCCCTTGGAGAAATATTCATATAGCAAAATAAACAGCTGATAAATGTGTCTGTAGTTAGAAATTATTTTATGAATATGTAACAGCAATTTACTAAAATATCTGCTTTAAATGAAATCTGTCATTTTTTAAGTCTTTCAAGTAAGAGAAAAAAATGTATCTATGAGAGAAGTATCAACTCATTCATAACTTTGCCCTTTACTGAACTACTTCTGAATGCATAATTTTTTCACTGAGATAAATGAATAGTCTCTCACACTTACGGTCCAGAGTAATTACTTGCTGATTGCTCTCATGTCCAGAGAATTACCATAAAGATCATTTTATTCTCACAACATGCAGCTTGCCCTGGAATTATATGCAATCACCAAAAATTGATGAATGCTCCTAGACACAAAGCATTGAAGATTTTAAAGGGTGAGCTGCTGTGATTTTTCTAGAGAAAGAATCTAGATAGGAAATCTGAGTTTATCTTAAATGATACAATGCTGAGCACTTCGCTTTAAATTCAAACAGATATTTAAGAACTCTAGATTACCTCGGAAAATGTAACCCCAGGCTGGGGATAGAAGAGAAGGCCCAGGTTTTGGGACCAGTGCTGTGGCGTAGCAGGTAAAGCTGCCGCCTCTGGCACTGCCATCCCATATAGGTGCTGGTTCAAGTCCTGGCTGATCCACTTCCAGTCTAGCTCCCTGCTGATGTGCCTGGGAAAAACGTCAGGAGATGGCCGGGTGCTTGGGTCTCTGCACGCACATGGCAGACCAGGTAGAAGCTCCTGGCTTTGGACCCACTCAGCTCCAGCCATTGTGGCCATCTGGGGAGTAAACCAATGGATGGATTAAAGACCTCTTCCTTTCTGTCTTTCTCTCTGTCTCCCTAACTCTGCCTTTCAAATAAGTAAATAAATCTTAAAAAAAAAAAAAAAGGGGGGGGGGGGGCAGCAGCCCAGACTTTGAAATCCAGCTATGCTGGGCTTAACCCTGGCACTTGAGTTTCCTACTCTGGACCTGAGATACATCACTCTTTCCCACACTCAAGTTTGCCCTTAATAAAATCCAGTGAGTGAGAGTAAGTTCCTGAAGTGCTTCTAAGAACTACATAGGCAGTAATGTATTTAGCACCTAATATAATGACTTAAATATTGATGCTATCTCTCCCCTTGTTGCTTTAATTTCCAGGATTTTTACCATCCCCTCCCCCTTTTTTTATTTTCCTAACTAGAGATTGAAGAGCCACTTATTTTATTTCTGAGTTTTTCATTTTCTCTCTAGGATGCAGGAAGATACTGCAGCACACATTGCCTCCCTCAAAGCCTCTCATCAAAGGGAAGTAGAGAAACTCCTTTGCCAAAATGCAATAGAAAATTCTTCTTCCAAAGTAGCTGAACTAAATCGTAAAATAGCAACTCAAGAGGTAAAAGATAAATATTTTTTAATCTTGACTTTAATATTTTTTCAGGACTGGTAAACATTTTTGATTTGGAAATATTTAACTCGAGGTTGGTGATAAAAAATTAATACTGGCTTGATTTTTTTATATATAAACAGAAGAGGATACCATTGATCTATATGGAATTCAAAATCATGCCCTATAAATAAGCGTTTGTCCATTCTGTCCTTACATTTCTAAATATATCTGCTAAATATGTTGTAACGGATGGTGTAGTATATATCAAATGTGATTGGGACTTAGTACTTAAACTTGAATCCCGGGTCATTTCCCCCTACTCCAAGTCCTAACTGACAAATTGTCCTAGGGCTTTTTTCCAGCCCACTACCTTTCATTCATGGAACAAATAATGGTCCAGTTTATAGATGATCAGGCACTGGGGATGAAATAATGAACATAGCTGTAAACTTTGATGAAATATCTTCTAAGCTGACAGCTCTTCAGCATTTCCTTGAATTAATGTGTCTTGGATAATCAGTATAGCCACTTGAAAGGTCTATGAACTTCTGTATGACCATTGTTTGTGATACTACTTGGTTGAAAAATAACATTGATTGAGAACTTTTATCTGCAACTTAGTTTTAAGTGGTGTACCCACAAAACAAATACAGCAAAATTGTGAATCAGGTTGAACATATATATGTGTATTGAGTTCATCTTTTCTGTAGGTTTCAGCTTTTTAAAAGCAAGCTTATGGGGGAATATAAGAAATAATTATCTCACCACTGTCTCTCCCACCTGTAGTTAATGTCTTCTTAATTAAAAACAAATCCCTCCATTGGAGCAGCTTGAATATGAGCTGGATAGATGTTAAAATTTTTGTAAATGTTCTTAATGTAAAATTATGCTTTTATTAGAAATCTTTTATTGAAAGACACATGCTGAAGTACTAATGGATTCAGATGATGAGTCTGCAACTTAACTAGCTCAGATGCAAAGAACTGTTTTAGTACGTTAATAAAAAATATTTAAAGTGCTTTTGAGCAGTAAAAATCCATACAGACTTTCAGATAACCTCTCCAGCGCCTAGGGCATCAGACAGCAGTTGCAAACAGCGCATCAATTGATTTTGTAATAAGGAACAGTGAGAGTGGGAAAAGTAATGTCAGAATGCCACAGAGCCATAAATACCAGGGTATTTCAGAAAGTTAATTGAAAAGTTAAGTTACAAGGTAAGTTTATTTTGATGGAAAAAATGTGAAATCTATGCATAGTTTTTTCATACTGTGCATTTTCCATGATCATTTTGAAGGCTTCATAGGTATGTGGATTTCAAAATGTTTTCCACCAAAATAAACTTACCTTTTAATTCTGCTTTTCCAGACTTTTTAAATTGCACTAGTATGTTATTTTCCCAGAGTTGTAAATATGTTAAAATGTGAATTGAAAGGAAGTCCGCATAATCTGATCACTACAACAGTTTAATTACAGCATTGGAGAGAGGAGATATGAATTTTTCTCACGTTCTTAGTTTCTTGATAGAAAAATATGTTCATGTACTTGACATTTAACAGATATGATTGCGTTAGCTTTATTAATAGCCCCTTAATACTGTTATACTTAGCAAAAATATAGCTTTTGGCCATATTCTTCCAAATGTTTTATACATTATTCTTTTTTTAACTTTTATTTAATGAATATAAATTTCCTAAGTACAGCTTATGGATTACAATGGCTCCCTCCCCCCCCATAATTTCCCTCCCACTTGGACCCATCCCATCTCCCGCTCCCTCTCCCATTCCATTCACATCAAGATTCATTTTCAATTCTCTTTATATATAGAAGATCAGTTTAGCATATATTAAGTAAAGATTTCAACAGTTTGCACCCACATAGAAACACAAAGTGAAAAATACTGTTTGAGTACTAGTTATAGCATTAAATCTCAATGTACAGCACACTAAGGACAGAGATCCTACATGAGGAGTAAGTGCACAGTGACTCCTATTGTTGACTTAACAAATTGACACTCTTGTTTATGGCATCAGTAATCACCCGAGGCTCTTGTGATGAGTTGCCAAGGCTATGGAAGCCTTTTGAGTTCACCGACTCTGATCATATTTAGACAAGGTCATAGTCAAAGTGGAAGTTCTCTCCTCCCTTCAGAGAAAGGTACCTCCTTCTTTGATGACCTGTTCTTTTCACTGGGATCTCACTCACGGAGATCTTTCATTTGTTTTTGTTTTGTTTTGTTTTGTTTTTTTGTTTTGTTTTGTTTTTGTTTTGCCAGAGTGTTTTGGCTTTCCATGCCTGAAATACTCTCATGGGCTTTTCAGCCAGATCTGCGTGCCTGAAGGGCTGATTCTGAGGCCAGAGTGCTGTTTAGGACATCTGCCATTCTATGGGTCTGCTTTGTATCTCACTTCTCATGTTGGATCATTCTCTCCCTTTTTGATTCTATCAGCTAGTATTTGCAGACACTAGTCTTGTTTATGTGCTCCCTTTGGTTCTTAGTCCTATCATTATGATCAATGGTGAACAGAAATTGATCACTGGAACTAGTGAGATGGCATTGGTACATGCCACCTTGATGGGATTGAATTGGAATCCCCTGGTATGTTTCTAACTCTACCGTTTGAGGTAAGTCAGCTTGAGCATGTCCCAAATTGTACATCTCTTCCCTCTCTTACTCCTACTCTTGTATTTAACAGCAATCACTTTTCAGTTTAGTTTCAACACTTGAGAATAACTGTGTATTGATTACAGTATTCAACCAAAAATATTAAGTAGAACTAACAAAAAAAATACTAAGAGGGATAACGTATTAAGTTGTTCATCAACAGTTAGGGCAAGGGCTGACCAAGTCACCGTTTCTCATAGTGTTCATTTCACTTTAACAGGTTTCCTTTTTGGTGCTTAGTTGTCACCAATCAGGGAGAACATATGGTATTTGTCCCTTTGGGACTGGCTTATTTCACTCAGCATGATGCTTTCCAGATTCCTAACAGGGATCACTTTTTCAGTTAAAATTTAAACACCAAAGAATAATTGTGTGTCAGTTACAGAGTTCAACCAATAGTACTAGAACAAAAAAAAATACTAAAATGGATAAAGTATTACATTGTACATCAACAGTCAGGACAAGAGCTGATCAAGTCACTGTTTCTCATAGTGTCAATTTCACTTCAACAAAGTTTCCCCTTTATGAGTTGACTGTCTTACATGTTTCAAATAGTAAGGGGGGGGGGGACTTTATCAACTGTGTACTTGTATTTCCTAGGTGCTTATAAAACATTTCCAAAGTCAAGTTAATGAGCTGCAGGATAAACAGGAGTCTCTTGCAGTTTCCCAAGTTCGAGAAGAAATCCTACAGAAAGAGGTAAGAAATACCTAAACTCTTAGGCCAAAATCAGCTTAAACATTTCAGTGATACTCATATTTCTGTATATACTTCTAAATTGACTGTATAAATGGGCATAATCTGAAATGATCATGTGTTAGAATATACTAGTAACGTTTATATAAATTATCCTTTCCCCAGGTGAGATTCACATGTTGTCAGAAATTATTTATATGCTTGTATTTACTGTTCAGATTTTGTGGGAAGTGGAAACAAGATATTTTCTTGGTTTTGTTTATTTGAAAGTCAGAGTTACACAGAGAAGGGGAGGCAGAGAGAGAGGTCTTCCATCCCCTGGTTCATTCCCCAATTGGCTGCAATGGCCAGAGCTGTGCCAAACCAGAGCCAGGAGATTCTCTGGGTTTCTCAGGCAGGTGCAAGGGCTCAAGGACTTGGGCCATTTTCTACTGCTTTCCCAGGCCACAGCAGAGAGCTGGATCAGAAGTGGAACAGCTGGGATTTGAACCAGTGCCCATATGGGATGCTGGCACTGCAGCAGCGGCTTTACTGTGCCACAGCGCTAGCCCCTGCTTGATTTTTTAGGTGGTAAAATAATTAATGCCATGTTGGGGAGGAAAATAGTTTTTTCCTCAACCATCATGAGTTCTTAATTAGGACAGTACAGATAACAAGAAAAGATTAACGAGATAAACAAGCTTGTTAAGACAGCATCACACAATGTAAAATATATATATTTTATATATATAAAACAAGGTAACTAAAAGCAGTAGCTTAGAATTTGCCAAATTGGTCGATTTTGAGATTTGGATTAGAGATTGGCAAAAGTGGGGAGGGCTGGAAATGTGAATTGAGACAATCAGAAAAGAAGAAAGCACATTGCCCCATATCTTACTGAATCAGTGCTCAGACCTGAAAATAGTTAAGAGTTGTGTCTCATTCCATGATGAGCTGCAGGAAGGCTTACATTAAAGTTAGGCCTCTATATGGTGATTTAATAAGACCAATTTCTGTGCAAATGGAAGAACAAAGGTTACTGGTTGGAGCAGTCTGTAACCCAGTTTGAGTCTGGAAGGGTAGTCAGTCAGGAAGACTGCTGATGTTGAATTCTAGATGTCTGCGGTGATATATGAGTGGCCCACAGCAGCAGGCATGAGGTTGTCCACTTGTGATTGTGGTGGTTCTCCGAAGTTTATATCAGCTCATTCAGCTTCAGCTTGTTAGGGCTTCAGGAAAAGTACAGTTCTGTAGTGATTCCAAACCAGAAGGGTGGGAGTAAAATTAGAAATGTTAATTTAATAAACTATGGCCCTATACTAAAGGAAACTAGAAGAATTCAGGATCCAGGCCAAATAACAAAACCTCAAAGATAATTCTGATATCCACAAGGTATTGCTTCTTATTTAAGGAATTAATACATTAGATTCTCAGGGCCACAGCAAATGTATGATAATTCTCATGTTAATGTAATATTAACTCAAAGAGAATAGATTCAGTATAGTTCATAAATACAATTCTAACAATACAATGATACTTCCTCCCTCCATCCTTGAGATGACAGTTTTTCCTCTCTACAGTACCCCCATGTTCATCAAGATAATCACAGTAAGTCCAGTTTGTTTGCAAAAATAAGTCTAGTCTTTGGGCCAGTGTTGTGGCGTAGCAGGTAAAGCTGCTGCCTACAGTACCAGCATTCATGTGGGCGCTGGTTCATGTCCTGGCTGCTGTATTTTCCATCCACGTCCCTGCTAAATATGCCCCCGGTGTTTGGGCCCTTGGCACCACCACAGGAGCCTGGAATAAGCTTCTAGTCCAGCACTGGCCTTTGCGGCCATTTGGAGAGTGAACCAGTGGACAGAAGATATCTCTCTCTCTCTGTTAATGCTGACTTTCAGATAAGTAATTTTTTTAAAACTCTGGTCTGTCATCAAATTTAGCTTCATTATTTATGTAAGTGTAGCATAATAGTAATTAGGCATAGGGCTTTTTTTTTTTTAATCTGCTTTACTGTAACGTTTTTTTCTAACTCATTTGAAAGAGAGATCTTCTATCAGCTGGTTCACTTTGCAAATGCTCTCAACCACATCTGGGCCTGGAGCCAAAGACTCAATGCAGATCTCACACACAAGTGGCAGGACCCCAAGTATTTGGGCCATAATCTACTGCCTCTCAGATGCATTAGCAGGGAGCTGGATCAGAAGCACAATAGCTGGGATTCAAGCCAGCACTCCAACATGGGATGTAAGTGTCCCAAAGAGTAGCTTAAGTTACTGTAGCATAATACCTGCGCCTGGATCTTTTAAAAGCATGTCCAGGCTAGGGAAACAAGGAATTGCCATCAGATTTTGCTTATAAAACCTATAGATTTGGGCAAGTTCCTCTCTTATTCGGAGTTTCCTGAGCCTGCCATGGAACAGCACCCTAATCTGGAAGAATTCCGTGCAAAGTACCAGACTAGGGTTTTCCAAGAGACTTTATTACACTGTTGGTTAAGAGAAGTCAATAGACAAAGATCTGGGGGAGCTGACTTTGGAAAGAATTCTTACTCTCACCAACTCCTAGTATCCAATATGTAGGCTCTGGAACAAGAGGGGCATCCCAGGAAATCTCATCTGATCACCAGAAATGGTCAGGAAGAGAAAAAAGAATTTCCTCAGCCCTCATAAAGTCATAGTTGGGATGGACCCCTGTAACAGATTAAGAAGAGGAAAATATATTAAAGTATGCACCACACATCATATGGTAGAAACCTCAACAAAAGGTAACTCAAAGCAGTGGCTTAGAACTCTGGCTTATGTAGCATCTTCAGCAAACACTAGATTTGTAGAGAAATAACAGAATGAAGGAAAAGAGTTTTAGTTGGAAGGTAGGAAACTGGGAATGTAAATTTGGGAGGAGACATAAGGCTTGCAGATTCCTCTGGTGCCATCTCTGGGTTGAATAGAGTCCAAGTCCTCTGGTAAAGGAGGATTTCTATCTTTAGACATAAAAGGGGAGGAGAGAGCTTTTTCTCTATTTGCTGCTCTTAATTGCCCTTAGCTCAAAAATTTGTATGTAACATATTCCAGTTTCCTTCAGTATACACTAATTACTTTGAGTAAGAAATAGATGAAGCCACCATGACAGTCATGCTGGATCACTACTAACAATATCCTTAGATGAAATAGTTGATTATGGAAACCCACTATTTTTTATTACCCCAAGATCCTTTTGTAAAACCAGAAAAGCTGTGCTATTCTTTGAAGCATATCTACCATTTGTATTATTTAGGCATTTAAGGCTTAGATGCAAAACATAGCACTAATAATGAAAAGATCAATGAGAAAGTATTCTACAGTTATGTAACTGTCTTTAAAATCTTGTTCTAGTAGCCCCAAGGCTATTTGTGCATTCCTGCAGTGTTTAAGAATGTGTGTAAGTTTACAGACCTTCACAGACCTAAAGTAAAGGTTTTTGGAAAAATAATGAAAGGAATAATGTATTTATATTTGCAAGGTAAAGAAATTGTCAAGGTAGAGTCAGTGATAGTTAAAATGGTTCTTAGTTTAAGCGTAGCTAAAAGAGGAGAAAATGGAAAAGCTAAAATGCTGCTATAATGGAATACCTAAGACTAGGTAATGTATAAAGAGTATTCGGTGCTGGAGGAAGTGCAAGAGCGTGGTGCTAATGTTTTTGTGGACCTTTAGTGCTGTGTCACTCTGTGGTAGAAGGGAAAGGCAAGAAAGAGCCCAGCTTGCTCTTCTAACACTGGAGATAACTAGGACTTTAATCCTCTCGTAAGGGCAGAGCCCTCATGACCTAATGACCTCTTGTCCACTTCCCAGCACTCTTGCTTTGGAAGTTGTCCTCAGCACTTAAACTTTGGGGGAATACATTCAAGCCGTCACAGCTGCAACACATGATTTTTAAGCCTAGTGACTGGAAAACACACACTCAGTCTTTAATTCAGACAGTGACCCTCTGCCTTTTCACTTGAACACCTGCATTCAGCATGCAGCTGGTCTGTAATAGCTGATTTATCCTCATCACTGCTACCCTTCTGCGGATTCCCAGATACCCTCCTATACACTGAGGCATTTGCTTTCAGACTCATCCTGCCACTGTGAAACTTCTAGGAATTGGTCAACTAATTCCGATTCCCTTAGCTTCAAAACTGCCTCCAGGCAGTAAACAGTAATCATAAGAGAGCTCACCCTGTTTATTTTCCTCCTCCTGCAGTGCTGTTAACCAGGGTGTGAGAACCTTTGTTTCCTGTATTTTGTCATGTTTTCTAGGAATGGAAGATAACTCTCTATCCCTTTTATTACACATGGCCACAAGTGAAGGCACACTATACATTTCAAAGGAGTGACAAATATGCTGTTTTTTGATAGCCTCTGTGGTTTTAAAATAACTTCTTTAAAGGACTTATTTATTTGAAAGGCAGAGTGAACAGAGAAAGTTCTTCCATCCATTGGGCCATGCCAAAGCCAGAGGTCTAGAACTCTGAGTTTTCTTTTTTATTTTTATTTTTTTATTTTTTATTTATTTATTTTTTTTTTTTGACAGAGTGGATAGTGAGAGAGAGAGAGACAGAGAGAAAGGTCTTCCTTTTTGCCCTTGGTTCACCCTCCAATGGCCACCACGGCTGGCGCGCTGCAGCTGGCACACCGCACTGATCCGAAGCCAGGAGCCAGGTGCTTCTCCTGGTCTCCCATGGGGTGCAGGGCCCAAGAACTTGGGCCATCCTCCATTGCTTTCCCGGGCCATAGCAGAGAGCTGGCCTGGAAGAGGGGCAACCGGGACAGAATCCGGTGCCCCAACAGGGACTAGAACCCTGTGTGCCGGCGATAGCAGCAGAAAATGGCCCAAGTCCTTGGGCCACTGCACCCATATGGGAGACCAGGAGGAAGCACCTGGCTCCTAGCTTCAGATCGGCGCAGCACGCCAGCCGTGGCAGCCATTTGGCGGGGGAGTGGGGGGGGGGGTGAGCCAACGGAAAAAGGAAGACCTTTTTCTCTGTCTTCTCTCAGTGTCTAACTCTGTCAAAAAAAAACATTTGATGCTAAAAAAATGAATTAAGTTGCCCAAAGTTACCAACTTAGATAAACATGTGCCAGCATTAGAACCTAGGGCCTCTGGACTCAGGCCACAAACTCTTAATTTATTTCAGCAATCCTCTATTGTTGGCATACAGGTTATCTCCAGTTTTTTTCTGTAATATACAGGTAGCAGGAAGTAGTTTTGTCATATAAGCAAAGGTGTATAACTCCATATTTCATTAAAATGCCATATTTTAAAATATGTATAATCCATTCTAATTTTCTTAAAAGCTGTTTTTAGATAGGTTGGAATAAAAGAAAATTGTTGCTATTTTTTGTAGAACTTTGCAGAGCTCTACATTTGTGTAATTTACCAGAGAATGTTTCTTTAGTCATTGAAAGGTAGATTAATTAGCCAAATTCATGAATAATTGCTGAATGCCTTCCCTCTGCCAGGCACAGTTCTTGGTTCTAGGAAAACTGAGAACAGAGGGGATTAAAACTCCTGCTCTGTTGAGCTCACATTTTATTTGTAAATTCAAACAAGAAATATAAGGTTTAGTAAACAAATTAGAGGAGACATCTGTCAAGTGGATAGTATAGTGCCTAGCGCATAGTAATGCCCTTTAAGGCTCTATCCAAATATGGCTGCCTTAGAAATCCCTCCAGCCACCTCCTGGCTGAGCTTGCTATCCCTCTCATCACCTCACTGCTCCGTGACCATCTCTCCACTCCAGAACACCATTCTGGTCCACTTAACTGCTTCTTTCACGAGACTGGAACTGCCCAGCTAGTGTACCAAGAATGGGTTTCATGTATAGCACAAGATAGCAGTTTCTGGAAATGTTGTAGAACAGCAAAAAACCCAAAGTCATTTTGGGCATAGAAACCATTAAAAAGTTTATATCAATTGAAATGATAGTTGATTGCACCTCTGCAGTTTTCTTACGTCACTAATCATGATTGCCCTGCAGTAACTTTTAGTAATCATTTATCATTAAACTCTTTTATGCCCAGCACTCATCATTACACTATGTTATATCTTTGGTCACTGATGATATCATCAGGAATGTTCTACATTTGAAGTATTTAGATTATTCCTTATTGTTTGCTTTTATTTTTATTTCAACCAATATAGGTAAGATGCATGTTTTTTGTAGTGTTACTTAGGTAAGAGTGTTTTTATATAAAACATGACTGAATTTATTTATTTATTTATCCTTTTTATTTGCTTATTGCCTTTTGATGTTAACAATTAGCAAAATCTGATTCATGATAGAATTTATTTTCCTGATTATATGGTACTCCAAAAAAAAAAAAGAAGATAGGTTTATTTTGGTGCAGAAAAACTTGAAATCCATTTATTCTCACAATATGCTTTTCCATTAACTATTAGAATATCTTTCATATGCATAGACTTCAAAGATTTTGTGCAAAATAAACTCATCTTTTAATTCCATATTCCACTACCTTGTGATAGTACCCTTGTATACCATAATGAAAATACTGTTGTTTGGCCAAGCCCAATAAGAAGGCCCCTTCAAGTCCTGGCCACTTTACCTGTGGACCATGATATGAAAGCAGAGGTAGTACAGTAGACTAAGCTTTGTGAGGACAATCTGTCTTTCATGTGTCTGCATCCCCAGATCCTAAGATAATGGCCAACACAGAACAAGCTCCACCTTTATAGATATACCTTTACTTTTAGAATAAATTACTAACAATCAAAACAAGAGCCATAAGAGAATTACAATTGGAATTGTAGAGAATTGGGACCAGTGCCGCGGCTCAATAGACTAATCCTCCGCCTGCGGTGCCAGCACCTTGGGTTCTAGTCCCGGTTGGGACACTGGATTCTGTCCCAGTTGCTCCTCTTCAGTCCAGCTTTCTGCTGTGGCCCGAGAGGGCTGTGGAGGATGGCCCAAGTGCTTGGGCCCCTGCACCCGCATGGGAGACCAGGAAGAAGCACCTGGCTCCTGGCTTCGGATCAGTGCCAGCCGTAGCGGCCATTTTGCAGGGGTGAACCAACGGAAGGAAGACCTTTCTCTGTCTCTATCACTGTCTATAACTCTGCCTGTCAAATAAAAAAAAAAAATTGTAGGGAATTGACAAAAGAGGGATACACACGCACTAAATAAACTTTCTGTGCTTTGGGCACCATTCTCTGTCAGGTACTTTAAATGTATTTTAATCCTATAAGTAAACAACTTACTGTCAAACAAATACACTGTAGCAGAGCCAAATGTATCAAAGTTTTGAGCCCCATAACCAGACTGGCATACATGGGAGCGAGAAGTGGTCCAGTTAGCTGGGATGTACCTTCACTTTGTGGACACAGGAGTGAAAGTTAATAATAATCCAAGATACATCTTAGAAAAGCCTTGGGCAAGTGTCTTGATTTTCAAGATTACCTATTAGAATTCTTTGTGACTGTTTTTCATTTACTTCATATTTCAACTTTAGATTACCAAACTCTTAGAAGAATTGAGAGAAGCCAAAGAAAACCATACACCGGAGATGAAACATTTCATGGGCTTGGAAAAGAAAATTAAACAAATGGAAATGAGACATAAGCAAAGAGAACACGAGCTTCAGCAGGTGAAGACCGCATTTCCATATTTGTGTAGTTGTTTCTTTTACGTGCCTTTCATTTGCTAGTTTTGCACTCCTAGCAAAAGTGTTTCCCTTGTATTTTGATCATGTTAAAAAGAAATTCATAACTTGAGAAAATAACACCTTAAATCTCAAATGCTTAAAGATTGGTTTGTCTTCTATCCAGTGAAAAGAGAACACTTGTGTCATGTGAATTATTAATGGGTATCTAAGAAGTCACACATCTGGCTTTGGGAACAGTGTTCTCTATTCGAGCCATTTCAACAAATGCTCATTCAGAAATAAATTTAGATTAAAATCACAATGTTATATGGCTAGTACTAATGATGTAACTACTATATTTATAAACAATTAATAGAAATTTAAATAATAAATGTAAAGACACTGTGGTGCCAATATTTAGCTTTCTGTGTACACTGTATTAGCCTGGTTGAGGTACTAACAAAATGTCCTAGACTATTAGGTGGCAAAAGTAACACATTTATTTTCTCAGGGTTCCAAGATCAGGTTCTGGTTGGTTTGGTTTCTACTGAGGGCTCCCTTCCTGGCTCGCAGACTATCACTGTTTCCTCACACAGTCCTTCCCTGGTGCAGGCATGCAAAGGAAAGGGAGAGAGAGCAGAGATCTCTGGTATCTGTCTTTATGCAGTAGTAGTCTCATCACATGAGGGCCTCGTTTATTTTGGTTTTTTGTTTTAAGATTTATTTATAGGCCGGTGCCACGGCTCACTAGGCTAATCCTCCACCTACGGCGCTGACACCCCGGGTTCTAGTCCTGGTCGGGGCGCCGAATTCTGTCCCAGTTGCTCCTCTTCCAGTCCAGCTCTCTGCTGTGGCCCGGGAGTGCAGTGGAAGATGGCCCAGGTCCTTGGGCCCTGCACCCACATGGGAGACCAGGAGAAGCACCTGGCTCCTGGCTTCGGATCAGCACAGCGCGCCAGCCGTGGCAGCCATTTGGGGGGGGGGAGGTGAACCAACGGCAAAGGAAGACCTTTCTCTCTCTCTCACACTGTCTAACTCTGCCTGGGGAAAAAAAAATTATGTATTTATTTATTTGAAAGGCAGAGAGCTGTCTTCCATCCACTGGTTCACTCCCCAGACAGCTGCGATGGGCAGGGCTGAGTGAGGCGGAACCCAGGAACCTGGAACTTTATATGGGTTGCAGGGGAGTCATCTTCCACCACTTTCCTAGGCACATTAGCAAAGAGCTGGAAACCAGTGCTCGTATGGGAGGCCAGTGTCACAGTGGGACAGCTTAACCTGTCTTGCCACATGCTAGCCCCCAGGGCCTCACCTTTATGACTTCATTTTACCTTAATTATATCCTTACTCCAAAAACAACCTCAAAAGGTTAGAGCTTCAACATAGGGATCTTGTGGAAACAAGCACTTATATATTCTTTGTTGACAGAAATTATGAGGGAATCTTCATAAAGTCCATGAAAATACATGTTATGAAAATGGTATGCATAAGCTTCAAAATTTTTTACACCAAAATAAATATATTCTATCCCCATTTTCCTGCACATTTTTTGAAGAACCCTCCCACTGCATGCATACAGACCTCCCAGAGGACATCCACGGTTTGCCTATTTCACGTTTTCCCACCTCAGCTCTGAGACTGAAGTGTTCTTCACCCCACCATGAACCGTGACAGTCACGTGGAATTTTTCTTTTTGCAGATAATACAGCAGACACAGCAAGTAGTAGAAACTGAGCAAAACAAAGAGGTAGAGAAATGGAAAAGACTGGCACAGATAAAGAACCGTGAGCTGGACAAGTTCCGCACAGAATTAGACTCCATGTTGGATGTTCTCCGTGAGCTGCACCGGCAGGGGGTGGTGGTGCCAGTCGCTCTTTCGGATGAAGTGAATGCACCAGAGTATTACTAGAAAGTCACACTTGCGTGACCTCATTGAAAGGCACGAACTGTCACGGCGGCTTTTGAACACCGGTGTTCCAGCGTGATGCCAGAAGCAAACACTAGAGCAGCATGGCAAAATAAATTACCCCTAACTAACACAGAAAAAAAATCCTGATGTGTTGACTAGCCAGATACATTTTGAATGATCTACAAGCAGGTTCCTTTATAATCAGATGACCATGAATCTGACGTAACAAGATTTGTGAAAAGTGTAGCATATGTAAGAAATGGAAAGGGAAAATTGTGCATACACTGGCAATTATTGCCCAACTGTGTACTGAGTTTTTTGTAACAGAAAACCAGCTTCTCTTTCCCATGAGGATAGGTGAGAATGTGAGCACAGCTGCGTGGACAGTCTTGTGAACCTGGGTGATAGTTTCCTCAGTAATTCAGAAGACAGGTGCAGCTCTGTGCACGGAGATGGTGAATTCTGGTCCTCCCAGTTTTCCACTCCTTCCTCTAGGCGGGTTGGTTGGTTTGTTTTTGTGCACTGGTATAAAGGTGAAAAATACATTTCACAATATGGAAATACAGTTTTATCATACTGTTTTAATCTTTTAAGCTATGTCTCTTTAATTCCAATACTGCTTTTTAGTATATAATGATTTTACTTTGTCTATTTAAAATGTAATATATTCCCATTAGAAAAAAAAATCAAATATGCATAAAAGTAGCCAAACCACTGTTTTAAAATTCCCATTTCCAAAAGCAGATGTCAAGTGTATAAGATAATGGTTAAGTCAGAGTTATAGTGACTCTTCTCCAAATGTTCTATTACACTATGTACTAAAATGTAATGTAAGCCATATGTAGTGTTTAACTTTCTATTAGCCACATTTAAAAAGATGTGAATATAAAATTAGAGTTTTGGCATTTGACATATTAAGTCTTTAAAATGTATTTTACAGAGATAGTAGCACATCTCAGTTGAAATAGTCACATTCTAAGTGCTCAGTTACCACATACCAATAAGTGCCATTCTAGGACAATAATTACAAAGTAGAATACCTTACAAAGGACAAGTGCACTAGATCTTTGTGAAATTATGGGCAGCAATGTGAGATGTGAAAGTTACTAAATGTAAGGAATGCAATTACTGTCTTATTGTCCATATTTTTTAATGTACCTTTCCTAACAGGGTAGTAAAATGCTATAGTTTATATTTTTTTATGTGGAATAATTTTAAGTTATAAATAATTTATTTTGGTTATTGGGTGTTCTTTTGTGTATCATTCATCTGCAAGCCTCTTTATTAATACATAGCTGTACCCATTTCCTCCTGTTGTCCTTTTGGCTATCTGTGGCCCATTTGATTCCAAGTGCAAATGCAGCAGGTTCTAAACAATGGGAAAAGCAAACCTCAAATAATTACTTACATCTTATCTTGACAAGGATTCTAAAATCTGTTTTAGAGAATGCTATGCACACGGTAAGTCCCCTATTCCATTTACAACTTGAAGATCAGTAAGTGCAGTCAGAGAAATTTATCACAACAGAATCCTCAGGAACCACTCCTATTGCTTAGTCGTTGTCCTTAGGGACCACAATGAATACCCAGAAAAAGGACACATTTAGGGTATTTTGAGTAAGACTTTTGTGAAAAGTTAGGCTCCAGAAAGTCTCTCCCATTAATGATTAATTTTAGTTTTCAACCTAAGTGATACCCAGATAACTGGGAGAGCATTTTTTTCTGGGTTTGTCTGTGAAGTTATTTATGGAATGGACTGGCATTTGAATCAGTGAGCTGAATAAGGAGGACCCACCCTCACCCACTGTGCATGGGTCCCATCAAATTGAGGAGAGCATGGATAGACCAAAAAGGCTGAGGAAAGCGAATTCACTGCTCTGGAGCTGGGACACCCAACTTCTGCTCTTGGACATCAGAATTCAAGATATTCTGGCCTTCAGACACCAGGGCTGGCACCAGCAAACCAAAGCCCACCCCCAACCCTGGTCCCCAAACACACACACACACACTCCAGATTCTAAAGGCCTTCAGCCTCGAGCTGATTACGCTTTTAATTGCCCTGGTTCTCTAGGTTACAGATGCCATATCATAGTATTTAGTCTCCTTATATAATACTAGTAGCAAGAACCAAAATCACGAGTGGTTCTAATGGAAAGGGTTTTTAGGATGAGTGTCCTGAAGTGGTTTTGGGGTTTCTGAAATTTTCTAATTAGACTTTAAAATGCTGAAGTATCTATTTCAAATAATATAACCAGCATGGATAGTTGGTGGAATGAGCTGTTTACAGAGACATACAAAGTATCTACCTTGAATACTACTAATAAGCCATGTATAAGAAGTAACACAGTACATATGAGGACTATAATAAAGGTTGGTTGTGCCTACTGCTGATAAAGAAATCAAAGTTTGGGATGAAGTTAAGGATTTGAATTCCTAGCTCAAGCACTGCATAAATGACTTAAGAGCTTCTAGATATGCATTGAGGGAGGATCTCACCTCCTACAGCAACAGTGGAGAAATGGCTGAAAGTCAAACACAAGGTCGCATGGTATTGACTGAAATACAAAGGAAGTTGAGCTCCTAGTCTCACAGGGTATTTACTTTAAGGCCACCACAAAACACACCAAACACTGAGGAAAGATACTATTGTCGAGTAGAGGAAGCCCGGCAGGCCTGGGGCAGCGGGGTGGGGGAGATGGAGAGAGAGATCAGGAGAGAGGGCACATGTGCAGGAAGCAGGTCCTACTATACCTATGGGGGGGGGGGGGGCAGGGAAATAGCAGCAAATCCTGGTGGGCTGCGGGTGGAGCCGATATCTGTGGTTGACCATTTGGTCATCAATGGCAGTGAGGGCTAGAGCCAAGGATGGTGTCCCGGGCATAGATCGGGCCACAGGTAAGATTGCACCATTTGACTAACGTTCCCCCCTTTTGTTTTTAATAAAGCAAGTGTTGTATGGGATTACATCAGCCCCAAAAGTCCATTTTACTGTGAACAGGTAAGGGTACTGAACAGTAGTAACCAAAAAATAATAATGCTTAGTTGTAAATTTAACCAAGGAGATGAAAGGTGTCAGGAAAAGAGGCACAGAATAGAGAGGAGGCAGTGTACGAATTTACAGCCAGACCGAATTTATTCAGAGAAAATAAATTCTTAGATGACCAATGTGTACATTGATGGAACACGTGGCGGAAGGCCTCAACCCCAGGGGCTGGGCCTTTGTTTTTCAGGAGGGCTAGGGAAGAGGGTGGGCATAGAGGTAGCAGGCGGAGGGGAATTCCTGGAAGTGGTCTTTCAAGTGGCCGTGGGGGGAGGGGCCTGGGAACCTGCGAAAGGATGTGGGGGTGGGATATGAAGGCAATAGGGTGTGAGACCCAATTGAGAGTCAAGGGCAAGGAATAAATTCCAGTTTATTTTTTGGGCAATGAGCGAGAATGAGACTTTGTTCCATCAAATGGTATGTATAAAAAAGATGGTGAAAAAAATGGAAGGGAATACAAATTGTGTAAGATAACCTGTGTTCATGAATTGGAAGAATATTAACATTTCTGTATTACCCAGAAGCAATCTACAGATTCAGTGCAGTCTCTGTTAAAATTCCAATGACAGGCCGGCGCCGCAGCTCAATAGGCTAATCCTCTACCTACTGGCGCCGGCACACCGGGTTCTAGTCCCGGTCGGGGCGCCGGATTCTGTCCTGGTTGCCCCTCTTCCAGGCCAGCTTTCTGCTGTGGCCCGGGAAGGCAGTGGAGGATGGCCCAAGTGCTTGGGCCCTGCACCCCATGGGATACCAGGAGAAGCACCTGGCTCCTGCCATCGGATCAGCGCGGTGCGCCGGCCCGCAGCGCGCCAGCCGTGGCGGCCATTGGAGGGTGAACCAACGGCAAAGGAAGACCTTTCTCTCTGTCTCTCTCTCACTGTCCACTCTGCCTGTCAAAAAAAAAAAAAAAAAAAAAAATTCCAATGACAGCTTTCATGGAAATAGGAAACTGCGTGTGGAGCTAGGAAAGACCATGAATATTAAAAAACAATCTTGAGCAAAAAGAACAAAGATGAAGGCTTCACACTACCTGTCATCAAAACACACAAATCTAGAGCAATACAAGCGACGTAGTATTGGCATAAAGCACACACACTGGGGCACAGTGGGTAAAGCTGCTGCCGGTGGCATCAGCATCCAATATGGGCGCTTATTTGTGTCTAGGCTGCTCCACTTCTGATCCAGCCCCCTGCCAATGGCCTGGGAAAAGCAACAGAAGATGGCCCAAGAGCTTGGACCCCTGCTAGCCAAGTGGGAGACCTGGAAGAAGCTGCTGGCTCCTTGCTTTGACCAGGCCCAGCCCCAGCTGTTGCAGCCATCTGGGGAGTGAACCAGTGGATGAAAGATCTCCGACTTTCAAATAAATAAATCTGACAACATTGATCAATGAGACAAAATAGTGTCCACTTTTACAAATAATTGATTTTCCATTAAAAAAAAAAAAAGCCAAGAACAGACAATGGGGAATACACAATGAGGACAGAAGACTTTTGAAAAAAAATGATGCAGGGAAAATTAGATCTCCACATGCAGGGGAATGAAATTGAATCCTTACCTTACGCCATTTACTGACTGAGATTAATGACTTAAATCCAAAGCCTGGAATTGTAAAACTACTGGAGAACAGAGAAGTTCCACAACACTGCTCTGGGCAATGATGTTTTTGGATTTGACCCCAACAGTATGGACACCAAACTAAAGCTGTGCAGATGGGAATGCTTCTGTGCAGCAAAAGGAAACAATAAAGAAAACCCATACAGTATGGGGGGAAAAATTCAAACAACTCAATAGTAAGAAAACAAAGGATCCAATTTTTTAAATGGGCAAAGGAGTCAAATAGACATTTCTCAAGACATACAAACAGGCAACAGGTTCCTGAAAAAATGTACATCACTGTCAGGAAAATGCGAGTGAAGCCACAAAGATAGAGTACATCATACCTATTAGAACGGTTGTTATCAAAAAGAAGATTAATGTTGATGGAGATATAAAGAAAAAGGACTCCTTGTACAGCTGGTAGGAATGTAAACTGGTACAGCCAACAGGGAAAACAGAACAGAGGGCTCTCCAACACTACAATTAGAACTATCACATGATCCAGTAATCCCACTGCTGCATATAGATCCAAAAGAATTTAAATCAGTGTGTCCTGTCAAATACCTGCAGCCCCATTTTTATTATTCCCAGTAGTCAAGATCCACTGAAGTGTCCATCAAGTGTTGAATGGGTGAGGACAGTGGAACACTAATTAGATGCCAAAAAGGAAATTCTGTCATTTGCAACATCACGGAGGAAACTAGAAGATATTAAGTGTAATAAACTAGTCACAGAAAAACAAATGCTGCATCATCTCACTAAGAGTCCAGGAAAATAGAGACTACAATGGCAGGTGCCGATGGCTGGGAGGAGGAGGGTAAGGAGGAGGGAACAGGGCAACGTTGCTCAAAAGATACAGTGTTTTACGCAGGAAGGTTTTGAGAGCTATTGCATGCACAGTGACACAGTGACCATAGCTAATAATGTATATTTCAAAATTGCTAAGAGAATAAACAAGTTTTCCTGACTGAAAACAAAGTAGCATGGACCAACACTGTGATGTAATGGGTAAAGCTGTTGCCTGAGATATGGGTATCCCATATGGGTGCCGGTTTGAGTCCCAGCTGCTCCACTTCTGGCCTGGGCAAAGCAGCAGAAGATGGCCCGAGTATTTGGGTGTCTGCACACTTGTGGGAGACATAGAAGAAGCTCCTGGCTTCTGCCAGGCCAGCCCTGGCCTTATTGTCTTCTGGGGAGTGAACAAGCAGGGGAAGCTATCTGTCTCTCTTTTCTTCTATAACTGCCTTTAAAGTAAATAAATAAAAAAAAAAAAAAGCTTTAAAAAGAGAGAAAGAGAATGAGGTAGGATAAAAAGAAATCAAGAGGAAGACACTGGCTGGCGCTGTGGCTCACTTGGTTAATCCTCCACCTGCGACGCCGGTATCCCATATGGGCGCCAGGTTCTAGTCCTGGTTGCTCCTCTTCCAGTCCAGCTCTTTGCTGTGCCCCAGGAGGGCAGTGGAGGATGGCCCATGGCCTTGGGCCCTGCACCCACAAGGCAGACCAAGAAGAAGCACCTGGCTTCTGACTTCGGATCAGCGTAGCTCTGGCTGTAGCAGCCATTTGGGGAGTGAACCAATGGAAGGAAGCCCTTTCTATGTCTCTC